TCTATTAAAACATATAAAAGTAATCAAAGATGCAATAATTTCTTTATTTTTTTGTTATTTATGAAATGTTGTATTTATTTTCCATCTAAACACCGTTTTTCTTAAACAAATTCCATGTCCGTTCTTGACGAAAACATCCGATTTGCCACGAAAAGGACCGAGTCGTTTCAAGATGGCGGCATTTTTCGCGCATGCCCATTTCCTATAAAATATGTGACGTCACAAAAAATAGTGATGTGGACAACAACCCCCTGAAATAAACTAAAATTATCACGTCATATTTTTAATATATTTTTGTTTAATTAAAATATGTTTCGCCAAGTTAGCGTAGTAGTTAGGCTCGCGACTAAGGAAACCAATATGTCTCATATCAAAGAAACTACTATTCATCTATTTGCCACTTAAAAATGGGTATATCTACAGAATTCTGAGGCCAAAACAAAGAGTTGTAGCCCCACATTTTATACTTGACGTAAAGTTTATTGTATCTTTGTTCCTTTGGATACAATAAAGACGGAAGCTTATCGATCCTATTGTAAATATTACATAATCTTATCTTAATCGGTAGGACGAAAACAAACAAGATTTTCCACGAAAAATCCCTTTGCAAAAACTATTTTTAACGCGTGATTTTGGCAAAGGTTACCTTATCTTAATTATCTTATTATGTCACTGACACGTTAATGGATCATTAAAAATATTTACGTTATCAAATATCGGTACACCTGTTCAAGTTTTACAAAATGGCGTCCAAAAATTTGTATCTATTTTGAGCTTTTGATAACATCTCTATTGGCAGTTTTACTACACTGCTCACCATATTTTTAGCCTGGGTTCGGCCTAGTGCCGCGCGACTTTCAACCCTGAGTTCGTGTGTTCGGATCCCGGTACACGTATTTTTCTGTCCATGTGCACAATTGACAGTGCTCGCATGATGACGGAAAATATCTTGAGAAAACCGAGATACTGAAGAACCAAATTCGACAGTGTCAGGCACATGATGAAAAAACTATCAAGATTCACATTCTGGAATCTGAGGTCAAGAGCAAGGAATGTTGAATGATTTATTTTGATTGTTCATTGTTTATATGCAGTTAAGAATCAATGAAAATTCAACCGAGACTCTTCATTTAAAAAATATTAATCAGCCATGTCAATATAAAACTATCGATAAGAGTCACGACTCTAGCACTGCAGAAAAGTCGTCAGTATGTGTGGGACGCCCGTTGCGGATGTACCGCGTTCGCTATTTGAATGAAAATTATTGCGAGTAAAAAAATCTGTGAATGGCCAGTGTTTAATAATTGTTGAATGAGGATTTACTAAAGGTACTTATAAGATTTTTTGTGAGAGCGACTGCTCCAATATAATAACATCGGAATATAATAACATTAGGTTACGTAAAAATTTATAAATTTAAGACACAAAACCGTATTTTTCATAAAGAAAAATATAATTAATTAAGTCGCGATGGATTTTACCCTATTTTAATGATATTATTGTTAGAATTTTAACGGAAAGTGGTAAATTCGAGCATTACATATATTTCCTTTTTCTAATGTGTTAAATCTTCGCGTAAAAATTGAATCGTCTATTACACTATAGACAAAACTTTCAGTAAATTTCAATCGATAATTCATATTTTTTTACTTTCTAAATTCAAATTGTGATTAAAAATTGTTGGTGTAGTCTAGTATTGATTGTTAAGGGGAGGTGCCGCGGGGTGGGGAAGGTCAGGATCCTGGATGGTTTCTCACCACGTGTAGATCCCTTCCACGTGACTGTTTCGCATATCCTTGGCAGACTATTTTTTTATATGGAATTGAAAATAAAAATACTAATAAGTCTTTATATGCCATGAAAACGCACTGTACAGTGTACATATATCATGAAAATGTCACAATATAATATATTAATCTTACATGTCATATATTTAATAAACATGTAAATTTATGCTAAATAAATTTCATTTTCTAAGAAACGCTATAAAGAGGCAAGGTATATTTGTCATAGATAATCTCAAAAATATTTGTAATGCAGCCCTGAAAAGCCGAAACATGCATGTATTTAATAATAATATTGTCTAATAATACTTCTTAGTCTTAAATTAAATCCATTCGTTTTAACACAGTTATAAAAGCACCTCAATCATATGCCAATGGAATTCATAGATATTTTCCTGTTTATAGATTCCGAATAAAGAAATATAATTTAATGTTTAGTAAAAAACAGTCCTTAAACTAATTCTGATTGTTTTATTAAGTTTTGTTTTTAAATAATATTGTTGTAATAACGCTTCGGTGGACACAAAAATTGTGACCAATTTGTGTTCCACCGTCACACATAAATTTTTGTATTATTTAAAAAAAAACAATTTGTCGATGCGCACAACGCTCCATTGTAAAACATTTTTTGTGGGAGACATAAAAACTGTTTTGTTATATATCCTTGTATGATGTTATTCTAAAGATAATTACTGGTTAAAACAAGCGGGGCGAAGCCTCAACATTGCCTTTCAGATTATTACAGTTATAGTTGATAAAAAAACGCGATTTATAACCTATAATTCCGAATACTTTCCAGTATTCAACTGAAATGTAATTCAATAATATTTATGTATTCGTAACAAGTAGTGTTTGATTAGTATTAAAATTAAAACATTAAATACAATAACGTTTGTTGTTTATAAAATTTAATAGATTAAAATATATTCGCGTATATATTATTATTTCTTGAAAATATCTTAATGTGTAAAACTGTGTGGGTGTACTGTAATACCCTTAGTAGGTCATCAGATCGATATCTCGTCACGCCATTTTCAGCCGTTAAAATTCATTCCGTACTTATCGTACATCTTCAGGGAATTGCTTTTTAGCATAGACAAAAAGTATAGCTGGCTGCAAAATTTCTTTTTAATATTAGAAAGTCAAACGCACTAATGAGGTTTAATGTTTTTAGGTTTTATAATTATGTTAGTCAAAAGACGTGAAGTCGTGAAGTGTTTTTAAAAAAAGAATTCTCAAGATATCGTCGAAAGACCGTAGCCTGGCCACAATTTATTATTTATTTTAAAAAAATATTGGCAATATCAATGGTTATTTATGTAACTTACTTTTTCTGATTGATGTGATGTGATTAGAATAATTGCATTTTAATCGATAAGTTTATTTACCAATATTGTCTGTATTATTCTTTACCCTGAGCTATAACCCTTTGTCATTGGTCAGGTCTTGAACCCTTTTCGTGAGCTTAGACCAGTTTGACAAGAGGGGGAATGTACAAAGGTTTTGCATGTCCTTGACACACATGCGTACACACCCCTGTCTGAGGCTAGACGTTCAAAAATATTTCCTTTATATACATTTTACGAGTTTATTACGGTGTAATAAATAATTTTCTATTGTTGATTGTATAGACTTCCTCATTCCTAAAATTATATTTCTAAGATTCAGTCCTTATTTATTCACTATAGTTTAATTACCCTTCTTACAAAACTTAATGGCTGAGAGCATATATCTAATCGCATAGAAAGCGATTCCCTAAGTGCAATCGCTTTAGTACAATCAACTGTAACTAAGATACATCTAAGAGTAAAACGCAAACAATGATATTTATGTAATAAACTTATAAAAAAAATTATAGTAAGTAATAGAATCTTATAAGTAAGCCTAAAATCTATTAATATTTTTTCCTTATGCATTTGCGTTAACTTGCAAGAAAATACACGAGAAATATTCTTACTATGTGAACGTAGTATTTCATTAATTTTTGTATTTATGCATCGTAAAGGCCTAACAACCGTACACAGAATCATCGATCGGAGCTATGTACTTTAATCCCTGATTAGTTAACGTCTGATTTAAGAGCGTTAAATGACCTTTAAGAATAATCACGGTCGTTATATATTTTTATCCCAAAAAGTAAGAAAACTAATCCGGAAACATTGATTGCAATTTATGGTATGATTAAAGAAATGTTTACGTTATATTTAAATTTAGCCGCAGTTATCATAGATAAACTTTGGCATTATGCCAAAACGTTTTCACAAATTAAGCCATAGACGAAAGATTTGACCCATATTTTCAGCTTTAAGTTTTTTAACATTGAATTACCCACTTGTTTTACGGGTTAAGAGTGTGTGTTTTTTTTAAAGTAATTAATCCCAGACTATGATCAAGCCAATTGAAGTATTCATTAAAATAATAATCATTAGCAACGTACGTTGAATGATAACATTCTTTATGAACATTGAAGTCAATGGTGTCTTCGAAATTGTGAGAGCCAAAGCTGTACATTTTGCTCACACAGGCTTTCTTAGTTTTGTAAGCGTGACGATTTCCTAAATCGTCGGAGTTACGCTCCAAAAGCATATCCAGACGTAGGCACTCTCTTCGACTGTTACATTGCATTCATTCGTTACATAGCAATTAACAGTATTTCGCTTATATTCTATTGTTGTAAAACTAAAATCCTCTATTATTTAAAGCACCCCGATGACCCGGGGACCGTAAAGAAATAACATGTTGATTTTGACTGGTTTCCTCTTAAATATAAATGTCCACATATTTATTTGTTTCAGATAAAGCAGTGCTTTCAACGACGAACAATGGCGGCGATAGACTATAACCTCATGTGCTAAAACCACAGTCAATTCAGTGCAATATGTGTTATCTGTGGTTCAATTAACGTATCCGTTTAAAAACCTAACCTATATGCACAGAGAGGCATCTAACGTATTAGACTCACTAAAACTACGACTAAAATTGCTCGAGAGGACAAGGACATACGTTAAAGTTATAGAATTTATAAAAAAAGACGCCATTCGGTATTACAAATACATAATACAAGATATAAAATATTATGAACATATTCATAGGTAACGATTATCATTCAAAGAATCTTGTCAAATTGAAATCAATTTGATTTTTGTAATATTTAAGACAATAATTGCACTGGTTAATTTCGCTAAAGAATTTTACAAATTGTGATTTAAAAACAAGATGTCGGCAAAGGCTGAACCAATCGGGCCTCGGAATGGCCACGAATTGGCGCCGTTGAATACCAGGGCGGATGGCAGCGAACGACCTCATGGGGTTACCATCGTTCTACAGGGTTCAAGGAACTCATTACAGCACGATGCCCCCGATGAAGATAGAGCGGCATGGTCCGGAAAACTACAGTTCTTCCTGTCAATTATCGGATACTCTGTGGGCCTTGGCAACATTTGGCGTTTTCCGTATCTGTGCCAACAAAATGGCGGAGGTAAGTTCGAACTTTTTTTGTTACTTTATCACAGCAAACTGGTTTTAATTCCTTTTTCTTTTGAAAATATACTCAAGCCATGTTTTAGCTGCACTTTACTTTTGGTGACGATTTATATTTCTTTCCAATTTATTTGGAATAATGTGGAATCAGTAGATTTTATTTTATATTATTTTGTCATCCTACGGGTTCTATTAAGTTATTCCACTAAAGAGTGGCAGAAAAACAAATATATGCTCAAGGTATTTATTCTTTAAAAAGCTCTCTATCTCTTTTATTTAGCCATTTGTTCATCAATAAAATCACGAAGAGCCGACACTCTTGCGTAAACTGTTGGGCTCCCGGTTTTTAGAGAACAGTCTTTAGTACCGAATGATACTATGCCGATATGTTTATTTTGGTATATGAGTGGACCACCACTGTCACCCTGAAAAAAATATTTATATAAAACATTGCGAGAATACGGGTACAGAACGCAGGATTCTTGGAAAAAATCCAGTGTCAGGCACAGGCTGATTACGTAATGGACTATAGATCAGTCTGTGCTTAGTAATGTCCATTACGTAATAGATAAAACATTTTTTTTCTATATTACATTTATAATAGATATCTGAGGAAAAAGGTAGGATCTTAGTGCCATATTTTATTTTGATCACAATACTTTATCAAACTTTTATACTGTGTCCAGTTTGTGTTTCCACCACGCCAACTTCTTTCTATTTAGGATCTTGTATAGAATAAATAAAAATAAAAATAAATAAAAATATGTTATATCCACAAGAAAAACGTTCATGGTTTTCTTGGGGTGTTAGTTGGTGGTTAGTTGATATGACAGATATAATGCCGTTGTATGTACTACATCTAAATAATTGTCTTTTAATTACAAAATCTATTTTTGTAATCACATTACACACTGTACACTTTAACCTACATAGTGATCATAATAATTAAAAATGTATACAAAGAAAATTAAAACATATTGAAAACTTTGGTCCCTGTGGCAGTGCACCTTTAATACTGGCTGAATTTCTTCGCTGTATTTCGATACTTATTCGTTGAGCAAGGAAATCAGCATCTCTGGGGTTACTATCTACCAGTCGCCGACATAAATCTTTGGGCTACTCCAAAGGGAACGAAATCGAAGTTGGAGGAAAGACTCTTATATATTAGAGCCGTTTATTATTTTCCGCCTTTTCTGCGGCCGCGTCAGCTTTTGTGTTTGTCCGAAGGAGGTGAGAAATCCCGTCCCATCCTCCAAGGGATCAAAGATATCACATCTCAATCTCTGGCCGCTTGCCATCGTCTCCAGCGATACTTGTTAGCTCCAAAATGACTGGAACATTGACAAAATCAAGAGAGCGGCGTATGCAGCGTGGCAAGAAAAACGACCTGCACTCTTTTGGCAATGGCATGGTGTCCAAGGTTACTTACTTCAAAACCCACAGGTACGCTTATGGGGAGTACATAGGGGCACTCTTAAGCGAATGCTGATGGCAATGCGAAGTGCCACAGGTTCCAAAAAGGTGCCAGTGTTTAGCAAAGGATAAGCATTAAGCCAATGTCTGGCTTCCCTGTCGACCCCACAAAACAATCTTGCGCGGTCTGTTATTGAGGTGTGACCTAATAAGTGATGGAATTTGGATTTATAAAGAGGAAGAGCTACACTATGTCGGTAAAGAATATTGTAAATACTGTATATTTGTGTGTTTAAAATAGGTGAATATATGTAGTTCTTACACATACACTTGTTTTTTAACTATCTGCAATCAGCCTCTTGGCTTTTATCAGACTTTATGACATGATTTTGAGGCAATTAGGGAATGCAAATCAAATAATTAGTTTTTCCTCGGTAACTCGCAAACTGTCAGTTTCGCCCTTCTCAGCTGAAACACGCAGTTCGCAAATTCCAAGAGGCCCGAAGCTTGGGGGTTTGACGTGTTGCTGAAGCCTCCTTTTGTGTATTGTTCGGTTGAGCTTTTCATGTCTTCCTCGACAGCGGCAATTTCAAAATATTTATGGATTTCAGCATTTCGTATTAACCTTGGCGTACCGCTCATATTTCGTAGTATTATGTTTTGTAGCCGCTGCAGGATTTCAATATTAGACTTGCTAACCCCAGAGCTGTATCCCATATTGATTTTATGACAGTTTTATAAAAATAAATAAATCAGTGGAGCTACAACCTCTTTAGGTCAGGGTCTCAGATTTCTGAATCTTTTTCATGGTATTATAGGCAGGTAGGTATTCAGCCTCCTGTGCCTAACACACGCCGTCGACTTTTTGGACATGTCGGTTTCCTCACGATGTTTTCCTTCACCGTTCGAACGAATGTTCATATAAAAAGAAAGTCCATTGGTGCACAGCCGGGGACCGAGCCTACGACCTCAGGGATGAGAGTCGCACAGTTTTTTAAATAAGAAATTTATTCTCCAGACTGAGTGCGGCTTTTGTACCTAATAGTTAGTTCATCAAGCTTATTATTAGATAGTAATGAAATGAAGTTAATAATAATGCTTACATTTGAATAGACCAATGATATTAATTTAATATAAACTTACAAAACAAGCTCCTTTCCCCTTTAAACCGGCACAAATCATGCGAGGTGTTATATTTAAACCCGTAATATTGTGATAGAACTCTTTGCATTCCTCATCTTTTACATAAGGCACATCCACTTGCAAGAGTTCAGAGGACGCTTTACCGGACTGAAATCATTTAAAGTATTTTATCGCATGTTACTGAGTTGGGCGCATGAGAGTAAATTTTTACGAAAACGTCACAAAGATGTGCAGCGTTTTTGTCGAAGAAAAGTGAGAGAGCGATTGAGACCGATGGAGAGAGTGTGAGAAGGGTGAATTGGGTGAATTAACTTATAGGAATTCAATTAAAAAAATGAATTTATGAAATATTTGTATTTTATATTTTATGCAAAATAATTTGTTGAACTCTCAAATGACGAATTGTAAATTAAAATGCCACGTATTTTTATTATCAAGGAAATAAACTAAAAAAGTTAAATGTATTATTTGTATTAATTTTGGACACTTAATAATATTTTAATGATTATTTTTCCGACCCAAATATCGACCAATAGAATTGCACCATTCGACGTCACGTGGTACAACCTACATGGTATCATACTGATATTTTTTTGAAAATTTTCTCTGGTAGTTGCTTCAAGAAAAGTATTAAGTAGTTGTTTTATTCATTATGAAATTCTTATTTGTTAACTGTACATTTCGTCTCATGGTGCAATTCTATTGGCCGACATTTGGGTCGGAAAAATAATCCCCCGAATACCACACGAGCTTCAAAATTATCTGGCATTTCTCTTGTGGTATTATAAGTGACAATTCAATTCAATAAATTCCTAACATATCTTCTTTTTTCCCTCCCTCTAAGTCTCGGTAACCTAAAGTTTTAGATTTTTATAAATATGAACAAGACTTAAAAGTTAGTTTGCCAAAGAAGTTTCACTTCTGACATATGTACTTTGTACGCACGCACTGTTTTTTTAGAAGTAGATCGTGTATAGACATTTACAAATTTGGGAAGACATTTTGGCCTATGACGCTGCGTACCATAGACAAAATGTCACAGGACAATATTATATGTCAAGTAATACTCGGGCTGTTTATTTGAGGTTATATTTAGTTTTCTATAAAATAGTTATACCCAGTGTGTTTCGCTTTACGTAAAAGCCTGTTTATTGTTATTAATGCAACCATCTTGTAGCTAGTTTTTTATGTAATGGAGGCAAAGGCTCATCTGATGTTAAGTGATACCGCCGCCCATGGACACTCACATTGCCAGAAGGCTCGCGAGTGCCTTTTAAGAATTGGTACGCTCTTTGAAGGACCCTAAGTCGAATTGGTTCGTAAATACTTCAGTGGGCAGCTGGTTCCACATAGTAGTGGCGGCAAAAACGCTCAGATCCGGAACGACGGACGTCGAGGTGATACGAATGGAATTTAAACGGTTACTGTGTATTTTTACTTACATCTGTAACTCCGAAACCTATAACTTTGAAGACTGCGTCATCCTCCACAACCATATCCCGCTCAGCTAATTTGAGTGGTTGAACTTTGCTACTGAATACCAATTTCTTAGCCAACTTTATCACAACGACGTCATAGTCTAACACCTTAGAGGTGGGTGGGTGTGGGTAGGCTTCCAAAATATCGTAGTGTTCACCTTCGTTTATTTTGTCTGTGCCAACTACAATTTCTGGGTTTTTCCTATAGGGATTATAATAGTATAATTTTAAAAACATCAGTGGCGCTACAACCTTTTTCAGGCCTCGGATTTCTGTGTGTTTCATGATTTGTCAATCAAATTATGGGTCGATGGTAAGGTTTCCTCACGATGTTTCTTCAAGAGAATGTTAAATGTGCACATAGAAAGAAAGTCCATTGGTGCACAGCCGGGAATTGAATCTACGACCTAAGTAAGGGAGTCGCAGGCTGAAGCTACTAGGCCAACACTGCTAATAGTGTAATTACAGATTATTATTATATAATTTAGTCACACGATATGGGGGCTTATTCAAGATTAGTGTTGACAAATTTTCATACAAATTTAGTTTTCGACTTTCTACATACATTACTGTTAAAGCATCTTAACTAAACCCCATAGAGACGGTTATGGTTAATTTTGTATTGGCCTCCTAATTTTTTGTCCATATATGCCTTTTACTATTAATAAATAACTTTTTCATACCAATGTAAAAACTTCTTAAGATTATAAAATAATTTGTATACGTACAAAGCATTATAGCAATGTGCAGCGGAGATCAAAAACTGCTCACTGACGATAGTCGCACCACACCCATGTTCAGTGTCTTTGTTCCTATAGATCGCGAAAAACGGCACCTCTTCTATTTTTACAGGTTTACCGCCGATAATGCCAATATCTACACAAATAATATTTTTTTTTATTCTTTATAAGTATACTAGCAGACTCGGCCAAGCGTTGCTGTGGCTAAGGTTTTAGATATATTACATTGTAGTGACCTATTCAAGGGAAACGGTAGGAGAACACCCGTCATGGGGACCACCATGCTTTTTTGGTGGTAATGCCATTAAATTGTAGCTTATATGAAACGTTGGTACTTTCAACACAGCGCCATCTGTTAGAATTGTGTAAATAATAAACAAATATTTTGCAATAAAATCATATTGGATCAGTTGGATCAAACTACACACGGTGTGCAAATTTGATTGAAATCAGTTCGGTAGTTTAGGAGTCCATAGCGAACAAACAACGTGAAACGTAATTTATATATATTAAGATATGCAATGTTAGATTTAAGTTGTGAGGGTTGCCAGGTATTAAGAGTGTGCATTTATACAGAAATATTTTAAATAACCTAGAATTGGAAAGGAAGAGAAAAAAAAAAAAAAAAAAATTTTTGACATGTTACCGGTATTTGACGTAATAATTTCTACATAACACATAACATTTTATAATTATTAAACTATTGTAACACGGTAATAATATTTTCCGTTTGTATAGGGCAGGTTGAGGATATATTTAAGATGTTTGTATTACATATTTTCAAAGTTTTGTCGGCAACTTTTTGTCGCCTTTGCCTCTACGATTGTCATGTCCTAGACTATTTTTACAATCCAAGAATTGCGTTGAAATTGCACGAAAAATAATTTGGTAATATTTTCTGCAATTTCGCTCTTTTCACTCGTACAAGATGAGAGCGCAGAAGAAGATTAAGATGGGGGCGGCGAACTAGCTGTTTACTCTAGAATATTGAAGTTTGCTACACCGAATGTACAATAACAAGTGAGTGGGGAAAGTCATCGGCAAAATATTGTTACTTCTATCTTTAAATCAGAAAAACCGTCATGCAGAAATCTTATAGATTTGCCGCCCCAAAAATCTGCCACCTCAGCTTAAATATCTAATATATATAATATAATGGTAAATCCGCCACTGTTAGTAAAAAATTTGTTATAAAGAAAATTTTTAAAGATTGTATAGAGCCATTGAGGGAGAAAAAGTATAATAACGATATAAATAAATAAAGTCTAATAAATTGTTTTAGCTGAACATCACAATCAAATATAAAGTATTTTCTTAACCTACTTAGTAATAATAATAATAATTAAATATTGAAAAATAGAAAACTTAAACAAATTCAATAAGCTCAAATGCTGGTCGTGTCCACATGTTTTAGGGACGGCCCCGGTTCATATTTTTGTATGTATGTCAATTTATATCATGTGTTTGTCCTAGATTTGTGGTCAAATAAAAAAAGAAGTTTGGTGCCCGTGCCAGTGTACCTTTAACGCTGGCAGCATTTCCTCGCTGTACTGTGATACTTTTTCGTTCAGCGAGGAAGGCACCAGCTCTGGGGTCACCGGTATCTACTGTATAGTGCGCCTGTGCACTTGAACTCCACGGCCCAAGAGTCTCTACTCCAAAGGGAACAAAATCGTACTTGGAGGAAAGACTCTAAAACTTGTGCCCTTTATTATAAATATATATGCTTGAAAATAATAACTCACCATTATCTGGATCAAGTTCATCATTAAATAATAAAAATAGATAATAAAACCAATTGAAATAATTTGACATTGTTAATTCTATGGTTATAATGTGCGAACGAAGAAATGTATACATTTATACTCAACGCAAGGCCAAGGTGTACTATTTTAGGACAGTTTATTTAAACTCGGTTTATCGACCGTTAACAACAACCCATTAGACGCAATATTTTTTATACATGTGTCTTTACTTAGACATCATGGAACATTACGATCTAGCCTAACTTAGGACTAATATGTAATCCTTGGGATTGATTTGCTCCAGTTCAAACAATTTGTATGACAATACTTGGCGATTAAAAAGAGTGGCAGAAAGTTTCTTGCCAGTTCTTCTTACCCGCTCTACGCCCTTGACTTGCGAACTGGTAGTAAATGTAAATTTACAATTAATTTAACTTGACAATTCATAAGTGTACTTGGTTACCCACTTGAATAAAGATATTTAAAAAAAAAAATTAAGTCTTACTTACCTAATTTACTGATAAGGATATTTAACATAAGAAAGTGTCTACACTACTTACAGTCTCTATTAAAGGAAAGATACTCTGTTCTTCTGTTCTATTTAAATTTGAATTAGCCGCGAATAGCAGTTAATTTATTGTTTACGAAAATTATAACATACTATAATTTATTGAAAAAAATGAAAAAAAAAATAGAAAATGATCTGAAAATAAATAACGATTATAATTATTATTTGATAAGTGTGTGGTTTATCAAACAACATAACAAACGCGATTGATGACGCGTAATTAAATAGATAATTATACATTGGCAAACTTCTACTTTTTTTTATTTATTACAGAAATACATACATTATCCTTACAGTCTATATATATCCAATATGATAATATCGAGAAAACCTAAAATATAATAAAGTATATAATATTAAACATATAATATACACAATATGGCTACTGTGAATTCTCTCTGCGAACATGTAAATATGGCGTATAAATAAAGTTATTTTGAGTTTCAGTTTAACTTGTCTTCGATATGATGTATTGCGAATATAAAGTTTATATTAAACGTAATTTAAATATGTTTAAATAACAATAGTGAAACTGGCGTTCTTCAATTTTAACTATATTTAAACTATGTTAGGTATGTTGCACATAATTACAAAAAATGCCTTTAATTTGGAATGTATAGAATAACTTCGTAATATAAGCAATTTAGAATATTTACTTTAAAAAAATTCAATTGCGCTACAATCTTTTTAGGTCTGGGCCTCATATTTCTGTATCTGTTTCATGATTGTAAATTGAATAGACACGCAGGTGATCAGCCTCCTGTGCCTGACACACGCCTTCGACTTTTTGGGTCTAAGGCAAACCGATTTCTTTACGATGTTTTCTTTCCCCTTGTGAGCGAATGTTAAATGTGCACATAGACAGTACATTGTTGCACAGCCGGTGATCAAACCTACGACCTCAGGGATGATAGTCGCACGCTGAAGCCACTATGCCAACTAGCTAGCACTAGCTTCAGCGTGCGACTCTCATACCTGACGTCGTAGGTTCGATCCCCAGCTGTGCACCAATGGACTTTCTTTCTATGTGCGCATCTAACATTCGCTCGAACGGTGAAGGAAAACATCGTGAGGAAACCGACATGTCCAAAAAGTCGACGGCGTGTGTCAGGCACTGGAGGCTGATCACCTACTTGCCTATTAGATTTAAAAATGATCATGAAACAGATTCAGAAATCTGAGGCCAAGACCTAAAGAGGTTGTAGCGCCACTGATTTATTTTATTTATATAAAATACTTATTATCACATCGGAGTCGTTAACCCTTTTTTTATGGTGATTTATAAATCGATTTTCACCTTATAACTATAGTATCGTATTAGTACACAATACAGTAGATAAGGATTGTAACTATATAATATGATCGCGAATGTGTAAACGTTATTAAAACTTAATTTTATTCGAGATTTCAGCGACAAAAAGCAAATGTCTATGAACGTGCTAGTGATGACCAAATATACAATATATACAAGAAATATTAGGTCCTTACATATGAAATTGGCGTTTTGTATGGGAGGAACAAAAAGTCGAATATTTTTAAATATAATATATTTAATTAATCAAAGTATGAACCATTGTTTTATATGCACTTTTGCCATCTCATAGGTAGTTCATTGATCCCTTTACTAAAAAAACCAGTCGGACGGGAATTAATAAAATCTGTGAAGGCGATTTGGACTGCCCCATCACAGTTAAATTTTTTCCCTTGCAAGAAGTTGTCCAAATTTCGAAAAAAATGGTAATCTGTTGGAGCAAGGTCCGGGGAGTACGGAGGATGTCTTATACATTCCAATTGAAGCTCTTCTAATTTGGTAGCCGTCTGTTGTGTAGTGTGTGGTCCAGCGTTGTCGTGAAGTAGCAGTGGCGTGGAGCGATTGACCAGCCTAGGTTGTTTAGCCGCTAGCTTTTCCATCATGGTTTGCAATTGCTGACAATAGACATCAGCCGTAATAGTCTGGCCAGATTTGAGAAAACTGCAATGAACAATACCGGCACTAGTCCACCAAACGCTTACAAGTAACTTTTTTGGGGTTAATTTTCGCTTGGGGCAGGATTTGGCTGGCTGGCCAGGATCCAACCATTGCGCTGAGCACTTCCGATTATCGTAAAGAATCCATTTTTCATAACAGGTAATGATTCGGTTTAAAATACCTTCATTATTGTGCCGGTTCAGTAATGTAACGCAGCAGTCGACGCGCGTTTGCCGGTTTGCTTTAGTCAATTCGTGAGGTAGGTACCCATCTTTCAAGCTTTTTAATCTTCCCAATTTGCTTCAAGTGAATTAAAACAGTTTTATCACTAACACCGCAGCCTGCAGCTAACTCGGACGTGGTTTGCGATGGATCCGCTTCCACAATAGCCTTCAATACTTCATTATCAACTTGGGTCTCAGGCTGTCCACGGGGCTTGTTCTGCAGGTCGAAATTTCCAGAACGAAAACGTTGGAACCAAAAACGAACTGTGTTTTCTTTTGCAACATGACCGCCATACACATCATTCACCCGCGGAACTCGTACTCGTAAATAATGCGATACTTTAAGTTTTCCATTTTGTAAAATGAGTGACGCTAACAGAAAAAAACAGAAGAAAAAAACAAATGAATGGCGGTCATCGAAGCACAAATACATGAGTAAATAGCTGTACAAATTTTAATTTGGAATTCTTAACCAAAGAGGAGATATTTGAGGTCAAAGTGGCCAAAACGTAAAACGCCAATTTCATATGTAAGGACCTAATATATTAGTGATAGAAAATTCAAAAATCATTTAATCATATAGGTAACACATTGTACACTTATGACTTGTCAGTAAAGAAATACATATTAATGCATCAATTTTACATTTAGTGCCAGTTCTCAAATCAAGGGCGTAGAACGGAAGAGAAGAACTGGCAATAAACTCTCCGCCACTCTTTTTAATCGCCATGTTTTTTTTTTACACAATGTTTATAAGAACAGAAGAGTTCAGCGGGTTATGTAAAAGATATTTATGACGCATTACGTAAACAAATTTTAGTCTACAATCGTCGGCAGCACTAGACTATCGATTTGCTACGACGCACTGTCTACGCCGTAGACAGCTACGATGTGACGCAATAAAACACTTGCCATTACTTTTGTCAGTATGTCATGATCTTCTTACCTGAGATCTGTTAAAACCAAATAACAGTAATAATAATACTTTTCTAAGGCACTAATTTGTGACGAATAGCGACAATATTGAGCGATCTCTTCCAGGCAATCCAATGTCCATTCTTTTTCTCCTTCTGCTCTAGACTACATTGTAGGAATCTCCGCTTTCTCTTCTCCGATCTTTAAAATGAGCGTCTAATTGACTATATTGGACAGAATATGCGTGACACACACATACCACAATTAAATATTATATCAAAATCAGAAATATATACAGTATTTATAATATTATTAACCTACATAGTAATAGAATTAATTAAAAATTGATAAATAGAAAATAAAAAGAAACCTTTAAAGCACCAGCTCAGGTGTCACCGGTACTATCTACCTGGTACCAACTTAAATCTTTAATAAGATGAGAATTGGCAGAGTTGCCACAGGGACCAAACTTTTTAAATTTGTTTTTATTTTGTTTTATTATTCATATGTAGGTTAAAAAAAATGTAAATACTCTATATTTGATTGTTATGATTACTAATACAGATATTATCCCTGAAAAAAAAAGAAACATATTATTAGAAGTCTACCAATATCTAAAGGTGCGTACAGACTATGTAACATATTATATAACTTGTGTTTTATAACACGTCCACATTATGTAACCTTGTTATTCAACATTATAACATAAAACAATACTGTACACATTAGAATAACAATGCAATATTTATATAACCATTTTAAATAACAAAAGAAAAACAAAAAAACGTAGATGCTGGGTTCGTCCTAGCATACATATCAATAACATGTTATTAAAACATGTTTTATAACATTCAGTGTCCACATTATCTGAAACATGTTGTATAGCAATGTTGTATAACATGTTATGTTATATAGTCTGTACGCACCTTTACGACTATGACGATTATGAAAAAAAATTCCACCTTACCAAAGAAGATGTGAGGAAATACTTGAAGAAGCGTGAAGACTTTGACTTTGTTAAGCAGTAACAATTTAGTTTTTTTTTAAATATTAAGATATAGTTAATGTTTAATATCCATATTTTTATCTATTGATGTACTTATGTTTTCTGTTTCATATATTTTGTTAATCAATGTAATCTGTTTTGGCTTTTTATATATGTCTAAGTGTTTTGTTTTATAATATGGATATGTGTAGCTGTAAGATTACTTTACTAGTATCTTACAGCTACACATAAATAGATGTGGTTAGAATTCCTGTGTATGTCTGGGTTGCACACAGACTCTTAAACATGTACCAGACATCTTACTGATTTGTTTTGTTCTCTATACTGTTACTTCTTCACTTATAACTGTGCTTTATGTGTCAGCCCAAAGCAGTTAAATTACTCCTTTAATATGTGATTATACATATTGTCCTCAGTATATCAGTTGATTAAGAACTTCGTTAAGATTCAACGAATATTGTCTCAATTTAGAATTTATGCTTAAAAGCTGGGCGGCGCCGTTATTCCCGTTAATGTACGAACATGTTTTTATACATTCTCGATACATAATTGACTAAATAAGATTTCACTACGAACCAGTATAGTCATTGCAATTAACGCATGGTGTAAATTAAAAAAAATACGTGCGTGCGTACAAAGTACACGTCGAAATTGAAACTTCTTTGGCAAAATAATTTTTAAGTCTTGTTCATATTTATACAAATCTAAAACTTTCGATTTCTGAGACAATACTAGGAGTTCAAAAGTCTCTTTAAGAAGTTTGAATTTTAGAGATAGAATTGTCTATAAGGTCAACTAGTGGACCCCACAGACGTTGTCCTGCATGATATTATAAAGCGTTTGGTCATATTAAGCCATCGAGTATAAAAGACACTGGCAGTTCCATCTGCAAGGCTAGATTTGTGAGATCTCAACCATTCCCAGATCCCCATACTAAACACACTAAAATTTCATAAAATGTCCAGTCTTTGAGAGGGGTTCAGTCTCATACACACGCAAGAATAAATATATATATTAAGATTTGCCCTTCTCACTCTTTCTCAATCGGTCTCAAACGCTGCACATCTTCGTGACGTTCCGTAAAAAAATTACCCTCATGCGCGTAAATAAGTTTCACTTCAAAAATAAGTGAAACATATTAAAATAGACTTTATATTTTCTTTAAACGAATCATTATTGCAGGTGCGTTCCTGATTCCCTTCCTCATAATGTTGGTGCTGGAAGGCATCCCATTGTTTTTGATTGAAATGGCAATAGGCCAGAAGATGAGACTTGGCTCCCTTGGCGTGTGGAACACCATCCATCCTTGGCTTGGCGGCATCGGGATCTCCAGCTGTGTAGTTACCTTATTCGTGGCGTTATATTACAACGTTATAATAACTTGGGTGTTCTTCTATCTCTTTAATAGTATTCGGGTGAGTTTCTAACTAAACTTAAACTTTTTATTATTATTAAAGAATGTAACCTACACATGTTTTTTACTAACAAAAATAATTAAAAATCAGTAGCGCTACAACCTCTTTAGGTTTCATGATCATTCGTTAATCTAATAGGCAAGTAGGTGATCAGCCTCCTGTGCCTGTGCACGCCGTCGACTTTTTAGGTGTAAGGCAAGCCGGTTTCCTCACGATGTTTTCCTTCACCGATCGAGCGAATGTTAAATGCGCACATAGATGCATAGTTGTTGGTGCACAGCCGAGGATCGAACCTACGAACTCAGAGATGAGAGTCGCACTAAGCCAACACTGCTCTTGTAATTTTTATAAACATATCAGGAATATTTTTTTGTATTAAATTTAACCGTGAAATCTTAATAATTTATTTGCAAGAATATGGTACAAAAATGTTATATATACAATCTAAAGTTCGCATATTCTGCCACACATAATGGCGTGCAAATTTGTCTTAAAAGGAATTTTACATAGAAGTTACATACATTATAAGTCATATCACTATCAAAATATATTATTACTTTATCAAATTAATATTAATTATAACGTTTCATGCAAATAATAATTAATAGAATAATATTTTTTTTCCAAAAATTATTTTTTTGTCGATTTTTAAAAACTCTAGTAGGAAGATATTTTATTGTTTTTGATAAATTATTATAAACCTTGATTGCCATACAATATTCTTGTTACATAAATAAATATTACCTTTATTAAAAAGGGTAATTTCCACGTTTAAACGGTCTAAATTTAAAGGGTAAAAATTACAATGACTGAATAAGCAGGAGCTCTAAGCCGTTAGAAATTTCTAGAAAAACCGAGTTCAGCATAATAAAAGATACAATTTTTAGCTAAGCGCGGACGCCTTGCCCTGGGCCCACTGTCCCCAAGACAACGGCACTGCTGAAGAGGAATGCTCCAAAACATCAGCTACGGTGTACTACTGGTATCGGGAGGCTTTAGATGCGTCACCAAGTATCGACAACCCTGGAGTACCACGCTGGTGGATTGTTTGTTATCTGCTCCTAGCTTGGATTATCGTTTTCTTTATCGTCATGAAAGGAATACAGAGCAGTGGAAAGGTAATGAAATTAATTTTTTTTTTCATCGTTTATTTTTTCGTTACCAGCATGAATTATCGGTCAAAGGACTATTGTACTGGGTGGCGCAAAAGTACTGGCAGTAAAGAAAATTTGTTTATTTTTTTTATATGACGATAGTTTTAATTCTGTTGTTGAAAACTGTGTAGTGAACAAGTGTAAAATACACTAAAAAAAAAATCTTTAAAACAAAAAAAACAAAAAACATGGACCGTTTTACTCCCCAAGAACGTGGAATAATCGTGTCATTGTTCTTACGGAATAATTCATCAGTGATAAAAACACAACGTGAATTTCGTCGACGATTTCCTGCAAGATCACCCGGTCAGACGAGTCCAGACTTCTTTCTTTGGGGTTTTTTGAAATCTCGGGTGAATGTGAACAAGCCACAGACTCTCGCAGCTCTAAAATAAAAAAAAATAAGGAACATATCGCAGGAAGTATTACGGCAAGTTATGCAAAATGTCATAAATAGGGCTCAAATGTGCTTCAACTCTGGAGGTCAACATTTTAAAGACATTATCCTAATGCACAAACCGTGCCAGAGCCATAAAGGAGAAAAAAAAAAAAGACATTATCTTTAAATCCTAATGGTACGAAATTTAATGGCATAAAAAACCTAAATCTGATTTTCTAATTTAGAAAAAATGTTATAGCTGAACCAAATAGCGTCTTTACTTTTGCACCACCAATTTTGTATATTTAAAAATGCGATTACAACTTAAACAAATTGTATGTATGCTACCAAATATAATAAGGTATTAATACTCATGTTCTAAACGCTTATACTAAGATATTAGTAGGAATATACGTTAAAACATATTATGTAAAACTAAAACAGTGGCGCTTCAACCTTTTTAGGTCTGGGCATCAGACTTCTGTATCTGTGTCATGATTTATCAATCTACTAGGCAAGTAGGATAATAATTAATATCAATCAATAGTTTATTTGTTAAAAATATGTAACAAATCCGTAAAGTTTTTATGTTGTCCTTAATGTGTTGGCAATATTAATATATATTTTTATACTTTTGCGACACCGCCGCCATACACATCATTAATCGAGCCGTTTCTACAGTACTGGTGCCACTAACGCGATATTTTATGTTTTCCATTTTATAAATAGAGTAAGGCAAAGAAAAAAAATAGGTCCTCCTCATCGGTTAAGAATCCCAAATTCATTTTGGAGGAGGAGATGTTTGAGGTCAAAGTGAAAAATTTCATATGTGAAAACTAAAACCTAATGTTATGCTTACAATTAATGTTACCCCTGGGTCAGCAACCCAGGGGCTTACCTTAAACAAATTTAAACCGATTATAAAAAAATCTGTTGAAAGTTTATCTGTAACTAATTACTATATACGATTTCACGGTGTAACAATAATCATATTTGATTGTGTTTTGTTTCCACGCGCACGCCCAACGCGCAACAGCAACTTGCTTCCGTCCGTCCACATCTGACCGTGGACATCAGTTTAAATGAAAACAATTTATTATCTATATCTAGAACATGTTTTTCATCCTATGCTCTACCTTAGCTATTCTAACATTCTTGTGATATATGTAGAAAATTCTAGGTTTTAATAGTAATAATAATAATAATAGTAGTAAATAATAAATTTCAAACCGAAATCAAAACTGAAAAACACATTCCAAATAATTTTTATAAATTTGCGGATAGCCCCCTGTGGGGCGTGGGCCCCACATTGGGAAACACTGACCTAGACATTAACTAGATATTCCTTTCAGGTGGTATACTTCACATCTTTATTTCCATACGCTGTGCTAACAATATTCTTTGTCCGTGGTATAACATTACCTGGCTCCGCTGATGGTATACTACATATGTATAAACCAAAGGTTAGTAGTTTAACTCTCTTAAAGTAGTATTAGTCAAGGAAATGGTAAAGCATTTAACCCTATACCTGAAACATTTCTATGAAGATTTTTCGCTTAGCCTACCTACCCATAGAGAACATTCTGCAATACTACCACGTAGAATCTAGAATAAAAAAGTTAGATTTTTCGGTTATTCCGTGCATATTTTAAAATAAATAAAAATATACTCCAATAGGTCCAGCCATTTTCGAATTATGCGCTTAGCAACATTTTGCGATTCATTTTTATTACTTAAATAAAATGTTTCTTACGTTTTAAAATTAACCAAGCTCTTGTCATAGTTTTTCTGAATATTTATGTTAATATACCTCGACTAATTCCATAGTCAAAGTTTATAGGGACCTGAATAACTATTCAGGCAAATTTTTCCCGTACAATATTTTAAGTTCTTATAAGCTTGTAAAAGATTTATTAGATTATTGTTACTTAGAAATGCAGTCACAAATAGTATAATAATAATAAAAGCCCATTTAATTTTCAATCATTACAAACGTGGAGTATACTGCTTAGATTTGTTATATCCATTGTATACATTATATTTCTTGTTATCGTAATATCCTACCTTCCTTCAGAACCGTTAATCGGAACCCCTTCACGGGTAAAGGTCTCCTTCTATCTCTTTCCAAATATCTCTGTGCATGGCTTTATTTCTTCATTCGCTTCCTGCTAACGCTTCTATTTCTTCCATCCACCTTTTTTGGGGCGCCCTTTTCTCCTTATTCCCCTAGGTCCTTTCCATTTTACGTACTTTGTGTACTATAGTATACTAATCCCTGATAATTCCTACAGCTAGAAAAACTACTAGATCCAACGGTATGGTTGGACGCGGCTACTCAAGTGTTCTACTCCTTCGGGTTGGCGTTCGGCTCCCTCATCGCATTCGGCTCCTACAACCCACCGAATAACAACTGTGTACGCGACGTGCTTCTTGTATCTGTGTGCAACGCTCTGACTGCCATATATGCGTCTGTGGTCATCTTCAGTATTTTGGGCTTCAAAGCTTTTACTATGGTCGAAAAATGTATTGGCAAGTAAGTAATAGCTTTAAATAATCAAATGTTATAGATGCAACAATATAAAAAAAAATTATATCATCATCACCATGAGCCTCTTTATTTGGTCTATTTCTGGACGTAAACTTCCTCCATTTTTCTCCTGTAACCAGCACTGGCCTCTCTATATTTACTGGGGCCAACCTCCTTGACGATGTCGTCAGTCCACCTAGTCGGTTGGCGGCCGCGCAGTCTTTTGTTCTGACGAAGTATCCATTCAAGGAGCCTGCAGATCCATTGATTCTTGTTCATGCGCGCTGTGTGGCCTGCCCACCGCCACTTAGATATTACGACAGCCTTTTTTACGTCGCTCACGCCTGTCTATTCGCGAATGGCCTCATTTCGTATGCGATCGCGAAGGGATATGGCAAGCACGCTCCATCACCCACTGCGCTCTCAGACTTTCCACCGTCCGTTGTGTGAGCGTTATGATTTCGGCTCCATAAGTAAACATATTTTTTTATCTAACCGACGGCAAATTTCAGGAGGGTCACCTGATGTTAAGTGGTAGCGCCGTCCATTGACACTCACATTGCCAGAGGGCTCGCAAGTGCGTCGCCAGCCTATTAAGAATAAACACGTTCTTTTCTTGAGGGACCCGAATTGAATTGGTTCGGAAATACTTCAGTTTGCAGCTGATTCCACATACACACATTTTAACGTTGAATTGAAATATTAAAGATTTTTTGGCATATTATCCTTTGGGTACCTTCCTAAAGCAGCTTGCATTCTAATCGGTAATAGGTTTTTACGAACGAGAAATCTAATCTCATTCTTAATTTATAAAACTAATTAAAATCACGAAATATGCTTTTTAAAGAGATAGATTCCCTTAGTTAACGTTAGTTTTATTTATTTATTTATTTATTAACACTTCGTTGCATATACATTAATATAGTACAATTGACATAAATTAAATAAAAAGCTTTATTATTTTATATTTTAAATTTATATTATTATCAAGCTCTATCGGAAAACGATATTGCCAGTTTCTAATAGACTCCAATGCATAGAATTTACATATAAATTATGTACTGCCTATTCTGTTTCAAATAACATTATTCTGCTAAGGGTTGACATACAAGATCCATCGCACTACTACACTACAGCTACATACGAAAGGATACAACGAATGCGGCAAGTAACTCGTTGATTAAAAAGAATTAAAAAAAAAAACTACTCGATTAGTTAAAATTTGGCATATATTTGTACAACTCATAGATTAAAAACATAAATTCAAATACAAAATCATTTATTCATGTAGGTAACACAATGTACACTTATGAACGTCAATAAATAAATACATATTAAATGCTTCTTATTTTCCATTTAATACACATACAACATCATGAGGAAACCGGCATGCCTTAGACCCAAAAAGTTGACGCGTGTCTGGTACAGGAGGCTGATCACTCACTTGCAGATACAGAAATCTGAGGCCCAGACCTAAAAAGGTTGTAGCGCTATTGATTTTTTTGAATGGACGATAAGTGATTGTGGTTTACGTAAACTCTGAAATTAATTTTCACCACATGCTTACAGCTTACCATTGCCACAGGCTTAAAGCTTCGGCGTACAGAATATAACGTTTAATATATATATAATGGTACCATAAGTATATGTGTTTTATATGTTTTATTATTAAATATTACCAACCCCTGGTGGACACTTCCTTTCCAGATCTGCACCGGGTGTTAACTTAACTACGTTTTTGTATTGCGCATTCCCAATGTTGCAATATCAGCGCTATTAAAAGCACTATATCGTTAATGCAATATCGTACAAAATATATTAGAATTTACAGAGTACCAGTGTTTAGAAAAAATGGACTTTAGAGTTAATAACTTGTAGTCAAACCACCTGTTTGACTACAAGTTATTCGTATATAACTATCAGTCTTCTGTGCCTGACATACGGCAATCATAGACCTGGTCGCTGGTCCCGTTGACTTTTACCATATGATTGCATACATATTTTGGCATGCCTCTGAGGTTCAAAAAAACAGAGTATAATATACACACACCCACCCATTCACATATAATGTATATGCACGCATACATACAAACGACCTATGTTTGACTAATACTACTTTTTCTTAAAACAATTGTTTAAATGTACCACGGAATAATTGTAACCCAAAAACACAGGGGCTAGTGTGGGGACCAGCGTTAGATCTATTTTGTGTCAACCAAATTTCTATCATGAATAAAGATTTATTATGATTGGTAACTGTTTACTTTTGCTTAGGACTTAATGAAGCCTGGTACACTGTTTCACACGGGCCTAAGCCAAGTGCACACAGTTTTTAAGGGTATCTTATATGTATCTTTGCCGTATTTAATATTATTGCTTTTTGAAGACAAAAATTAATTTCGGGAGGTATATTAATTTGATAGATTCGTGTAACTGTTTTGGGTTTTGTTTGTTTGTTTTGTTTTGTTTTTGTTTGACAAAATGATAGGGACTATTGATACTTTGTTAAGGGTCATTCTTTTAATTTAATTTTTAAGATCTGGATATTTTTGGGTGTTGGGTATGGTGATATCTATTACATACATACATAAAATTTATCGAACACAGTCAGGATTGAGAGTGACATATGGGGCCATTCAAGTATTACGTAAGCACTATATGGGGGCACTGCCCCTTCGGGGGACTTTAATTTTCTTATTTGGTGATTACGTCAACAGTAATTATTTACTTTTTTACACATAGGTATTACCCACACATTGTATATGCCTGAAAACGAAATGCAGTTTCGAGAAATCCTACAAAAAATGTTTATGTACTATTATTTTTGAGAGATTTGCTTACTTTTTCTGACAAGAGGAGGGGGGGGGAGGATAAATTGCAGTAAATCTAGCTTACGTAATACTTGAACGGCCCCTTTGCACTAATATCTTATCTAGACGTTTTCGAGTGAATGTGAAATGCGCACATAGAAAGAAAGTCCATTCTCACCTAAGGGATGAGAGTGGCACGCTGAATCCACTAAGCCAACACTGCTACTACCTTATCTAGATACTTACAAATAATTTAATGAAAACATTCTTGATTTAATGAGAGCAATTAATAATTTAAGACCTCCCAAACTTTTAATACGAAAAGTGGTCGAAAACATTACATAAATTCTTACTGAGTAATAAAATGACGATTTATTTTACGACTTTGTTGTAATTTGTGAGTTATTACTACGTTGGCGTCTTACAATATTAAAGTTATTGCATTGGGATTTAGGGACCATAATTTAAAAAAATTATATTGTTAATGTGTTATTTACCTCAAATTTTTGTAATAACTACTTATTGTATGTATAAAAAAAATATAATTATTTTAGGTGATAACGTCATAAGAAAACATTGATGAAAAATGCATACTTTTATGAATTGGATTGAATTATTGTTGTTATCATTATTTTGTATAATACAAAGGAGTTAATTGAAAATTACATTTTTTCCGATAATATATGAGATTATATCATTAATCAAATTCTTAAAATGCAAGAAATAAAATATATGCGTCACAAGGAACGGTTACGCCGATTGTGCCTCCCTATCTCTTGTTCCGCGCTCTCGCTTGCTTGCTCGGCTCAGGCGGAACGTGACAGTGAGTCATGTTTATTCGTGCGTCCATCGATTTATAAGATAATAGTGGGTCATTTGTACCAGCATGGCGGTTCTACAGGGGTCTTATTACGCAATTAAACAAAGAAAAATGATGGTCATAGCGCTGGTACCGGCGGCCCAATCGCGTGGACGTTAAGGTGTGAACTGACCAACGTTACGAAGTGTAATGTAACATGTTACACAGCGAGCATTCGTGCAGTCAGTACGTCGTGTTACGGGGAAACCAGTGAGCAACGAGCGGCACGTTGCTCGCTTTGAGTGCTCCACCCGGCTGTCGGTTTTTTGGCGAATCCTTTGAGTGTTACGCGGTCAGGGGCCTTAGTCAAGATGCCTTAACAGTAGTGTATGTAGAAAGTCAAAAATTAATTTTGTATGAAAACTTTTCGACACGAACTGTCATTTCCATACAAATTTAGTTTTCGACTTTCTACATACACTACTGTTAAGGCATCTTGACTAAGGCCCCAGGTCAGTACGCTCTTGCAAGTCATCCCGAGCGCACGCGCGTCTGGAGTTATCACACGTCGTTCCTCTCGTATTTATTTCTTAAAACATGGAGTGGGACAAAGAAAAATACAGAGAAGAGGAAGTGTTGTGGAACCCAGCTCATCCAGAGCATTATAACAATTAAATTCACGAGTTGTTCAAAATCGATCGGAGACATGCGTACAAAGTTTTTATACTGTCCAGTAATCATTTGTTTTTTTTAAATTGCTATCAATGACAAACCACCACATACGCTTCAACGCATATAGAATCAAAGATACCAACGCGTCCTCGCTGTCGGCCATCTCGTGAACACTGGCGGCGAAAGCGGAGCACAGAGTTTTTACGAGCATGTTACGCCGATTTTAAAACACAGCGTAACTTGCTCGATGCGTAACACGCTCGATGCGAATGCTACATTACACCTCGTAACTTTGGTCAGTACCCACCTTAAGTCGAACTCGTCGGATTAATTAGTGTGTTAAACGATTTGTTCCACAAAAATTCTAGTATTTTCCGATAGTCCATAAAAAAATAAGAGGCGGCAGTGTCATGCCATACTTTTCCGGTGTGACTTACAGCCCGCCATACCGGTACCTAATGTGCTTATGTCAGAATCACGGCTGGGCACCAGTGGACTTTTCATTCTATTCGAAATTAAAACACGCTCATACATACATATGTTAGGGAAACCGGCATGATCTAACAATCCACGGTGTGTGTCAGTCACAGACCAGCTTGCCTAAGGAAAAATTATGTTCACGCAACTGAAACTAAAATCTGAGGCCTAGAATTAAAAGGTGATTTTTCTTTGGCTTCTGCGACCCATTTTACAACATAAGGTCCACGCAAAGCCAAAAATCAAATATCATAGACAATGTTCATCGTATATAAAGCTTTATATATAGCTAAATTTCCCTAAAAATGCCGCGAAGTAATGAAAACTTCATATAAACGTGAGTTAATTGTAACCATGGTTACCATTTCTTTTTAATGAATTTCGTTACCATAGCAACAAACACGGCACACGTCAAAATATTTTCTCCCAAATACAACGATACTATTCACCGTATTGTATCTCATTTATACACAAGACGATTATCAGTTAACGTTCTTATTAATTGTCAACGAGAATAATTATTAATAAAGTGTGATTACTACAACAATGGATCTTAGTCTTGCTAATGCGTGATTTGCGTTGATGTTATAAAGATTTATTTGAATGTACGTGAATTTATTACATTATATATTTCCAACACACAAATATACCGTTCAATATTCTTAACCTAAATAATAATGATAATTAAAATTTGATAAATAGAAAATTTAAACAAATTTAAAAAGGTCCTTGTCCTTCTTACCTTTAACGCTGGCAGCATTTCCTCGCGGTATTGGAGGAAAGCACCAGCTCTAGGGTCACCGGTACCATCTACCAGGCGCCAACTTAAATCTTTAATTACTTTTTTTTTCTTTAATCTTTAATATTTTGTTACGTGAATTTATTCACATTACAGCTGTTACAGCTGTTGCGGTCAGAGACAGCCTCTCGTTTATATTCAGTAAATTTAAAATATGTTGTAATTAATAGACAATTTTAAAAGATTTATAGCTAGTAATGCTACATTATTTTAAGGTTTGAGCCTCGGATTTCTTGATATGATATGTGTCGTGATCATTTGTTTTTCCTAACTGGCATGTACATAAGTGATTAGCGTACTGTACCTGACACACGCTGTCGACTGTTTGGGTCTTTACATTTCTTCCTACTATAATATATTAAATAATATTGTTGATTACTTTATTGTACTGGATTGAATTGGATTTTAATAAAAAAAATTTTCTAGTTAAAATTTACTACCTTTTTACCTTGATAAAATCTTAGTTAAACATTTATCGCTACGGTTGGTTTTTATATTACCGTTTTCTAATGACTTTAGTTTTTGGCTTCAGCGTGCGACTCTCATCCCTGAGGTTGTAGGTTCGATGCCCGGTTGTGCACCTATGGACTTTCTTTCTATGTGCGCATTTAACATCCGCTCGAACGGTGAAGGAGAACATCGTGAGGAAACCGGCATGCGTTAGACCCAAAAAGGCGTGTGTCAGGCACACGAGGCTGATCACCTACTTGCTTACTATTAAATTTTCAAATGAGCATGAAACAAATACAGATATCCCAGAACTAAAAAGGTTGTAGCGCCATTAATTTTATTTTATTAGTTAACTAATACTTATCTCTTTGCCCGCGATTATAGAATTCGAGAGATCAATCTAAATTCATACCATCATTTAAACCATCAAAGTCTTGCTTATTAAATTGTTAAGGCTTATTTATTAATAAATAAATGATTGATACGTAATTCTTATTAAAGTAGTTTTTAGGCCTTTAGCAGCCTCTATTCTTACGAATTTATTTTGTATTTACAAAGATGTCATAGATTACACTATTTTTTAATATTTTATTTGTGATACTCTACAATTTACGTCAGAATGCGAAGAAACTGTTCCTGGCCGCTTACAACTTTAAAGTAAAGTGCAATCTAGTTTTAATAACACAAACATAATCTTATTTACACCAAGGCTAGTCTGTGCTAATGCCCACTCAAGTATACGGAGAGGCGCCAAGCTTGTTATTGTTTTATTCCAGAATGATCTGAGTATCATAGCTTATAGAGTTATACAAAAGATAGACAAGCGTAGATATGTATGGAATATTAATATAAGTACAGTCGGCTCTCGATAATATTTGACACTCGTTAATTTAAAAAATGTTTCCCGGTCCCTTGAAAAATTATGTTCTCTTATCTTTAGAGAAGTAAGATGGCCTTATGCGCCTTGAAAAAAAAGTAAAAAAAATTTTTTTGTTTATTATGGAATATAAGATACAGATATCACTTATTCCACGTCATTAAATTTCAATCGGTAGACATCCCTACTCATCGGCAACGAAGACAGAGGGTGTAGTCCGAGAGAAAAAGCCGGCGTAAAAAACTCTCGGTACTCTTTTAAAATACCAAATCATCAAACAACACTTATTTTAAAACAAATATCGCAAATTAATTAGAAGTATCAACTAAATAATCGTTAACTTTATAGTAAGCCTATTTATACACAGTTTTTTAATACATTTCTTAAATTTATTAAAAGGCAGAGATAAAAGAGCCTCTGGGATTTTATTAAAGAAGAGTATACTTTTTCCCAAAAAAGAATTACTAACTTTAAATAGTCTAGTACGAAAAAAATGCAGCCTGCGTTTGTTCCGAGTATTAACATTGTGCGTATGTTCTATTCTAGTAAACCTATCACTATTTTTGTATAGGTACATACATAATATTTTCATAAATATATTGACCCGTCGTTGATTTGATCACCATGTTTTCCTTCACGTCTGAGCACGTTTTAATGGGCATAGACAAATCCTTTGGTGCAGCCGAGGTCCGTAGGAAAATCAAACCCTTAACCCAATACCCAGAGGAGTTGTTCGGACTAATATCTGCAGCTGAGTTTCATCATCGGACGTCAAAGCAGAATACAAAATACCATCCGTATCACCTTGACGTCCGTCGTTCCACAACTGAGCGATTCTTAAGGAAATTTCTGCCGCTCACCCCCACTTTGTGGAACCAGCTGCCCACTGAAGTATTTCCGAACCAATTCGACTTAATGTCCTTCAAGAAAAGAGCGTACCAATTCTTAAAAGGCCTCTTGCCCGTATGCCTCCTGTAACATGAAAAAAACCTTTACATTTTAGGGTAGACACAGCTACCTACTTTACGCACGCATTTAATAAGAGCGAGAGATTTTAACAAATAAATAGACATACGGGCATATAAAACAAATAAATTAAAAATAGCCTTTATTCGAGTACTACACTAAACTACACTAGGTCCATGTTTTTCACTGGTACTCGACCTCCGACGGAGGGAAGGCATCCTCCAAATTCTTCCACTTGTCTCTATTTCTATCGACAATTGGATTCTGCCCCGCTATCCCTTTTATTCCATCTTCAAGTTTCTGATGGGTCAGTGGTGGTCCTCTCTTTGTTCTTCCCACTTACGGGCAATATACAGAGGCTTAAACATTCCTACTGAATGTTAATTTTATAGATAAACAACAAATTTATGGATTAACTTTTTAACTTCCGATTGGACTGTGAACTTTTAAAAATTAACAAATGACACCGCTCTAAGCAATACATATCTCTAATAGAAAACGTTTCAGACTAGCGTATTTTTCTGTAATAAGATCCTTTCAGCATACGCGCTTTAAATAACCGGACGCGCGTATTTCGGCGTGTTCGCTCGGACTGGTAGTCGCGTCGTGTCGGTATCAACATGGATTCTGACAAAGAAACAGTGCTATTTGCGTTACTTATTCGCCGTCGACTGAGAAGACGAAACAGATGCTGGGTGTCATTGATGGTTGCATCAAGACAGAGAAACCGGTCACTTTAATACACTCTACCCAGAACTGCGAACTTATACGAGCTTAGAAGCGCGTCCACGCTCGTACGAGTTGCGCGTATGCAAAATGGCGCGCCTATACGTGCCTGGATGTGCTTCCAAAGAACAGCTTATACGCGCGTAAAAAACGTTAGTCTGGAACCTAACACAACTGTAATATGAAATAAATTTGTATTTTCTTTCAGGGAAATAAAAGTCTTAGCGTTGCACCATATCGGCGGTTTCACTGTTAACTCTACGCAGGAGTACTATGAGGAGTATTATCCCCGCTTGAGTGATAATATCACCTCATCACTTAACCTTACGGGATGCACCATGAGTCGGCAACTGGATGAGGTAAGCATGCTTTCCGTTCATTACAAAAGAGTACTACCTATTTTCGAGAACAGAAAAAAGTAAGTTGAATAACTATTTTTATACGAATTTGTCAAGCTCCTAAGCATGACTGCTATGGTTACATTTATACAAACCACAGCGGTTTTCTAATATAACAAATTATGATTTTATTATATTATACATACGAGCTGCCCCCGCGAACTTCGTTTCACCTTAATGTGATTCTACTTAGCCTACCTTTTTAGTACATACCAGCATGGAACATTTTGCTATGCTAGCCCAGAGACTGTTCGGTTTTCTGGAATGAAAACTTTTTAGGTTTTTCTGTGATTTTTCTCTATATAAACCTCAGTACAAGTAGTAGTAGTACAAGAGTACAAGTTATAAGTTCTTAACTAACAAGTAAAAAATAGGGGTTGATCGTATAGGGGTGAAAATTTAGGGTTGTATGTATTACAAAAAAAAATATTTAAAAAAATTGGAGTGAATACACCTTTTGAATTAAAGTACTATTAACTTACTGAATATGCATAAAAAAATCATAAGAATCGGTTGAGCCGTTTCAGAGGAGTATGGGAACGAACATTGTGCCACGAGAATTTTATATATATATAGAGATTTTTTAAAGTACATTAGAAATTAAAGATGTTTCTAGGATAGGAATGTTTGTCTTAGGAAATTGGTACGGCTGAAACACGAAAAAAGTTTAATTAGGATTTTCTGTACAAAGATTTTTGAATAATAAACTTAAAACTTTTAGCCTGTAGTCTTGCTCATTCAGTGAATTTTATGCTTGTAATAATATATTATTTGCGAGAACTTATTAGATTTAAAGATATGATTACCCGGTTTTAGGGCTAACTTGTATTGACATACGCGGTATAGAAGAAAATACTGTACTACTGGATAAAAATGAGTTTGATTATCGTCATTATTTGGTATTTTGAAAGTAGAATACAATAAAATCATGTTCGAATTGTATTTCGGGTTTTAAAAATAGTAGTTTTAATTTTTATATATCTTCAATATATCATAGTTTTGGTTAAAATCCTTGTAAGTTAGAATGTTATAGCAAAGTATTAAACGACGCAAATATAAGAGTCTTTCCTCCAACTTTGATTTTGTTCCCTTTGGAGTAGAGAATCTTGGGCCGTGGGGTTCAAGTTCACAGGCGGTTATTAACGATTTAAGGTGGCGCCTGGTTGGTACCGGTGACGCCAGAGCTGGTGCCTTCCTCGCTCAGCGAATAAGTATCGTAACACACCAAGGAAATGCTGCCAGCGTTAAAGAATTGAATATTTTTCAAGGCTATTAAGTCTTCCCTCTTCAAGTCTGAATAATAGTATTTGAACATTAAGTACATTCAGAATATGTCTTTTCAGGCAGCAGAAGGCACTGGCCTGGCCTTCATTGTATTCACCCAGGCTATTCTGCAACTAACTCCAGCTCCATTCTGGTCCATCATTTTCTTCCTGATGCTACTCTCCCTGGGTCTTGGAAGTCAGATCGGGATAATGGAGGGGATGTTGTGCACAATATTTGATATTGACTTCTTCAAGCGGTTAAGCAAACCTGTTATAACAGGTAAGAAATTTTGAATACATCATGGCCATCCATTACAAAATGTCATTGTATATAGTAGGATATACTACATTGTATATAGTATATATAATAAAATATAGTAGAAGAAAAGTGTTTCCCTAGTGTAGGACTCTGGGGCATGCTTGTTTAATCAAAACTTAACGATTAAAAAGAGTGGCGGAAAGTTTCTTGCCCGCTCTACGCCCTTGACTTGCGAACTGGTAGTAGGTAAATGTAAATTTAACGTTCCTTTTTTTGACGTTCATAAGTGTACTTGTTGACCTATATGAATAAAGATATTTTGAGTTTGAGTTGTTACAACGAAAAGAGAACATCACACTGACCGGTGCCTCATTCGTTTTGTTGGAGACCATCCTATCTTAACTTGGTATTTTTCTAGGTTTCGTATGCACTTTCTGTTTCTTCGTGGGTCTGATCTTCACAACTGGAGCTGGAGAGTACTGGCTGAAGATGTTTGACTCTTTCGCCGGGACCATTGGTCTGGTGGTGGTGGCTTTGTTGGAGATGATCTCTGTTATTTACATCTATGGACATGAGAGGTGAGTTGTTGGATTTTTAACGTGGCAGTGTTGGCCTAGTGGCTTCAGGGTGCGACTCTCATCCCTGAGGCTCCCGGCTGTGCACCAATGGACTTTCTATCTATGTGCGCATTTAATATTCGCTCGAACGGTGAGGAAAAATATCTTGAGAAAACCGACATTCCAAGTTGACGGCGTGTGTGGAATCTGACAGGAAGCTGATCACCTACCTGCCTAGTAGATTGTCAGAGATATCCTTTGCCGTATATAAATAAATTTCTTCTTCAGGTTCACCAACGATATCTACGAAATGACAGGCTACAGGCCAGGTTTATACTGGCAAATCACCTGGCGCTATGTGGGACCCTTCATCGTCTCCTGTATCCTGCTCTCGTCTCTCGTATTTATGCTCATCAACCCACCGACTTATGGAGCTTGGAATGCCGCTGAGGTAAGGTTTAATTTTATAGTGGTCCTGTGTATTTTTGAAGTTATACTTCTTTAGGCGCGTTATGAAAAATGTATAAGAGTGAAATTTTACGATGCGCGCGCACCGTGACACAAAATTATCAGTATGGGCGCCGAGCGTGCGCGAGCGAGATGGGAATAAGACAATCTACAAGTAAAAAGAAATAGAATATGCGTGACGTTAGCAGCTATGCCAAGAATTTTGAATGACTATAATGACATTTGTAGTACCTTTTAAACAAATAAAGGAGTTTTAATTATTTTTTCAAAGAAATTTAGCAATGCTTTTTCACAAAGACCTATTGTTACTTAGTTAAAAGGTTATGAAACATACCTAGTTATTAAATTGAATTAATAATATAATAAATAATAATTATTAATAATATTAATTAATAATTGAATAATATACTAAATATTAAATATTGTTAAATTATTAACGCTAAATATTTATTATTAATTATTTAATATTTAAAAAAATTAAAGAAAGCCAAAGAAGTATAACTTCTTACGCGCGTACATAAGTACACGCACCATTTTTTTTATTTTTTATTCGGTAATAATAAATTATAAGTAACGTCTATATGTGGTGCATGCGACGAAGAAATCACACCAACGATTTTTTTTTTTGGTAATGACATGTCGTTGTTGGCCTTAAGGGCCTTCACAGTTCAGCTCGGGCAGTTTTGACGAGCGTAACTTGGCTGTAATGGGGTTTTTTCCCACGACTAGCGCAAGAGCGTCTCCTGCGAGACTCGGACTCAGTTTAGGCCGTCGGGGGGGTGGTCAATCGCCTGAAGGGCAGGATGGAATCTCACTGGAGTGAGTGAACTTTACTTCGCTAAAGGTCCACGACTTCCCCGCTGAAAGTGGTTTTTACCGTAATCTGGTTTTGATTTTTCTTTACCGCGCGGGTGGCTTTTTATCTGTCGTTGGCTACGGTGACTGGATCATCCGGCTCCGGCCTGCTACGGGACTTTTTAGTCAGCAAGGGGTAATTATTTATGCTTTTACGCACCAACTTGATTATATGGGTGATATTTAGCCTTGTTGTGGCGTGAGTCCAACCAGAGTGCGCGCCCTTTTATAGCTGAAAAATAGGTATTCTTCACTCTTATGCATCTTTGAGATTTTTCAGCTTGTTATATATTACATATTTAAATGCTTTCAGTATGTAAATATTAAATATGTTAATCCTTTCAGGGACGCGTGGAGAAGACCCAGTACCCCAACTGGGTGCTGATGGTGGCCATATTGATGATCTTAGCTGGAGTTCTGCCAATACCAATTGTTCTACTTCTGCGTCGCTTCCAGTGCTTGGCCCTCGACGTGGACATCCACCAGGGATCTATAAGAAGAATTGAGACCACAGTCTCTACTAAGGAGATGATGAGCGATCAGGATGTTAGTTATTTGGATGATATTCTGATGATTCGACTTAACGAATATTGCAAAGGCAGATTTGCTTATAACAGTTTAATTAAATCATAACACAAACATTAAGATAATAGAACCTGGTTGGTTCACCAAGCTATCACCTAGTATGAAAGCCGTCTCCAGCAATTTTCAGGGGGGGCAGGTCTAGAATAAATAAACCATGTAAACATTAATAAGATAAATTAAGCAATAACAACCTTTTTCGATTATCTAGGGGGAGCAGGTAAGGGAGCGTTCAAGTATTACGTCACGCCATTTTGGAGATTATTGACCCCCCCCATGTAACGGGCCGTACCGTTTTTCTGAACCCTAGTATAGTAAAACATTTCGTGACCACCTGGTGACTCTTTATACCTAAAAGTTACCATTATGTGGTGTAAAGTACTGGAAAGTCGAAAATAATATTAACTATAACGCGTAATTCAATCCCCGCCCCGTATCGTAACGTTTAACAAAAGGATCCCCCCCAATTTTGTTACGTAATACTTGAAGGCCAGCGGCAACATGCCTAATATAGAAGGCGGGAAAGTGACTTTCGCTTATATTATCCAGAGCTTACATTATCCAGAGTTTACATACTAATCTTGAATCACTGTCTACATACTAAAGTCCGTTGCATAGTTTAAGGGGTGGAAGCGACATTATTTTTCACTGTGTAAATATATTTTACATTTAGACGACTTAATAAACGTTACATTTGAAAAACATCAATCAAGAAATTTTCAAAAAAAGACCGTACCAAATCTTAAAAGACCGGCAACGCTTGCCAGCCTTCTGGCAATGTGAGTGTCCGTGGGCGGCAGTATCACTTAACATCAGGTCATCAGGCCGTTTGCCTCCTGTAACATAAAAAAAAACATAAGTCAAAATTGATAGGAGATTTAAGTGTTGCATTTTAGTCTACATAACACATAACTTCTCTCATATACATCTCATTTCATTGTGTTATGTTCTGTGGTGTTTAACATACTAATATGTGTTGTGACTAACAAACGCAGGTGATTTCGCCGGAGAATGCGCCACCTGCGCCTGCTCAGCTCGTCGCCGATGTCGCTACTAAATTCACTATTGGCGACTTCGATGTAAGACTCAAATTTCTACCTTAGGATATTGAATTAAGGTTTATCGTTTAGGCAAGTCTTTTACCAAGTCTTAGGCAACCCTGTATCTTACGAGGTATATCAGTGAAGTATTAACTTTAACTAAATAAATGGAGGAGTGGGCGTTAAACACGAAAAGTAAATCGTAAAATGTCTGCAAAATTTTCACCTATCTAATCTAATTACGCATAAGATTTTGTATCACAATATTTCCATGCCAGGTCTAAGACTTATAGTTGACTTGTGCGACTAAAATTTAAAGAGAGAAATTCAGCTAAAATCCGTATAAGCTAAGGATGCTGTGTTATCGTATCGTGGCTCTGTTATTATAGATACGTTGTAAAAAGCTAAATGTGTCATAAATCTGAATTCACTTTGAGGGTATTTGACTTGTGGTCTACCAACATTTTTAAATAAATACCCAACAAACCAGATATTTATGGATAAATATGTAAAAAGAAACACGTTATTAGACCCGGGAATAGTGTATATTTGACATATGTCAAATGCCCTCTAATAACCATAAAGGCTAGACTAACCTGTAAATATCCCAAATCCTTCAGGGAGTGGATAGCAGCGACGAGAGACCTGGCACCCGCCTGCCCACAAGCATCGTGCGCGGACGCAATAAGAAATAAATGTTTGTTGTTCATTTTAATGCATCTCATGGAAACAAAACTTTGATGTTCTACTTAGGAACTAAAATTATATTTACGTTTTAAAAACCGAGGTTTAGGTAATAACAGTAATCCTAAAGCTGAGAATTTTGAGTTTTGTTTCTATACATTAGAGAGTAATTGATAATAACCTGCTTTTTATCCGTTTACTGCATTGTATATTTGCGCATGTCACTAAATTTGTTATAGATAAGTTATGTGATTTTCATTTATGCGAGTGTAGAATTAATTCAAACCGTTTTACGTATTTTTGTTTTAAATACGACGAACTGTATTATTAACACGAGAATGCTGATCCATCACATGTATGATTATATCAACTGTATTTTGTTTGTGTTAAATAGTCAATGCCAAAGTTTAAAAGCCAATCGGAGCTACCAACATATATTAATATTATAATATTTTGCAGTCTGATTCAGAACAAGGCGAGGTGCGAGCGTCGGGCACGTGCAACGTCTCAAGCAGTAGTGACGACGACATTCCAAATAAAAAATATTCACCGTTAACCGGAACTAGATTCGCCCTCAAGCCCATCGGTCGCAAGCCAACGACATTCAAAATGGACGTCATTGACGATTGACCGTTATTTTTTGTGTATTTAATACACGCGTGTACGCATTACTTTGTGTATATCACGTTAACGTTGTTACTTAACGTATTTAAGTAAACAGATGGGAAAATGTCGGACCTATTACCGTGTTCCAGGGTAGATATATTCCTTGGAATGCCAAGATTTTCAGCGGTTGTCGCGTTTGTACTTCTAGTAAGGTGTAATCAACTTCTGGGTATCTACCATCTCCGGACACTACACAGAACAATCCTTATCAAGTAAGTCATAGTACTTTGTACCATAAGGTTGGTTTCTGCACTCTATGTAAATCCGAACAGACAGTTTGTATCGGCAATTTCGGTTGTCTTATATTCAACGTTCTTGATTAACGAGAGCCTAATATATCCTGGAACACTGTATTTTTTGTGTACGGGTAAAATAATTATAATATAGATATAGTAAGCACTCGTTCCCTTTCACCTTCCATTTTAAGTAATCATAATTTGTCAACTTATTGTAACGTATGCAATATTTTCTTTAGACAAATGTAATCATTGAAACTGTTTGAAACTGTGCTTGCTATTTAGATTATTTTCGAATAGCAACGCACACGTTGAAATGAAATTAATTATGATTAAATATACAATCGTGAAAGACAAATACCTACTCATTTTTTCTTGAGTTTAACAATAAATTTTGTTTTAAATCCTACACTTAATTTGAGCGACGCGAAGTTAGGCTTAATTCACAGGATCCTAACGGTGATTACTTGGAAATGACCGTGAAAAGATATAGTAGATCAATTTAAAATTTGAAGTTAATAAATCAATTATATCAAAACTATCGCCGAACGATGTAAATAAATCTACTATATTTTTTTAATATCCTCTAATTATAATTTATAATTACGCGCTGAAATAGGATAGTGATAAAATATTTTCGAAGTAATTTGAAAGTGGAAATTCGCCACTTATAAAAGCTAAGTATCAATACTCGTTGTAAAAACTAGTGGAGCGAATGTAAATAATTAATTTAGCTTAAAATTAAGCCAATCTAGGAATGCGGTGCCAGGACTTCTACCACTTCGGTAGAATTATTTATAACCATTACGTTAATACAATGTTTTCTTATGTAGGCACTGTGCCTAAAGTGCCTTATAAGTAAGCACGGGCATGTCTTATCAATATGTTGTCGAAGTACGTAGTCAGCAATAGGCAATTACTACTGTGTTTTTGTGATGTACCGTATCAGAAAGCTTACATTAAGTTGTGCAGCACCACACAACGATAATTTGGTGGTCTTAGGGCGGTTACAGATTAGCAGGTGTTTTACGCGCGTATAAGCTCTTCTTTGGAAGCGCATGTAGGCACGTATAGGCGCCTTTTGGCATACGTGCAACTCGTACGAGCGTTGACGCGCTCGTGTAAGTTCGCAGTTCTGGGTAGAGGGCATTAAAGTGATCGGTTCTCTGTCTTGATGCAACCATCGATGACACACAACATCTGTTTCGTCTTCTCAGTCGACGGCGAATATTTCAGGCAATGTTTCTTGGTCAGAAGCCACGTTGATACTGACACGCCGCGACTACCGGTTCGAGCGAACACGCCGAAATATGCCAGTTTGCGCGTCCGGTTTTTTGAAGCCCTTATGCTGAAACAACGGTATCCGCGCAGAAAAATATGCTAGTCTGACACCGCCCTTATGTCTACTATTACAATATCATCGTAAAACAATACCGTTCGGAAAGTTTTTGAGCTTTTGCGGATTGTTTAAATTTTCCTTATACACGTAAATTTAGGATTGCGATAAAATTTAATTTTTTAAGATGCCAAGATTCATTAGTAAAATTCATGTTGGGTAATGGGCGCTATACAAAGATTAACAAAAATTTACTTTCGGGTTAAAATCTAGAAATAAAACGTTAAAAACGAAATCGAGGGTATGCTAGTCATTTTTAGATAATGTTTAGGACGTTATAGCTTGGCTATTTAGTCTAGATATTATGCAGGAGCACAATGCAAAGAGTTTAAGAATGAAATTAAGAAAAGTTAGTTCACATCTTGGTAATACTCAAGTGCAAAGGTAACCAAATAACAAAAATAAATTAATATAAACGATAAATTATTTTCCTAATCATCTGTCATTAATTATGAACATAGACTATAAAATGTATGACATAATTTAATTTATTGATAGTCTGTGCGGAAACCTCAAAACCTACGACAGTTCTTTTTCCGCACAGACTACTACTAAATGAAATTATTAAGCTGTAATTCTCTTAATGCGATGAAACAGCAATCCAGACTATAATATATCGAATTAAAGTAGACGTTTATGTAAAATATAATACTTATACAGATCGCTAGATACATTTCCAATAGAAGATTTTGTCTGTTAAAGATGTTCCAAAACGACATTAATTACTTTTACTATACACAAATTTATTAAAACATGAGCTAAGTAAGAATATTTGGTAAAAATTTTACGCCTAATTTTTTGTCTAGAAATTCTAGATTCAAAATTGAGTGTTTTAGTTTTTTCGTCCTTCTAATTGGAACAGAAGAGAACGCCTAGAAGAACTATGCGTTTTGTATAATTTTACTAATAAGTATGTATTTGTCATTTCGAAATATTGCCATATCTCCATTCAACAAAATAGTTGAAACATTCCAGATAGTATATAATTATCGTAATACCAGGGCACTGTTATTTTAGCAGTATATGTCCTTCGTAAACACGATATATTTAACAGGAAAATGCCGATTTTGATTCTCAATTTGAATTTGTCATACTTACAGTAGCTCACTTTATAATTACTTGATTTAACCCAAAATAATAACAAGTTGTGAATTCAATAATTTAGATACATTTTTTAAATGTAAAATGTATCGTGTTTACGGTCATCTTTAATTGTTTATCGCTCAAAAGAGCATTAGTGTCTGTTCAGTAGTTTATAGGTAGCTTAGGGATTACATCCCGGATAGACGTAGTTAAACTGATATTATTAAGATTAATTTACGAAATGCGAATAAAATTATGCCGCCAACATGTTTTTTATTTACTTGCCTGAATAACACTCTGACGTCCAAAATGGATGTCGCAGTCAACTAGCTTAATTAGCCGTTCAATTAACAGCCTAGCCTTTTAACTCAATGGCGCCGATTAACTAGCAGCATGAAAGATATTCAGCATTCAGCAACTTGTTGGCTAATGCTTAGGCCATTCGTACGATAGAGTCATTATTTGGCAGAAATAAAAAAGATAAATATTAAATTATAATTTATTTATTTCAAATAATGACTCTATCGTACGAATGGCCTAAGCATTAGCTAAAAATATTAGTTAAAAATAACATTGGTTAATTTTACATTGCTGTTATAATATCTGTTTAGGATTTTGCTATGCTAAATGTTATGCCTAATGCTCAAGTCCATTCACTCCATGGGCGGCGATCACTTAACATCAACTCCTGCTTTCCGAGTCGATTTTAAATTTAATTTTCTTTCTCTAATCTTATTAGCAGCTGATACGTACTGATGATGACGCACTAAATATCTGAAGGAGACAAACAAAAATGAAAGACGAAAGAACGGGTCTCGAAAGCAACTGTGCCCCAGTTCGCCCATGTAAAAATATAAGAAATGAAAAAGGCAGGGAGTAGATCGAGAGTAAAAAATATAACATCTACAGATAGTGCAATTTAAGAAGACGCGCCACACTATTCCTCCTAACCGTTTATAGTATACGAATATGTGTGCAAGCTTCCGTCAATGTTGAGTGTTTTCGGTACACACGCACACTACAATGAATAGCTGACGGTTCGCAACTGACGCTCGGAGCAAACTCCCCGCACCCCGCGATCCCCTCAACCAAAAATTGGTGGGGCGCGTCTACGTGAATCGCACTATCTATAAACACTGTATATATATATAAAAAGATGTTGAAGGAACCATCTGGAACTGAGTTACATTTCATTCATAATTGAAACGCTTAGCGTGCCAATGGAAATTGGTTTTGAAGACTAACCCTGCAGTCTTGCGATATATGTCTGCCGCAAAACAGTAGAGTCAGTTAATAAAACAAAATAAATTTTAAAATTATTATACTTTCAAATTGATATTGCACAAAATTCATTAAATAAGTACTTAACACAGGAGATTCATAGTCGACTCAGCGCTTAGTATGACTATTTCAAAAACGTATTAAATTTTGACACATAGTTCATAGTTCGCGCTAAGTCAAACAGAAATCTTAGCCAATAGCGAAATATACAAAAAATATTACAAATTCGATTTCTTAAGTACAAATTTACTATATATCACTTGAAATAAGAAGAAGCTTTGCTAACTATATACAGTATAGTTTTGTTGTGAACATAAAATAATATAAAAACAATCTTACAAATAAAAATTACAAATTTTATGAAGTGAACAGTGTCCGCCCTTAAACCCCGAAGTTCGAGAAAAATCTAATTGATACAGCCGAGATTACGCTTTTTTTATTGACACACGCTCTCAATCTTGGCTTAGTGGCTTGTGTTAAGACTTAACTCAAGCCACTAAGCCAAGATTGATTGTCTTTTACGTATAAATATTATTAATTAAAACATAGTATAATATTAATAAATAATTAAATCTTTATATAAACTTCATTAATATTTTTCACTTAGACAATTGTAATAAAAACTATACAAATTAAATACACTTGTCGGTAAGATAAGTATAAACTTGATAATATAGTCAATTATTATCCAATGTCATTAGTATAGCTGCTCTACTAATGAAATTGGATATATATATGCTATACTATAGCATATACTATATATATAGCATTAAGAGGCCCTCAAGTAAGAGATTTTTTAGTCTAGTTCAGAGAGATTTTTGTCACAATTAGCAATACTGTAAATCTAATTATATCTAGGGAATTCATACGAAAATACATTTCTTAATCATAAGCGCAACCATAATGGCTCACGATAACATCCTTCTATGAAATTATATATATATATATATTTCAAAAGTTGCCTATTTTAATCCATGCCCCATATCCATGAGATAAATTATAACAATGGGGCAATATAAAAATAAATTAACGATTATACGATATAATCCTCAAATAATTAAAAATAAGAAAACATTCAATAGCTATTTAGGGTTTATAGTATATTTCTATATGTTAATATCTCTACAATAATATTGCGTATTTCAATATTGAAACGATTCTAAAATGTCTTTATGAGAGTAAACATGTACGTTTGAAAATCGAACGTGTCGTTTCATTGTGATTGGTTATACGTTGACCAATGATAATCAAGCGATCTGACTTGCCAAAATGTAAAACGATTATGCGCTCGACTTCATTATGATTGGTCAACAGTCTCTCTAGTCCAGTGTTTCCCAAGGTGTGGCGCACACCCCACAAACGACGGCGGGCTATTCCGATATTTATTAAAATTATTTGGTATTTATAATTCAGTTTTTCATTATGTTTTAAAAATTTACTTACTGTGATTCGTTAAAAAATACCTAGTAAGTTCTTCCTAAAACATATCATTTAAGTTTCTTAAGTGAAGAATATTTTTTTTATATTATAAATTATGTATAATACATAGCCACCTAGTCATTTTAGAAAGGCTAAGATGGTGCACGGCACAAAAAAAGTTGGAAACCACTGCTCTAGTTGAATAGGCGTTGACACTATTATTACGTCTGTTTGACAATTTTCACTATCGAACGCAACATTTCGTCCTGCATTTTTCGCTTAACATTTACACTCTCTCATAGTATTGTTTAATAACAGTTTATAAGTACATTTGTTAACTTAAATAATACAGATCTCCATAAAATAGACTATAAATAATTAAAAAAGCTTTGATGAGTGACATGACTTTAAACTTTTAAACAAAATCTTAGTAATGGTAAAAACTGGTTTCAGACAGGTTTCCATCAAACATTGTATATAAACTATAAAATACATTAAAATAAACAATTCCTTCCGATGCAAGTAAAATAATTTTTATTATAATTAATTAGTTAAATTATAATTTATTAGTTCAGAGTAGATGCCATAAGTCTGTTATATTAATCTAATACTACTTACTATACCCTTTTTGTATATATTGTAGTATTGTAAATACCCATTGTATTTGGGTGAACGGTGACAAGTTTTTTGTTGAAATAAAATAAATAAATAATTTTATGTTTTTGTCATAATTCTCTTTGCTGTGTTATATTTTATTTGTAGTAACAATAACTCTAAAATTAAGTTTGAAATCAGTTTTCACCAGTGGTACGAACATACCTTATGGATGATAGCAGAAAGGGCATAGATTGAGGAGATGTTACATCGCTTCACTTCTATTATTCTTCTGTGTTAACTTACTAAGCGTACTAAGTTGTGGGAAAGCTGTCTTATTTTGAACTGGATTAAGTTTGGTTGTCATAAATATGAATGGTTCATATAATGATGGTCGGTCCATGGCCGATACTTCAAAGTGTCGAATTTTTTCTTTTGAACACCAATTTGATGCCTTCGAACAAGTATTTTCAAGGCAATTCACATCATCTGGCCCTGTACGGTTCCCAATGACTAGCATTACAACCTGAAACATATCAATAGTAATCTTTTAATTATTACTCTAATTAAATATTTTAGTAGTGTAATTATTGTGGCTAAATCTATCTAAACCGAGGTTGAGCATAAAATTCCTAACATTTTGTTCTTATGTGTGCAGTGTGACCCTCCTTCTATACGGGGTTCTTCTGCTCCTCCAAAAAGGAGGGTCTCCCATCAATACAAAAAAAATCAAAGAAACATGCAATCTGAGGCCACTGGGTTACTTTAGGTTAGTCTTTCATTGCAATTGCTTTAAGCTTAAAACTTGTTTAACTACTCTGATGTGGAATGAAAAGTACTTTAGTCAATTTGCAATAGTAATTTAATCTAGATCTATGTTTTAGCTTTCCAATAATGTTTATCTTATTCTCTTGATTTGAGAACTGGCAGTAAATGTAAAATTAGAAGCATTAATATGTATTTCTTTACTGACAAGTCATAAGTGTACATTACGTTACCTATGTGATTAAATGATTTTATTTTATTTTACCTCTTTTTTGTCTTTATTTCTATCAATATCCTTTTTTAAATACATAAGTACATCAAGTGATTCAGGTCTTGTAGTATCATACACCATAACAAAGCCCTCGGCAAAACCTAGGTAGTGTCTCTGAAGAACTTGGTTAGCTGTTAGCTGCATAGTAGGAGACTGTGGAGGTCCTAAAAATTTATGGTCAAATAAAAAAACAGTTGTAAATCAATATTACTCTCTCCTATTATAATCAAGTTTGTTTTTCCAAAATTATTTGCATTCAAGAAAAGACTAAATATGTTAGTCGGTACAAAATACCATAAATTTTATAATTGGGTCTAAAGGTACAACTCAGAAACAAGTATGTCATAAAAAGTAAGACATAATATTATGCAGGTTAAATGTAGAATTGAATGGTACACATCCTGGGATAAAACAATGTTGCAAACCTTAATGTTGAGAATTCTATGCTAGATAAAAGTGAAAAAAACAAGTTTAATTAAATTTTTCACATTGTGAACTAAAGATTTCTATTATACTTATAGTAATAAAATTAAATGTATTTCAATTGTGTTTTAATCAGATAATAGTACATAATCATCAATTTGGTTGATGGAATAAGCCCATATAGTCCATACATGGTTTGAAGATTCTCATCTCCGGCAACTTGAAGTGCATGGAAAATATTACCATTCTTTATAAGCTGTTTGTAAGTAATATGTGCAAAAATAGAAGCTTGTGTTGTTTTATTTCGTTAAGCTTTAGTACCGAAACCTTAATTTAACTGAAATGTTTAAACCTTTTAACTCGCCTGTGAGCGGAGGTTCCAAACCAGCTGTATCATAGAAACATACCCGTTCTTTAGTACCACGGTCAGTCTCAATATTAGCAACATATATATCTTCAATTGTTGGGTAGAACGATGATTTTAAACTAACGCAACCATAAATAAGCTGCTCTAAAATCGCAGTTTTACCCACTCCTTTCATTCCACAAACAACAACTTTGCTAGTTTTTCCCATGGTGAGTTTGTTGCAGATTGTTACTTTCACTAATTACAGTAAGTACGTATATAACATTTTTGTTTATTTACATATTAATATTTCCTAAATATATGTCTTGATACAAAAATTAAATCAGAGCTTAAGGGCTCAAGTTAAACCAAGATATTTCATTATATTATCTAGTTTATTTACAACTTCAAACTTGACAAATTACAAGAAGTCAAGAAGGAACTAAATTACTAAACTAGTAACACAAAAATCAAAATATGACCATAGGTTCTATAAATACTGCCACAGACTGATCAATAAATGTAATAATCTTACGATAAAATCTCAAGGATAGTATAATAAAAAGTAAGTATAATTATATAAGTATAGTATATTTGCACTAACCGTGCCATAAAGAGAAAAAATAAGTACCTATGTAAATTTAATAGTTAGGTGTATAAATCTCTCTCTCTCTCGATCTTTGTCACTTGCTTGCTCTCTACTCTGAACTCATGACTATATTTTTCTTCATGCTACGTTCGCCCTTTCTCACTCTCTCTCAATAGCTCTCTCCCTTTTCTTCGACAAAAACGCTGCACATCTTCGTGACGTGCCGCGCCTAAAAAAGTTTCTCTTCAAAAATCTGCGTGTACTGCACAAGACGTTATGCGAAAGAATTGCCATCTAAAGTTCTAATACATCAACCAATAGCGTGTATTTTTTCTTGATCTCTCACTATCTCTCGATCTTTCTGACTCCCTTTTCTTCGACAAAAACTGCACATCTTCGTGACGCTAATATTATTATTATTACGTTTCATTCGTAAAAAATTTACCCTCATACGCCTAAAGAAGTTTCACTTCAAAAAGTGTGTGTTTGAGTAGATTCGAGAATGGCTTAGAGTTAGATTTACCTACAATAAGATGTTTTTTTTTAATTTGTATTTACGTGACATGTGTATAGGGCAACGTCTGTCGGGTCCGGTAGTATAGTTGCATTCTTTGGCACTACGACACTTTGGTAGTTGACTTAATTTTCTGGTAGTTTGGTAAAGCAGAGCAGTGTTGGCTTTGTGGCTTCAGCGTACGACTCTCATCCCGGAGCTCGTAGGTTCGATCCCCGGCTGTGCACCAATAGATTTTCTTTCATTTTCATTTCAATTTTAAATTCGCTCGAACGGTGGGGGAAAACATCGTGAGGAAACCGGGTTGCCTTAGACTCAAAAAAGAAGGCGACGGAGGCTGATCACCTACTTGCCTAATAAGACAAATGATCATGAAACAGATTCGGAAATCTAATGCCCAGACCTAATAGCGCTACTGATTTAATTTTAATTTGGTAAAGCTATGAAAGATAATATTCAAAAGGACCTATGAGATGTTTCATTTAATAATAAGATTTTCAAACTATATATTACATTAGTAGTAATTACAACATAATATTCACATTAGACAGTTATTTAAAATAAAAAAGGGATAAATTTTAAACTTTATTTCCGAAAACAACAAAAAATAAACTAAGATAATGGAACTATTTTTCAATTTAAATTCACTAAACAATGATATATATTTTTTCTTATTGATGTGTTTTGGATTAAGACTTAGCAAACATAATAATGATGAAAATGTGAAGACCAACATTTTATTTTAATTTAAAATATAAACCAACTAAAGTAATATAATATTTTGTAAAGAAATTTCATTTGTTACAAGAAATGTTTTATAAAAGCTCATGAATTCATTTGATCCACATATAACATATTGATTGACATCAGCTGGTTTTAATAATTCAATATCTCTAACATCTAATTTCCTATCTAAGATTGGCTCCTCATATTTAAGTGCATAATTTGAACTTGAACTTAGATAAACTTTGTATGAAAAATTCCAAAATGACTTCTTGCTATACAACTCTTCTCTATATAAAATGGTTTCCATATAATGGGTGCAATAATACAAGAATATTTTAGTCATATCATCTTCATTATTTAAAATTTCTTGAATAATAGAGATTAATGGTATAATACCTGTTCCTTGAGCAAATAAAACAATGTTATTAAATTTATTTGGTGTAACTTCATACCCACCATATGGCCCTCTCCACAAAGTAGTATCTCCTTTGACTAAGTTATATAAATAATTGGATACTAAGCCATTTTCATATACCTTTACGATAATTTCAAAATCACAGTCATCTTCATTAGGTTTTATGGGTGTATAGGCACGAGAACATTTGTAGCTGTCTTTTTTAAATAAAATATAAAAATGTTCACCTACTTTCCAGAATACTCTGTGACCACTATCCTTTTTTTTTAATTTTACCAGCTTATGAGACTTACATAAGATTAATACATTAGTAACCACAAATGATGTGTATTCACCCTGCAAGATTCCATTTGACTTAAGATCTGTAGGCACATTATGACTATTTTTATATTTTTCATACAGCTTTAATTGCTTCTCATACACATCATAAATACAAGGATTACATCCACTATTACAACAATCTTCTTTATTTGGCTCAACTGGAGCCTTCATGAGTGCTAATTAACTATATAACTAAGTCTTAAATGTTAAAACTTAAATTTGAATTATGGAGCACCACATCACGTTATTATAGTATATTTTCACTCCAGCATCAACTAACACCAATTTCTAGAAGAAAAAAATTATTCAAGACTAGTTTTTTGAAGTTTACAAGGTTATTTATTATTACTATTCTTTATTTACTTCCAGAATCCTTTTTTTTTTTTTTTTTGGAGTTTATGGCCTGGTATCTAGACCTTTAGGCCACTTCCAGAATCCAGTATTCCAAGGTCCACAGATAATAGATATCAATTATCGGTGATCGCTCGTAAATCTTTTTAAAACCATACTACTTTGACATGTGCACTGTGCGGTGTGTACCGTGTAGTGTGTACTGTGTACAGTATGACGGTTCGTTAATATATTATTATGAGTGTGGTATTATACATTAGGTCTGCCTCATAATGATAATTTATGATAGTTTATGTTTTACTCCAACCTCGTGATACCAAAACTAACGGCGAAGGGAACTTCTCGTGAAAAGCACTACAGAGTTGAATAATAACCATAACTATGATATTATGGCTAGAAGGATTACATATCATGTACGGGTAGTTATAAACAGGGTTCACAACCGTAACCAAATGTCTTTGCCTTCATAATGGGAGAATTTATCTGAAAAAGTGATTACACTTTAGTGCCCCAGAATTTGGTGATTTTTCTATTACCAACTTATGCTGTCACAAGGCAACTACAGCAGATGAACTATGCGTTAATGAAAACACAGCACTCGAATACTAAAATTGATTTGAATGGTGACGCAGATTAAGTCTTAAAATATACCTAACGAATTTTACAAATATATGCGATGTTTACCGACAATAGATGTGCACTTAGAGCGAGACACCGTATGTTCAACGAGTAAACATTCAGTATTTTTGTACTCCTCTTTGACGAAAGACATTCAATTATTATGATTTTTCAATTTGAAAAACACAAGTTTACAAGATTTAAACTATAAATCGTTTGCAAATTTATTTTATTTAAATTTTTAAAGTATTTTTAATTTTCCTGACTGTACGATAATTTATCGTATATGGATCACATATACGATAATTCTCACGGCCCTGGTACGATAGCTGGCTTCAGGTTGTGAACACTGCTCAGTAAGTCAGTAGTCTGTGTTAGACAGCATGGCGACCACTGGTGTAGATTCAGAAATTACTAAAAGCGATAAATATTCGATATTATTACCCACATACAATGAAAGAGAAAATCTTCCTATAATCATATGGCTTATAATCAAATACCTAGATGGAAGGTATAGAAATATGTGTATTTATTTTAGTAATGTTTACTAATCTGTAGCTGTAATTTCATTACATTTTTAGTGGAATAGATTTTGAAGTGATAATAATTGATGATGGAAGCCCCGATGGAACATTAGAGGTTGCTAAGCAATTGCAAAATTTATACGGCTCTAATAAAATCGTGCTACGACCTCGCGAGAAGAAATTAGGACTTGGCACTGCTTACATTCATGGCATTAAACATGCGACCGGCAACTTTATTATTATTATGGATGCTGACCTAAGTCACCACGTAAGTTTATTATTAAGCTCTATCAGGTTTATGTACGTATATGGCATCTTTATGTCAACAAGATTCAAGATCAATAATTTATTTTGTATGTATGACTTATTGGTAATTGGTATAAAGCTTTATGTTAAAGATAAGTTTCTGGAAACAACTTATTCGTCTTCTTAAGACTGTTAAATGTAAATTCGTATTGGAATTCTTAAATATCTATACTATAATTTGCAATGATTTTGTATAATGTTGCCTCATGGCCAATACATTCATTTAAAACTGTCAGAACAAACAGATGGTCAGAGATGTTATCATATCAGTAACATACTGGCTTTAGAGTTTTTTTTTTTCAATATCATATTAAGTGTTATTTAAATTTTCAGCCTAAATTCATTCCAGAGTTCATAGAGCTCCAGAAAGAAAATGACTATGATATAGTTACTGGCACACGCTATATCAATGGAGGAGGGGTTTATGGTTGGGATTTTAAGCGAAAATTAATATCTAGAGGTGCCAACTTTTTAACACAAATGTTACTAAGACCTGGTGTGTCAGATTTGACAGGGTCATTTAGGTACTTGTTTTTATTCTTAGTAAGTAGTAGTAAGTTTAAGTAGAATAGGATAGATATATAGATAGAATAAAATATAATTAGGATATGTGATGACTAAAATTATCTAAAAAATTTACCCTCAAATAATATAACTTCATTTTGTTTTTATTTCATGGAAAAATAAAGTTACTTTTTAATTCTATATTTCTATAACGGTGGGAGAAAATTTTCATGTGAGTTAAAAGGCATCTAAATGCAAATGTTATATATCTAGATTAAATTACATTTTCAGGTTGTACAAAAAAGATGTTCTACTGAAACTTGTAGAAAGTTGTGTGTCAAAGGGATATGTGTTTCAAATGGAAATGATAATCAGGTAAAATTATGAAAATTTAATACTAGGCATAATTCTATTACATTTTAGTTTTTACCCATAATACTATATAATTAATTCTACATAATTTCATGAACAACTTTCTTTTCATTTCCAAATTTCAAAATTTTCTTTCATTGCATTTCCAACACTAACTTAGTTAACATTCAAACTTCTTTGGTAAATCACAGATTAATTTTACTTCCCAACAATTTCATATAACTAATTCTAAAGCTTTGAGTTACTTTCAACACGACATCAATTTACATTCATCAAAACAATCAAGTTACATTCGACAACAAACGAATTAACAAACAAATATGGTGGCGCGGGGCATATTCCGTTCAACCAATCAGCGCGCGAGGTGCGATCCGTTTCACAATTTGACGGTTTCACTTCGATAGAGATTACAATCTACCGAATAATAATACGTTAAATTGTAAGCAGTTCGTTGAGGTTCACAATCTTTCGACAGTTTACAATCTCGCGAGATAGATTACAATCTAACGGTGTTTACAATTTTACGGTGACATTAATATCACATTTTAATAATAAAATCTATAGTTACTATTTAATAGTTGAATATTATTCTTAAGATCTCCATAATATTTAACTTAAATCATTACTCACATAAATAAAACTATTTAAGACCTTAAGTGACTTGCAGAGAGAGAAATTAAACCAATATGTATGTTATATCTTTTTTTTAATTGTAGTAAAGAGTAAGAGCATGGATGTTAACATGGTTGTCATACTCTTAAAAAACATGTAATTTTTTTGAATAATCCCTTGTGAGAAGAGTAGTTGCTTGGAGAACAGATGAGCCATGTTTGCATAAGTCAGTCGTTCAATCCTTGCAAATTTCCTTCTTGTTTGTTTAAGGTGTCTTTCTAATACTTTCAATCGAGTAAGTTCGTTTGAAGCTTTATCTGTAAACAATAAGACAAGATGTTAAGGATTCAAGCATAATATTATATATCACATTATTATTATTATGTTTGAATCCTGTAAAAACAAGAATATTCTCATCAAATTAAATTAAATAGAACACGGTATACTCTAAGCCTCTATAGATCTATGGATTTTTAAATGTTTTTAATGTTATATATAAGATATACTCACTAATATGGCCCATCTGCAGTTTGTTTAGTCTCTGTCTTATGAAGCGGTTGTACATTTCTGTAATAAATATCTTTCATATATTATATTAAGAAATTTATTATAGTTTGAAAAAAAATTGTTTCAGAGCCCGACAGTTAAACTACACTATAGGTGAGGTGCCCATCACATTTGTGGATCGAGTGTATGGGGAATCTAAGCTTGGTGGTACTGAGATTATTCAATTCGCTAAGGCTCTCTTATATTTATTTGCTACCACATAATTGTAGCAAATTGACAGAGGTGGCATAGCATATTCAGCAAAGTCATGATCATGTACAAAAAATTCATTCCATTGCTTTTTGAATTCTTTATACAGAAGACCACAATTAATGTTTTTGTGACTACAAATTGCAAATATCTAAATGAAATTATAGAAGATATTCTGTAAGTCTAGAACCACTTTAAGGCTATTAAATAAGTTATAAAGAGTCATTATAAATGTGTATTTTTATAGTATACTAAGGAATATATTTGTATATTATGAGAATAAAGATTTTATTTATTTTCAGAATCAATTATTTAATAATAAGTAATAATATTTATAGTGAAAATGAAAGTTTTGATGATGGCTAAGTAAAGGGTATTTTTCACCATAAATATAACTTTGTATGTATTTGTCTAATAATATTTGTCCAAGTGTTCAACTGAATTGACAATGATAAAGTAGTGTACAGTAGTATTTTTTATTTTGTGTCTTTAGGAGCCAACTTTTATGACAACAACCAAATATTTATCTGAAAATTAAATGTTCTGTATTTTAAGTTTAAATGACCGACATTTCTAATGCAGAGGATAAAGAATTATTAATGAGCATTCACTTTTAAATGTTTGTTCTTGTTGAAAGAAAAGTTGTGTTGTAAATAAAAGATGATAATAAAAAGTAGGTAATTGTTAAATTGTGTAATAATGTAATTTGAACAGCTTTCTGAGTTTTAGATCAGGAAGGAAAAAAAAGTAGTTTTAGTAAATATGAAAATCCCACCCTCTATCCTATCAGTGATTTAATAAAAACTCTTAACACATTAACAGGTAAGTTACAATTTCAAAGTTTTGTGTTATATTTAATCATTCATGTTAATATAGCTATTAACGTTACAGTTTCGCGTTTTCTGTAATAATGGTGATTGATGCAATCAACTCTAAATGTAAGTAACAAGATTTCATTTTACAGTATCTATACTTATAATTTGAAATCAAAAATATAACAAAAAAAACAATTATTTACAAGCGTATGTCGTACATTTCACTTATTGTAATCACTGAGAATCAACAACTTCATTCTAAACCCGCCTTCAATATTGTCGCAAAGATTTTAAGGAAATGTGCAAAAAACTGAGGTTTTCTACTTTAATTAAACACATAATTATCATTAAATTGAATTTTGTACTGAAATAAACACTATAGTATTTTATTTAACTTACTATACTTACCGGATCAGTCGGAGTAGTAATCGGTAAACAGTATAAGTACTCTTGTAGCTTTTAAAGGTATTAACTTTATATTTAGGCTCAACAATGTTCTTTTTTAAACCTTTACAATAAAATACCACCTTTGGCCTGTACCAAACTGAAACACAAGTTCAATTAACGAGTACTCACTACACAGCACAAAATACCACATAAAAGTATCTTAGGTAGTAACGAGTTAACGAAAACGAAAACTTTCTCGTTATTGTAAACATAAAGCGCTAGATAGAAACGTAAACCTTATTAGCCGTGAATAAGGCCCGTTTTAAATAACTGTCAATGCCTGGTTTTTTGCTTTTCGTTTACCACGCAATTGATAAAGTTTAGCTTAAATTCGTGAAACTGAAATTACCTATTGGCACATAATATGTGTAATTTAAATACATATATTAATTAAATTTAAAATAAGATTTTGTTAGGTAGTCTGTGAAAGAAGTTTTCGATGGTTGTATACTCTGGTTTCGACACCGTCATTGTATATAGCCTGTGGAGTTATACCTAGCTGATATATGTCATGCTGACACTCATGACAGAATGAGGCCATTAAAATTTTTGCGAAATATGTCTACACTGTCACTGTCTTACCTACGTAATTGTATTGTTTAATTTCTGCATTGTGTAGTGGCATAAAAGGTGTTTTGAGGTTTATATAAAATATAATTGTAGTTCTGGTGTGGTGATTGGAGTTTTGTTAAGTAGATACTCCGCTTTGCATTACTGATGTAGAAAGTCAACAAGATGCTTGGCCAGTTTAATAACGTCGGTGTTCGCGATTGCAATGGAACTAAACTACGGTATGATCAAGCTTGTTTAGAAATAATTACTGATGGCCCAATTGCTTTCTGGAGCCAGTATGAGGAGTGTGAAGATTGCATGTTGTTGGAGACTGCCAACTTGAAGAAGTCAGGTCCTGTAGTCCTAGAAACGATCAGTCCCGTCCGATTTGCTATACGCAGCGCAGATAATGAAATTTGCAATGGTAAGTAACTTTTCCAAACTTTTTTACCACGTAAACTGTCTGATATTGTAACTCGAATTACAAATAATTTATGAGATTTCGTGAAAATATGAAACCTTTTCAATATAGTATGTAGGTAATGACGTATTTATCGACGCTTAGGTCAAGTGACTCATAATAAAATATCAATATTGGCTAAAATTCTGTTTCCTATTTAGTTATGTGAACATCTGTCTACTATTGATATTGATAAGCACAATCAATGTAAATACACAAAGGCTTATGGTTATAATGTTTTGAAATTAATGATATAGCATAGGATTAATAATTTGTTTTTCACATAAATTTTTACATGAAGAAGTTAATTTTTAACCCTCTTATATATGAATAAATGAACTACATTATTAGTTACTGACTTCTAAAATGAGAGTGTTTCTGTGTGAATTCTTTTAATAAATTTGTGCTAATTAAAAGTTTCCAAAATGTATTAATTTTAACAATCTGATTGATTAAGTATATTTATTATAATTATTACTAATATCCATTTACAATGTAAATGTTATTGCTGTCCTCCATACATACTCTTAAACCTGTTTTACTGTATTAATTGATATGCAGGGAATGCAAATGCAAAAGCTGCATAATTTACTATGTGTTAATTAGAATTTTTAGATAAACTGTAAAATTGAATAGTGAAACCTTGAAAACTTGTATATATTTTAAGTACTACCTCTCTGTGTCATGTGACTAGCAACAATGGCAATTTCCTTTGTGGATTGCTAAATTAATGATATATTACTTAATGTTTATTTTGTTCCTATATTATAATTTATACATATATTTTATTCACAATATTGCACTTTCACTTACAGTTTATATTAGAGTTACATAATGCATACAGAAGAGGTACAAACAAATAAAATCTCGTTTAGTAAATCCTGTAACATAAAAGTTGGCTGAGTCATACACCTGATTATTATCATTTTAATTGCATATGTTTTATTTGTATCATATATCAATTGTGTATCCGATACACATCCATTGTTAATGCATAAATAAATGGAGAGTAAGCAAGCATCTAATATAAAGAAATGCCTAAAGAAATATTAAAACCATTTCAACAGATTCAGACAGAACAGAACATTTAGACATGAGGAATTTTACTTTTTTATTTATATTTATACTCTTAAACATCACACATGTTATAATGGAGAAAACCAAATTAAGAAATACAATGTGAAAATAGCATGAGAACTTATGAATCAGGTGTCAACCGATCTATGAAACTTCCTCGCTATCATGTAGCTAGCAATTTTGATGCGGAAGTGGATATGTAAATGAATAATATGAGTCACAATTATGGTTAGACCAAGTTATTTGGCAGCATAATTAGCATCAGATACTAAATATAATACAAATATACCATTTTAACTTTCTTTAATAAATTGTATTTTTCTTAACGGTCAAGTATGTATACTATCAAACCTTTACAGGTACCTATGAATTTGAAGAGTTTGGTCAGTATAGCATCAATGTTGCAAATGATAGTCTTAACTGCCAGCCCCGGATGACAGCAGAGCCTGATGCCGCTTATCTACCAATACTTACGGCGGTAGTTGTGTTGTTCTCTTTGGCCACACTCTGGTATATTGTTAAAGGAATTCTTAAGATAATCATAGCGGGACGCTTCTATTCCAGATACTTTGCAAGGTACTCAAATTTATATGTTTGATATATAAATATATGTCGTATTTATTTAAATATCTGTATTACACAAAAGTAAATATTATACATTATATTTGCTGTACATGAGCTGTATGAATGTATGGTTTATAATTCTTGCAAGAGAATTTTGCAAACAATTAAAAATAGTTTACAATCTTTTGTCCTTTGTATGACCAGCATCTGATTAAATATTATCTTAAGATTTGTGTATGATATAAATAGTTATATATATATCACATCACTCCAAAGTCATAAAATCTGATAAAAGCCAAGAGGCCGATTCCAGATGGGTGAAAAAAAATATATATAGATATATTATAATGATTATCTTAGTAGCTAAAGTTAAGACAGTCTTAGGACTGAATATTTCTTTTTGCTTAATAGGCAATTAGGTGACCAGCCTTCTGCGCCTGACACACGCCGATTATTGTGTCTACAAATGCTGGTTTTTCACAATATTCTCTATCATAGTGTTATTGGGAATAGAGACACATAAATGTATTGGGGCGGCTTAGCTACTAGGCCATTTAAAGTTTTCTATATCATGGAAACCTGTCTTGTTATAGAGAGGACAATGAACTGGGCTCCGAAACACGCGTGATAGTCTCCAGTGAACCTAGATCCCCTACCAGATCTAGGCTGCGGTCGCTAGACATATTTAGAGGATTCTCCATTGCGCTTATGGTAAGTTCTGAGCTGACGATTCAAGACTAAGGGTGACATTCAGACCTAAGGGTCTGTCAGAATGTCAAGCTCAAATTAAAAACGTTATTGCACGCACACATGTGTATCGAGATTTACAATCCATCACTGCGATTCCGTATCACCTTGACGTCCGTCGTTTCACAACTGATCGATTCTTAAGGCAATTTCTGCCGCGCATCATCACTATGTGGATCCAGCTGCCCACTGAAGTATTTCCGAACCAATGCGAATAAGGGTGCGGCAGCGCGCTTGGGAGCCTTCTGGCAGTGCGAGTGTCCATGGGCGGCGGTATCACTTAACATCAGATGAGCCTCCTGCCCGTCTGCCTCCTGTAACATAAAAAAAAACCTCATACCCTGTAAAAAAGTTATTCCGACTTCTCAAATCTTAGCCACTGGGGTTTTCGGGACGGCTAGTAAGATAGCTCGGAAATCTTCTTAAGGATGGAGGAAGAGCACCTTCTTTCCTCCGCAATCTTCTACACGTATCCATTATATAATGAGAAGATTATTCGTAACAAAAGTCTATTAATATGACTGTAAAGTAACTAGGTGTCCTATTTAGAACTATATTATCTGCTGACTCGTAAGCTGCAAGCAACTACAACTACAACCTTTTTAGGTCTAGGCCTCAGATTTCTGTATCTGTTTTATGATTTGTCAATCATGACAAGTAGGTGATCAGTCTATACCTGACACACGCCATCGACTTTTTGGATACAAGGCAACATTTACTCACGATATTTTTACCTTTAACGTTCGCGCGAATGTTAAATGCGCACATAGAAAGAAAGTCCATTGGTGACTGGCATCGAACCAACGACATCAAGGCTGTACGCCGAGCCAGTTGGTCGACACTCCTCGCTGCAATTGTAATTTTATAAATCGCTACCCAGTTGACACTTATTTGTGGGGCTCATTGGTTGCTCACTGCCACTATATTGTTTTTTTCATTCAGTTATCTAGCCTAGCTAGATACACATATAATACTGAGATACGAAAATATAGCTAAGTATTTTCTTACTTGCTATCTGAAACAATATATAAATCGTAATTAACTCAAGGTTTACAATCACTATTCAATGGTTTCTCTGTGTAATTTATGTGGGAAATTGTAGACAAGTAATTTTAAACAATTCTCCCGCTAAATATAAAAGTATAGTGTTTTAAAACTTTACTAATTTTTTTTATATAACAATCATAATTCACAACAAATAATTAAATTATTAAAACATTAAATTAATCTTTATTCATTATTTTTTATATAACAATCATAATTCACGACAAATAATTCAATTATTAAAACATTAAATTAATCTTTATTCATTATTTTTATATAACAATCATAATTCACAACAAATAATTCAATTATTAAAACATTAAATTAATCTTTTTTTTTTATTTTTTATATAACAATCATTATTTAATTATTCACACCAAGCCTTGACCTAAAGTTGGTAAAAACATCGATCATTTAGAAACAGCTATCGAAAAACCAAATCAGCTTCTAGGCTTTATCTAACTTATATCTAGGTAACCTTAATATTCAAATAGCGTTATTTTTTATAAATCTATAGTGCACTAGGTAATCTCGTGTATTCTAGGTCAATCAAACTTAAATATAGTTTTGGAAGCTGTCAAACCATTTCACTTACTTGCATATGCATAGGTATAGGTATAAAAACTGGACTTTAAAAAAAAAATTGCATAGCGAATAAAAATAAACGGAAATATTATTTTGTCAAACCCTAATTTAGAAAATATTATAGCTTACTAGCTGACCCGGCAAACGTTGTTGTGCCATGTGTTATATTTCTAGGAAACATTTTTTTAGTTCAATAAAAATCTACTATAATAAAAATAGGGGTCGATCGTAGAGTGGTGACAATTAAGGGTCGTATGTATTTTTGTATGCATCATAAATCCTTATCACTTAGGGGTTTGAAAGATAGATAGTAGCCAATTCTCAGACTTACTGCATATGCATAAAAAGTTTCATAAGAATTGGTCGAGACGTTTCGGAGAAGTATGGGAACGAACATTGTGACACGAGAATTTTATATATTAAATTTTCCACAGATATTCGTAAATGCCGGAGGTGGTGGCTATAGTATATTCACTCACGCCGCCTGGAACGGATTGACAGTTGCTGATGTGGTCTTCCCATGGTTCGCCTTCGCTATGGGCGAGTCGTTGGTATTGTCACTTAACGCCCGGCTGAGGACGTCTTTGCCGAGAATCGAGGCTCTTAAACAGGTAACTGACTGTAAAATAACATTAACTATTCAATTGGCAAAATCCTATTTCATTAAATCATCTATTTATTTACACTTTATTACCTTATACAAAAACATACATATAAAAAAAGCAGGTTACGTAAGTTATTAGGCAACGGGCGGCCTGATCGCTAACAAGCGATTTCTTCCAGGCAACCCTAATATGGAACACTAAACAAGAAACACCCATGAACAAAAAAAATCAAATTAACTATAACTAAAATAAAATCTAAAGGAAAAAAATAAAAATAATAATAAATAAAAATTTGATCCACGTTAGTAATATTGATTAAATATTATTTAGAGCATAGTATAAACAAAAATGAAAGCCAATCAAAACTTTTATTCATTTAATAAAACACTATTTTGACCGGATTGAAGTTATGTATTATTATAAATTTACAACTATTTAACATAATTTTAAATATTTTATTTTATTAAGCCAATCAAAAGTTTAACTGAGTCACAATAATTAATACAATAATTAGCTTAATATATTAAACAGTATATCTAATAAAATTTGTAAAATTAGATTAGGACAATCAATTCAAAGACTTCTATATAGAGGCAGTATTTGTTATCAGTAGAACCGCTCTCATTGTTCTTATATTAATTGTTCCCTTATCCCAACGACTGACAACTGTTTGCCTTATTTCGTGTTGGAGCTTACGATGTACCAAGGTGAGGTGTTACGCTGGGCTTACAAATATCGACGGCCACAGAAGTGATCCTTGTGGTACAAGTAGCGGCACGAAACTCTAGCGCTGACCGTTATTGCGCAGAAGTAAAAAATAAGGTACCTGAGGGGGGCTAGCGCGTAGCGTCGATTGGCTCTCCAGTCGCATTCCGTCCCCCGCGCGACAGTACACATGCGCAGCAATCCCCTCCACGTATCAGCCAGCGCTAGACTTACGTGCCGCTGCCTATACAACTTAAATTAGCATGCAAATACATTATAACAGTTATGCTTTCCGTTTATATACAATACAAGACACTATAATATCGTTATTATATGGAAAATAAAAAATGTACTTATGTACACGCTTTAGAAGTTATACTTTTGTATGCATTTTTCTTGTCCTTATTGGTCACTTCCAATCGAAACGATATAATATGTACTAATCATGATATTTTACAATAAATGTTTTTGTAACATTGGTATGGGTTTTCTCGTATAGAAATCATTATTTTGGTTTAAATAAACACGACTCTGAAAACGCCGTCGATAAAACAGAGCAAGCGCCAACTAGCGGCCCAGACTGTTTTACCGACGTTAGGTTTAAAGACATTTATTTTCACAGTACAGACAATGGTCACTCACATGAGTTTTCCCTTATAGACTAAAAATACAATTTATCACGTCGTGTTTAAGCGTCAAGGATCAATCATCGAAGTATAATTTGGGTGGACTGTCATTTGCGTAGGTAATTAGGATCACTCAGAAGATGGTCTTTTAGTTTAAGTTTAAATATCGCCAGGCTGTCTGCACTTTTTATATTTTGTGGTAGTCTATTGTAACGCAACACTCCCCAAACGCTCAATGTTTTTCTACCGTTATTAGTTCTAAACTTCGGTATAACAAGATTGTGAGGGCGTCGTGAAGTGCGCTTCTGAATTTGGCCTAATTTTAGTAAAGGTAATGTTAGTATGTATGTGGTCGTTTAGAATATTGTATATTAGTAAGCTGGTGTTATATTGGAATAATTGTTTAATATTCATGAGTTTTGTTTCACTGTAAATTTTTGTGTAGAAGTTAAGTATGGGTAATGAAAAAGAATTTAATTACTTTATTTTGAGCAATTTGAAGGTGAGAAATATTAGTTTTAGTCGCGGCTCCCCAAATTTCAATAAGGTAAAGAAGGTGTGATTTTTCCCAAAGAATTATAAATATGAAGACGAACTTCACGAGGAAGGCTTCGAACTATGTGTCTAAGGGAACCTCTTAAAGAAGATAATTTAGTTATTAAATGATTTATGTGCGTTGTCCATGTTAAGTTATTAGTCAATATATAATCCAAGATATTTTTCACTTTTCTTTTCAATTAGTGGTACATTATTTATTGTTATAGGCGAATGTGGGGGGATTTTAACATTTTTAGGTTTAAAAATTAAGTACGATGTTTTAGCAGTGTTGATAGTTAGCAATTTCGATTGAAACCACAAGTAAAGATAGTCAAGGTCCTTTTGCACTCGAGAAATTATATCATGCACAGATGAACCAGTGTATAGGAGACAGGTATCATCCGCATACAAGGTTATCTGTCCATGCACATTAAGGTGTTGTATGTCATTTAAATAAATTAAAAACAATAATGGGCCCAATATTGATCCCTGTGGTACTCCACAAGAGATAGGTAAGAGTTTACTTTGACAATCATTAATTTTAACTACTTGGGATCTATTGTTTAAATATGATTTGAACATTTTTAAGGCATTGCCAGTTATTCCAATCGTTTCCAGCTTTTCTAACAAAAGCGAGTGGCAAACTGGTCTCGAAAGCTTTCATTATATCAATGAATACTACAAGGACAATTTTCCTTTGGTCGGTATTAGTTTTAATTTTTGTAATGAGATTAATTGTAGCTGATAATGTATTAGATTTTGATCCAAATCCATATTGGTGTTCGTATAAAAAGTTTATATTATTTAGGTGGTCTAATAAGCGCGTGTATACAACTCTTTCTAATATCTTGGACATAACGCGGCAATACCGAGATGGGTCTGTAGTTACCCGGATCATCTCTGGGCCCAGATTTGTATATTGGACTGACCTTGGCGATCTTTAAGTTATCAGGGAACTTGCCGTCCCTGAGTAATTCGTTAAGACAGGACGTTAAGTTATCAAGAATCTGACTTTTAATACATTTAATGATTTTGGTTGTGATGCCATCTATACCTGAACTACAGTTTGGGTCAAGATTGTTAATAATTTGGGAAATTTCCTGAGCTGTACACGGTCTAAGAATATTTAAAATAATTTGTATGTTGTTATTTGGTACGGTTAGATTGAAATTGTTTTGTTTATTACGTAGATGATTAGTGAGATTTAACCTCAATAGTAGAAAAGAAATTATTAAAAGACTCACAAATGAGAATGGGATCAGTTATTATATATGAATTAACATTCAGCTTTGTGGGAGCAATGGTATCTTTCTTTTTGTTAGCGGCAAGTTCTTTCAATAGACTCCACATTTTCTTTGGATTTGTGCATTTTAGAAATTGGCTGTAATAATAACTATCCTTAGTTTTCTTAATAACTTTAGTTACAGACTCTTTTATTTTATGGAATTCATTTTCTATACGAGAATTGTCTCTGTTATTTTTGTATTTCTTCCACAGGTCATTCCTATCATTTATAATATTAATTATTTCCTTATTAATCCAGTCATTTCGTGGAGCATTTAAAATTTTTGTCTTTGTTATTTTGTTGTTTTTAACGTTTTGCTTTATTAAGTCATCAAGAACTGTGTATTCAAAACCTGGATTCTTAATGTTGACATCTGCTATACTTTTGAATAAATTTTCATAATTTATAGCGTCATATTGAATTCGCTGCTTCGGGGTTGGGTTTAATTTTTTTTAATTGCAAATAAATCTGTTTGTGGTCAGCCATAGGTGGACCAATAATTTGATAAGTGAAAGTTGTCATTTAGTAAATCTGTACTGACATGATCAATTATTGTCTTTGATGTATGGGTTTCTCTAGTACAATACATCGGGTCAATTTTATTCAATAGCTTGTGACCTTGTCCCTGAAGCAGATTCTTGTATAAAGTGGTATTTCTGTTTCTAGTAAGTAAGTCTATATTAAAATCACCAAAAACGATGATACGGTTTCGTTTCTGTAACTGTGCTTCATATGTATCTATAAATTTTTTATAATTAGTATTACCAGGGTTATATATAAGTCCAATTTCAAGAGAATAGTTCACAAGTGTTACCCATAAGTAATTATTCCCATCTATGAATGTAGATTCACTTAAGATATGGTTTTAAATCATTGTGTATAAAAATGGAAACACCTCCACCTGTTTTATCAGTTCTGAGGTTGTAATAGTGTGTATAACTATTAAGATGAAATGAACGAGCATGCTCTTCACTTTTAATCCAGGTCTCGGTTAACAATATAATATGTGTCTTGGATTTAATACACTTCAGTAGGCATTTCAATTCATCAAATTTACCTGCACGACATATACTGCGAACATTTGCATAGAAAAAATTCATACGTGAGGTTGCAATTTGTAGATCTTGATAGTTATATAGTAGGTCGTGTGTTACAAGTTTTTTTTTGTCAAAGCTTAATGTTTGGAGTTTTTTGATTTTTGATTTATTTTTATAATCGTTGGTATGCCTCTTATGTATTTTATAGTTAAGTCAGTCTCCCCACTTGTTTGACGACGAGCCAGTTCATCCTTTATGCAATTTAAATATTTCTGCTGAGATGGAGTTTGATCTGAGTAAATTTTAATTCCGGTAGGTAAATTACTTTTATTGCGTAATAGTGCTTTAGGTGTATCACAATCATTGAAGCAAATTTTTAGAGCACGGTTTCTATTAGAATCTTGTTTTCCGATACGAAAAATTTTGGCTGGCTTGCAGAGGTCCTTAGATATAGTAGATATTATTTTACCGACGTTTAAACAGATATTCAGGGTGAAAATTTACTCTCATCATTTTTCCCTAATGCGCCAAAAGAAGTATAACTTCAATAATGGAAAATAGTAAAATTAAATGTAAATCTCTTCCAGGTGGCACAAAGATCCCTATTAATGTCCATAGTAGGGATCTGCCTTAGTTCGTGAATGTGTCGTGGTACGATGTCCGCTGGCCCGGAGTGTTGCAGCGCTTGGCCGCTATGTACCTAATTGTTGGTGCTCTCGAGTGTGCCTTTATGAGGACCAGCCAGAATATTACGCCAGGTAATTATCATGCAGATATAGTGCAGTGTTGTATGCGAATCTCATCCCATTCTATATTACGGTAGTGGACTTCAAGAAACCGGTATGATTTAGGCATAAGAAGTCGGAAGGCGTGTCAGGCATAGATGATAAGGTATCATCTACGGAAATTTGACTATACCTAGGTAACACTGAAAATGTTTAGAAAATGAAAAACGGCTCAATGTAGAAAGTTGCCAATACTTTTATTGTTTTTCGAAGTAATCTCAGTTCCTCTCTACACATCGTCGCATTCGATGGAACCACTGAGAAGAGCATTGGGCCCATTCATCTCATGTGTCGCACAGCACTGATGTTATCTTCAGTAGTCGCTGTTAAAGGACGTCCCTCACGCGGATCATCATTGAGATTGCTCCACGCTTAAACTCGTTAAACCAATTGTAAATAGTGGCACGAGATGGGGCTTCATTAAGAAATGCTAATCGCAGCCTATCATAGCTTTGTTGTTGAGTAAGCCCACAACGAAAGTCATAATAAATCATTGACCGAAAATTTTCTCGCGTTAGGTTCATTTTCACGTGTAACAAGAGTTTTAGATTTACCGCCAATTCACAAAAACAAATGAATTCTATATACTACATTAGGTTACCAAAGAGTCTTAAAATTGAAATTAAAAAAAGTTTTCATTAGCAATGTTTCTAACTAGCCAATTCTAAACGTTTTCAGTGTTACCCACGTACCAAGTAGGTATTTGTCTCTTAAAAAAAGCAAATGATCACGAAACCGGTACAGAAATCTGAGCCCCAGACCTAATAGGGAGCGCCCTGGTTTTTTTATTAATGTAATTAATCTCTGCATACAGACGTATAACATTGCGATCTAGCCTAACTTAAGACTAATAAGTAATTTAAGTCTAACCCAGTTTACTAATATGGATATTAAGCAAAAAAAAGTGTCCAATAACATTACTTACAGTCTCTATTAAGGCGAAGATACCATGTTGTTGTTTATTAAGTTATTCAAATTAACTTAACGAAAAAAAATGTGTGCCATTTACTCTGTTCTATATATTATTATCATAAATTTTTTTAAATAACGTTCCCAATACTCCCGACTCTAGTGGTGCGGGACCTTATTTTATACACATATTTTGTAAATATATATATAATTCTTCTGTGAGTGTGTATGTCACTGAACTTCTCTCAAACGACTGGACCGATTTTGATGAAATTTTTTGTGTGTGTTCAAGGGGATCTGGGAATGGTTTAGATTCACAAATCAGCCCGGCAGATGGCACTGCAGTCGGTACTTTCATACTTTGCTTAATATCCTAATCGCTTTAAATATCATACAGGACAACGTCTGTGGGGTCCACTAGTATATATATATTATTATTCTATATTCATAGGCGAGTGGGGGCCCGTCGCCTCGCCTCCGCTACGTTCTTGTTGCAGTGAGTGACGCATTTCACTATCTTACTGCAGAAATCTTCCAGTTGCGATCTGAAGCTTCTTAATATTTCGGGGATCGGTAGTTACCTTTATATCGATTTGTTGCTCCAGATCGCACCTGGAGGCTCCAAATACAGGACCTCCTATGAGATGCATCACTGTCTGATTTAATATCTGATGATATTATTATCGTATTAAATTAATAAATTATTGCCAGGTCGTTCCCTATTCCGTGATATCGCTGCGGGCTGGCAACAATGGCTGGCCACGATTCTTTTGGTTGCTATTCAGGTATTTATTTATTTCTATTGTCTATTGCATATGTTCTTTTGTAATGTAAATAAACAAATGAGTGAAGGATATTTATAAAAAGAACAACGATAATATTTTAAAAATAAATGTGGGCGGCAAGAAATGAGTAATGATTCACATAAATAAATAGTTTTTTCTATTACCATGTTGATGGTATACCTTGTTGAAGACGTTTCCCAAAGCTAAATAACATTTATGATGACTTCAAGAATTCAAGACTTAACCCTTAATTAATAAAATATGAAAACTTACGCCTTACAAACTTTCGAAAATTCCAAAATTTATGAAAACATACAATTAATAATCCAGAACGTCAAATACACGGCTATCACTGTCCGTACCTATCTTTTATTCCCTACTTGTTATAATTCTAAGCTAAGCATAAACTAACTGGACAAATGTCACAATAAAAAATAGTAGTTTATAAAACTGTATCATAAAAAAATGTTAGCCGTCACGGGACGCCTGGCAGATGTGAAACATCGACATTATTTTGTAAAAGTAATATGCAGAAAAGAACAGATTGTGATAGGAACTAAATATGTCATAATGATAAAATAAAATATTATGATTTTTTTCCAGATAACAATGACTATTTATTGAATACCTAAACATTTATTTTCATTAAATACAAAAATTTACGAATTTATTTCAAATCGTGACTACTTAATTTGTTTTATCAGTGACTTAGAAATACACACACCGTACACACTACTGCATGTAGACTGTTTATATAAACCATCGTATAGCGTGGTGACGCGTCGCCACGGCATGCGTCACCACCACAAAACGGTGCGGCTATAGATGTTTCACATCAAAAACAAACAAAAATATTTGCTAGCTATAAATAGTTTTATTGACATCATAGAATCGAAATTTCCATTTTTTACGTTCCCTAGATGAATAATATTCTTTTAAATCGACAAAACAAAGCTTTGTTGGAATTGGAAAATATTTGATTTATTAAGGTTTCCAAGTTCTACAAAGTTAAATTACAGTCAAATTTGCAACGTCCAGTTTCATCAAAATCCGTTCAGTAGTTTTTAAGGTCCACGACTTTTGAAGGGGGCATGCACACGTAGGTAAATCAACTTGAAAGAAACTTGGGTTCTGACTTTAAAAAAAAAAAAATTATTCAGGTGTGTATAACATTAACTGTGTCGGCGCCGGGTTGTCCCCGCGGGTATGTGGGACCCGGAGGTCTTCACCGCACTGCATTAGGTGATTTCTCGCTGGTCAACTGCACTGGTGGTATCGCAGGATATATTGACAGGTGAATTGTTATGTGGTGTATTTAAAATACATATATAAAATTTATGTCTCTTGCTTTTGTATGTTTTATCATTAGGTATGTAAATATAGGATCTGGACTTAGTACGAGAGTATAAAAAAATATACTATATTATGATTTTTAATTCCGTAGAATTCTGACACCTATAATTTTTTGATATGTCAGAGATTGAACCTTTTGGCCAGGCACATTTTTCAATTTCAATACTAGTCTGAACATCTGAGTCTATTCATACATTTTTTTTAGTGAATCTATCCATTTTAGTGCGGTGCTCCACATTAAAAGTGGTTTAACGGCGAGTGATAATTACGTTCCTTTTCATCACTTATAGTAAAAAGGTTTACTAAACCTGGAATTAGTAGGCCAGCTAAAGCATAAAATAAAGTAATTAAAGTTAATTCGATATATTGTTCGTGATATTGAAATATTTGTTATTTTCGTATTAGGTCACTAGGTAAGTAAATATTTAGATTTACCTTTTTGAAGGTAGAACATAAAAAATACGTCGCATTTTCATTTTATTTTTTTATGGGTCAAATTTGTCCCTTTTTCGGTGGAGAACTTTTTTAGCAGCCACACTTATGAAATGTCAGAATTCTACGGAATGAAAAATCAGAGAATAACTTTTAAAATTAAAAAAAAAAAGAAAGAAATTCAAGTAGTTTGTTTTTTTTAATTTACGTATTGTTAGTCCATCTAGTTGTCTGTTTTTATAGTTAATGTAATATTTATATTGACTTATCTAATTAATAATCTTTATCTTTTTCTAGATTAATTCTTGGCTCTTCTCACTTATACAAGGGTGGCAGCTTCCGCAAGATCTACATGCCCCTACAGCCCCATGATCCCGAAGGATTGTTGGGAATTCTTTCGGGCGTGCTAGTCGTGCAGGCGGGCGCGCACGCATCGAGAATTATGCTTGTGTATAACCACGCCAGGTATTTTTTTTTATATGGTATTAAAGTTTCGGAATCTTTTAATGCTTACGCTTTCATGCGTCTGGCAAGGTCTTCTGCCTTCTGCGGAAAAATAATTTTTGTTGTCGTTTGTGCATTTATTAATATCGTTACAGACATTTTAATAATGTTAAAATATAAAATTAATCAGTGACGCTCGCTATACAACCTTTTTAGGTTTTTGGGCCTCAGATTTATGTATCTATTTCATGATCATTTGTCAATCTAACAGGCAAGTAGGTGATTAGCCGCCAGTGCCTGATTTTGGGTCTAAGGCAAGCCGGTTTCCAAACAATGTTGTTCTTCAACGTTTGAGCAAATGTTAAATTCGCACATAAAATGGACTTTCCATTGGTGCATAGCCGGGGATCGAACTTACGACCTCAGGGATGAAAGTCGCATGCTGAAGCCTCTAGGCCAACTCTGGTCTATTTTAATAATGTTAATACTATAAATAGTTTTTCTAACTCAATATTATTTCAGGGCAAGAATAATGCGTTGGGTGTTCTGGTCGATTGTATTCAGCGTAGTTGGTGGCGCCCTCTGTGAATTTTCCAAAAATGGCGGACCGATCCCAATTAACAAAAACCTTTGGTCCGTGTCTTATTGCTTGGTGACAGCTGGAATCGCGTTCTTTATACAGGCCGTGTTATATTTCTTGGTGGATTTGAAGACGAAGTGGGGTGGTCGCCCCTTGTATTATGCAGGTGCGTTGTATTTTATAGTGTTTTCCTAGGTATGATAAACCCTTAAAACTCACAATAATTTATATATGGGTATGACATACCCATACGCTGGAAGTGTTACATACACATATTCAGTTTGGTGGTAAATACCCATAAATTGGACTTTATAACTGGTCTGGAATACAAAATAAATTCAAAGACAAATCTTATACCTATTGTATACAGTTTCATTACCCATGCTTATAAATAGATTATTATATAATATTTAAAATATTTTTTTTATTCCAGGACAAAACGCCCTCTTCCTGTACATCGGTAGTGAGCTTCTAAAACGTCATTTCCCGCTATACTGGCATGTTCCAACCCCAACACACAGCCAATTACTGGCAACACACGCGACCGCCATGTTGATTTGGCTGGCCGTCGGTGTTGCCCTACATAGAAAGCGGATCTTTATAACGCTCTAATATTTGTTGCCAAAACATAAACATAGAGAATGGACAACGTTAATTGGAACGTCAAATATGATACGCAAACTTAAGAGTTGAAAATGAATGTGACTTTAGAACATGTTTTATACACTGAAGTGGCACTATTTGGACTAAAGATACAAGAAAGATATGAGAGACAAAAAGGGGCATATTTTAGAAAGGCGTGATATACCACCTAATAGTCTGTGCAGGCCTATACCTGTCTTCCTAGATAAAAAATCTTATTAGCTGGAACCTAGTTAATGGTATGAGACCCGCTATTGTAATACAAATCTAAGCGACATGGTTCGGCTTGGTCACGTGACCATTTTAATATAAATTCGAGGATAGCAACTCATCTATTTCAATTTACTTAGGTCCCTTGATCTTTTTTCGAAATTATATAACCTAATTCATTCTCTATGTTGCATATGCAACCGCTTTTATGTATACTGTGCAAAATTTTCGAGTTTTGGTCAATTCTTCGGTAACTTGCATTTCATAGTGCACACAGAATACATAGAAGTAGTATTTCGGTCATTTAGTAGCGATATCTATGGACATAACTTGACTATAAGGATACGGTTCAAAGACAATTTTTCGTGTGAACCAACGTTCCCATACGCCCTGAATGTCATCTGTCAAACGGTCATATTCTGGATTTTGACAGATAGATAAATAAGCTCGCGCTTAAACTTGTATCTGAATCGTACTTAAAATTTGACCATTCTTAACATAATATTTTCAAAGTTTTTCTCTAAATACTAGGAATTTAAGATCTGCTATAAAGCTAAAGACTGTATTATTCCAAGAATTGGCTGTTGATACATTAAGTTTTGCTAATTGATAAATAAGTGCCTAGAACTTTTGTAATGCATATATAGCCAACATATTTTTTTAACCTTGCATGTTGCCTATATAAAACTAAGGCAGTACAAATGTAATTAAAACAAATCAGTCATGAATTTGGTTAATTTGCTAAATATAAATTTGTTTCTTAACATATAATTCAAAAAACACCAATGAAAATTAAGTAAACATTTTAATTTTTAAATTAGATAATTTTAGAATATTTTTTATTTCTTTAGTTTTTAGTTAAATCTGTACTAAGGTTGCACATTATTCATATTTTTTTTATTTAGATAAAATGTGTTTTTAATTTAGTAAATAGAACTAAATTTCAATTATTATGTTCATGTATAACATATTATAACCAATGATGTAAACACAGATAGTTGATAGTAAAACATATAAATTTTACTTATTATTAATTTCATGATTAAAAACTGTTTATAATAAAAATATATAAAATGTTGACATTTTTATTTCATTTAATCCTTAAAACTTACCCATCTTAACATATTCTGCAATAGGATAAAATAAGTTTCCTTTTTGTTAGTTTGGTTACCTTGTTTTTCCAAATATAAACAATGGTACCTAATGTTGTCAACGTTTTCTCGAGTAAGTCCGATTTAGGTTCTTAATTAATATTTTATACAAGATTCATGATTCTATATAAAAATTTAGTAAGTAAAGGCTTTATGGTTGTTTACAACAAGGTAAAATTAAATTAATTCTGTCTTATTTTAGTATAAGGCGCCTTATAAGTAAAATGGAATGCGAATAACCTTCACGTGTCATTGAAACGTCAAAAAGACGTATGTTGATAACAGCGGTATTGGTTCAGTTTCGGTTTTCTCGGTGTTTAAAATCACGTACGTTTTGTATTAAAAATATGGAGCCAAAAGTGAATTTAAGACAAGACCCCGCTTATCAGAAGCTACAAGAACATTATAATACAAATGCAGACAAGATCAATATACAACAATTATTTCAACAAGATGCCGAACGGTTTAACAAATACTGGTAAAATGTTTTTTAAATAATGAATTAAAGAATAAAAATATTAAAATTTAAATATACAGTAAACCCGAAATTAAAGGTTATTTTTGAATAGTAAATATTTCGTTGTGACCTTATCAAAACTTCTAAGTCAAAGTTCAAGTGACTTTCAAAATAATATTATAAAGGTCGTTCGAAACAATGTCACCTACAAACTTATATAGTTTTTAAATAATTTGGTAACTGTTTCATTATACTATTATTCCATAATTGATTCGCAATGTTTCCTTCCTTGAATAAGTTCCTTTGTAAAAATAAGTCTTTTAATTATTAAATAAGGCTTATTATAATTATAATAATTATTTTTATAAAGAGAAAAATATTAGTTATTCTACCATCCTTATAACATCTTACATATAATGGATTTCTTAATTAAATATCTGAATTTCTAAATTTACACTTGGAAGGTATAATTATAAGTAATTAGTGACACAAAAAATGCAATATATCCTAGTCAATCTCATAATGGTATGTCATAAGAACATAAACTGTTAAATACAATTGAGCTTGTTTAAAAACATCACACTTTTTTTTTCAAAAAAAAAATCCTCATTTACTTTGCCACATGTGATCCAATTGTACAATTTCTGTGAATAACTTTTAAAAAAATTACATGTTTTAAATTACCATATACCTGTAAAATTGATTTTGTTTATATTCATCTTTTTTAGTCTTCGAATTCCCACTCCCAATGATGGTGAAATCTTGCTTGACTACTCCAAGAACAGAATGGATGATGCAGCATTCTCCCTGCTTTTAAATTTAGCCAAAAGTCGCAATGTTGAAAAAGCAAGAGATGCTATGTTTTCTGGTGAGTCATTTATTGATAGCATAAATTTCATAATATTTTCAAAGAGTTACGTAAATGTAACAATCGCATAATAAGGTCACTTTCTAGCAATACAAACTTATTGCTAACATAACTAGCTGAAGTCTGTACAAATATAATGGTATGCATTCAAAATTTCATCCTTGTTACCACAACTTGAGGAAATAACATTTCCTTAATGGCATAAACTACTCAATTTGTTAATACTTAGGCTTTAATAAGTAAACAACATACTTATGGTCAAATTCGAATTAGATTTTTTCTAAAGTTTGTATGAAATGAATGTGAATTTAAAATCTTAACACACAAAGTAATTTTTTAGGTGAGAAGATAAACTTCACCGAAGACCGTGCAGTGTTACACATTGCTCTTAGAAACAGACAAAACAGACCTATATTGGTTAATGGCAATGATGTGACTCCCGATGTAAATGCTGTTTTGGCTCATATGAAAGAGTTTTCAGAGCAAGTTATAAGTGGATCTTGGAAAGGGTAATTAATATAATTCCACAGTTTAAAGTATTAATTACAGGGTAACCATGATTGCATAAATAATTAATTATTGTAAATGTAATAAATTTGAGTTTATATTTCTAAATACATATATATCTTGTTGTAGTGGGTTCTACTTGCGACTCTCATCCCTGGGGTTGTGGGTCGATGGTATATTATATCTCTTCACAATAATAGTTTACTGGTCTTGATTCGCTCCAAGTGATGTTAACTGTTTTACAGAATCTTACAATATATTTTTCCTTATTTTGCTTCAACGAGGCTCTATTTCTCATAGGTCTCCTAATTAGACACAAATATACTTTTTAGGTCATTGTATACAATAACTGTTTCACATTTTTAAAATTATTTAATTTGTATACTTCTTGAATATGGTAATTATGGACTAAATAAATGCAGTGAATAGTTTGATGTGTAAGCAGTTTGGAACCCAAGAACTTGCTGCGAAGCTAGAAAGTATCCATGACTTTATCTTATCTTTTTTTTTTCAATCAATTAAAGAAGTTTATTTAAATGTTTAGTACCTAAACCAAAGATAATATTGTATTATGTAATTACTTTCGATGCATTGAAGAAATTATCTAGCACTATAAATTATGTTTGTAATGATTATTCAAATAAAAATTACTAAATCAGTGGCACTACAACCTTTTTAGATCTGGGCCTCAGATTTCTGGTGCTTGACACACGTCATCGAGTTTTTGGGTCTAAGGCAAGCCGGTTTCCTTCACCGTTCGAGCGAATGTTAAATGCGCACATAGAAAGAAAGTCCATGGGTGCACACTGCACAGCCGGAATCGAACCAACGACCTCAGTGATGAGAGTCGCACGTAATGGTTATATAGTGTAGTAAATATACTTTTATTTACAGATATACTGGTAAAGCAATAACTGACATCATTAATATTGGTATTGGAGGATCTGATCTTGGACCTCTTATGGTTACTGAAGCCCTGAAACCGTATGCTACCCGTCTTAAGGTATTGACATACTACTTAACATATTATATTTTTACTGACTTTAAAAAGAGGAAAGAGATGTATTTTTGTATGTTAAAGAGGAAACTCAAATACAGTATATACATACGACGACATCGTGCATCGTTTAGAACAATATACCGGTTATAATAACCAAAATAAAAGGTCCCGGCTGAATTCTATTGTATTAGGTACTTAATAACGTCATCGGCTGTTACGACTATCGGTTTTATTTAGCGAGTAGTCCCTTCGATGTCATTATAAGAGATTTTAACTGTGCTACTTGCTTATTTAATAAATTAAATCCTTTAATTATAAGGTTTGGTCTTAAGTTAGGCTAATTTGTAACGTGTCTTTGTGTGAAGACTTCTGAAAAAAAAAACCAACGAACTAACCAACATTCGAACAGGCTATATTAATTTCCAAAAATCACTTCAATTCAACAGAAATCATTTTGATATGAAAAAAAATGTTTTTTTTTTTAATATTTAATTTTCTTAGCATACACCGGTTTCCTTTCAGCCCAGACTCTATCAATATTTATATATTTCCATTTACAGGTTCACTTTGTATCCAACATAGATGGTACTCACTTAGCGGAAGTACTGAAGCGGCTGAACCCTGAGACTTCTCTCTTCATCATCGCCTCTAAGACGTTCACCACTCAGGAGACCATCACCAATGCCACTTCAGCCAAGAACTGGTTTTTGGATGTCGCGAAGGATGTAAGGACATATTAATTTTAACTAAATATTCTGGCGTTTATTCTTAATCTTAATATATATATTTCTTCTGTGCGTGTGTATGTGACTGAACTCCTCTCAAACGACTGGACCGATTTTGATGAAATTTTTTGTGTGTGTTCAAGGGGATCTGGGAATGGTTTAGATTCACAAATCAGCGGCAGATGCAGGGCCCCGGGGGGAATTTTTTCTATATTTTGCTTAATATCCTAATCGCTTTAAATATCAAGGAAAAAAAAAAGGGGGGGGGGCACAAGTTTAAAAAAAAATATTTCTTCTGTGCGTGTGTATGTGACTAACCCCCAAACGACTGGACCGATTTTGATGAAATTTTTTGTGTGTGTTCAAGGGGATCTGGGAATGGTTTAGATTCACAAATCAGCCCGGCAGATGGCACTGCAGTCGGTACTTTCATACTTTGCTTAATATCCTAATCGCTTTAAATATCATGCAGGACAACGTCTGTGGGGTCCACTAGTATATATATATAATACTACAGAATATATTAATTTGCCTGGAAAAAACAATATACATATATTCTTGCCAAGGCTTTTATAGTTATTATGTTGAGTATATCGCTTGCCCCGGGAAAGAAAGTCGTAAAAGCAAAATCATTAATTTTTCAGGAAAAATAAAAGAAGGTAACGCTGTTATTACTAGGATATTAAGAACATTACATAAACAACTATATATATCAAATGAAAGATATTTTTTTTAGTATTCCACGATTTAAACATTGTTGTTATGTATTTAGTGCAAATAGTTAAAAAATAACTAAATGTATATTACAGTAATTCATCTAATTAAACTGAAGAACAAAAGCGTTTACGATTGTTTAACTGTTTAAGCATAATTACGGACGACACACTAACCGCACATTACGACGGCATATTTTCGAATGTCTAGAACGTAATAATTTATTACCAGTTACCACTCTTTTCGCGGAAATATTATGACCTTGGTGAAACAGGGATATATGATAACCACTCTTTATTCGTTTTTAAATTGTCTTTGGTAGAATTACAATCTAAAATAAACTATCTTTATGGTGTTGCGATATATTTCAGCAGAGGTAAAATTTGCTAAACGAGTATTATTAACATTGTGCACAATTTCCGTAGAAATCCTCGTGTTTTTTTTATAGTTAAATGTTTTGCAAAAATTCTCAAAAAAATACAATTATAGAACATTAAAATAGTCGTAATAGCGCTTTACGAATATTCCCCGAGGCAAGCGATAGGTATGTTAATCAGATGATGAAAGGTAGTATATCGAACCCATTGGAATATATATTAGATACAAACAAAGACAATCCGTATTTTTTTTAAATTAATTTTTAATTTATTAAATATTTTTTCTGTACTACCTGCATTTATTTTAATTTTCTAGCCATCAGCGGTTTCCAAGCACTTCGTCGCGTTATCCACAAACGGCGAGAAAGTTACCGCTTTCGGAATCGATCCCAAGAATATGTTCGGCTTCTGGGACTGGGTTGGAGGAAGGTAAGATTTGTTCCGTTTATAATTATTGGATGAAACCGGTTAAATCGTCATATATTTTTTAAATATTCTCCTCTAAAAATTGCTATTATAGATATTCACTCTGGTCAGCGATCGGTCTATCTATATCTCTATACATCGGGTTTGACAACTTTGAGAAATTGTTGGACGGAGCCAGCTTCATGGACCAACACTTCCTTAGTGCGCCATTGGAGAAAAATGTAAGAAATTTGCTTTGACTAACAAATTATTATATGTACATGTCTGAGATTGTCGTACAATATTATTGATTCCTTCAAAATATTATTTAGTTTAACACAATGATTCTGCGACCTCAAAACTGTTAGGCTGCTGCCTCGAATTTTGCGGGCAGCGGGGCGGCGGCGGCTGCGGCGCGGGAGCGGGCAGCCGCCGCCGCCCGCACCTCTCGTTACCCGCCCTCGCGCCGCTGCCACGCCGCTGTTTTCGAGAACCGGTCCATTAACCATTTGATTTTACGCATAAGATCCTGCCGCTCCCGCGCCGCCGCCGCCGCCGCCGCCCCGTTGCTCGCAAAATTCGAGGCAGCATCCTTTCGCGTCCCCTGTACGCACTGTCAAAAGTCAAGATGGCGTCTCGTGCCCACTCGTAACAAATCGTACTTTAATTCGTTAGGTAATGATTCCAAACTATGAAACAAACAATAACAAAAAAAATATGATTATTAAAAGTAATTTAAATGATTGAACAAAACAAGTTTAAAAATCAACATCTTTTTAATATTCATTATATTATTTTAAATTCTAATATATAATATATAACCAATTTTTTTCAATTTAACTTATTTTTTGCGTTTACGTCTAAAATATCACTCGTTATTGCTACGAGCATATCTTTCACAATTTCTTATTACTTAACATAGAACATAAACATAAATGATTAAAAAAGAAATCTATTATTATCTATCTGTAAAATTTGTATCGAGAATTAATGTTGAGTATGTCTTTGTTTTGATACTAGATGGCGCTTTAGACATTTGAAACGCGCTATCGGATTGCTTTGGGATCAATACATATTAATTTTGAAATCACGATGTTCTCCTTCCAAACCGAAACAATTATTGTTAATTTTTAGATGCCATACAATAGCGATCGCTTTGATTATGGCTTAATTTGTAACTTAGTAACATTATTGTTAAATCACTTTTTTTAAATTAATTTTTTAATTTTATTTTTAAGATCTTCAAACTTCAAATTAGATCTTAAAGTGCCTTATTAATTATTTTCAATAAATAGTGTTAACTGTTATTACTGTTATGTAGGCCTAGTTGTTACTTCTATTTATAGTCTAATGGAAATGAATAAAAACCTTTCGTCTTAATCAAAAATCAATTAAAGTACGAATAAGCGAAAATGCAGTAGTGCTTGCACCAACTTTGTTACGAGTCGAAGTTATTTATAGATTCTTACATCCTAAATTATTCCGTGATCAAAGTAGATTGTTACTTATCGATTTTCCCACTAAGCCTATGCAAAAATACCCAAATGAGTTTCGACATACAAAAATTGCGAACGTTTTTTTATAAAAAAATATGTTAGGTATGCGAGGAATAAAAATTACCAACACCATATCGTCGTGTGGTGTGTGCAGGCAAGTGGAGTGAGGCAGTGGGTTCGCTTCTCGGATGATGTAACTTGTGTTGACACTGGATTCTAGAACAACTTGAGGACCCCAGCTTCATCTATGAGAAAACGTTTTAAACTATCATTTTAAAAAAGGCGAAATTAGAGAATGATCACTAAATAAATTCAAAGCCCTCGTTAAACGAAAATTCATCAATAAAGCTTTTTATAAATTTGAGGAATACTTAAATGATCCTAATCCTTGGGATTGATTTGCTCCAGTTCAAACAATTTGTATGACTCAATACTTGGCGATTAAAAAGAGTGGCGGAAAGTTTCTTGCCAGTTCTTACCCGCTCTACGCCCTTGACTTGCGAAATGGTAGTAAATGTAAATTTACAGTTAATTCAACTTCTTTCTGACGATTCATAAGTGTACTTGTTTATCTATATGTATAAAGATATTTTTGAGTTTGAGTTTGAAATACATAAATAAATAGTTGAGGTAATAGAAAGTAAGACAATTTGAGACTAATTTATGATGTTAATAGGCCCCTGTTATCCTGGCCCTACTTGGTGTATGGTACAGTAACTTCTACGGCGCAGAGACACACGCACTTCTGCCATACGATCAGTATCTGCATAGGTAAGTGAATAAACATAATCTAATATATATAATTCTCGTGTCACAATGTTCGTTCCCATACTCCTCCGAAACGGCCCGACCCATTCTTATGAATTTTTATGCATATTCAGTAAGTCTGAGAATCGGCTACTATCTATCTTCCAAACCCCTAAGTGATAAAGGGTATCCAGCCCAAAAAAAAATTAAAAACAGCGTACAAAAATACATACAACCCCCCAATTTTCTTCCCTCAACGATCAACCCCTAGTTTTTCATTATTATAGATAGTTATTTTTTCCGTTTAATTTTCTTTATTTTTTCCATAAAGTCATACGGTCACGTGATCAGTTGGCGCACTTTAAGTTAAGAAATACGTTCGTTAAATTCTAAACGTTTTTGCAATTTAAAAGAAAAATTATGTAAAGAGCAGTTGCCTGGATCGCTTGAAGCCGCCGTTAGGCGTTATCACCGCCCTTTACTTTACTGGATCTAATGACCTGCAATTTTTTTTTTCATTAATGGTTTCCGTATTTTAATTTAGATTTGCAGCATACTTCCAACAAGGGGATATGGAGAGTAATGGGAAATATGTGACCCGGTCGGGTTCCGAAGTGGATTACAGCACGGGACCAATTGTTTGGGGTGAACCGGGGACGAACGGTCAACATGCCTTCTATCAGCTGATACACCAGGGAACTAGGTGAGACTAATTCACTAATATGTTTTAAGGTATATTTCTGACATTTCAGTTAGTTTAACGTCAAGTATTGTTTCATTTTACGCCCGAACTCAGATTGTTTTCAATCTGGGATTGTGGATTAATCAGACCGTGACAGTCGATCGATCTCCTATCTGCATCCCAATAACCAAACCCTACGAAGACAATCCATTTATGGCGACGGATAAAATGCTCTTTGTCGTTCCATTTTACCGAGTTTACATTTATATTTGATAATCAATACCAAATAAACTAAATAAAACCGTACAAATAACATTAAAATATAAACGTGTATGTTTAAAACATAACAAACAGTTTTTTTAATTATTTAAAAAACTGCTGTAAGTTAAAATCTGTTAAAATAATAATTAACTGTTGAAATCGAGCTTTCGTCAACTGTCATTTTCATACAAAGGTCTATCCACAGACACCGATACGACCTCCCATGGATAGCTTGTATCGACAGATGGCTATTACAATCAGTCGATTGGTTATTGGCACATTTGTTACAACATTTGGATTAAGATTACTATCTCAGATGGTTGGAGATAGGTTATTGGGTTCGGGCGTAAATCTTGTCCTATTCCGTTTGGTTACGAATACAGTCTACGAAGAATTAAGTATTCCATATAAAAAAATTCGTTACTTTTTTATTGTACTTAGATTAGATTTTGTATTAAAATAACCCTTTTAGGTTGATCCCATGCGACTTCATAGCGCCTGCGCAGACGCATAACCCGATATCGGGAGGCATACATCACAAGATACTGCTCGCTAACTTCCTTGCCCAGACTGAGGCGCTTATGAAGGGCAAGACCGCTGCAGAGGTATTCATAATTTTCTATATTCCTAAATTTTGATCAAATTTCTTACTTTTTTTTTGTTAATAATTTTAAATGGATGGCCAAGATTAAAAGTAACATTAGACTTTGCTCTAAGGACCTTGTAGAACGTCAATCAAACTTAAGTCTCAGGAGCTGTCAAAGTATTTTTTTCTGTATGACATTTGACATATTTGACAGCTGTCAAGACGAGGGTGTGACTTGCGATACGAGTTAGAATTTGTCCCTAAGCCTTGATAATATTAATAATGATTCATGTTGACAAAAATTTAAGTGGCTAACTAGGGTCAAATTTTTCACATTCCAAAAATATATTGCAAGTAATAATAATAATAATTAAGCCTCATTTATTCCTTGAAAAATTTACATAATAATATTTACAAAAAGTTACAAAATATACATTCATATATATATATACATTTTGTTTTTCCAAGGACCTCTTATTGAGTAAAGGCCTCCTCCAGTTGACTCCATCTCTCTCTGTTTTGAGCATTTTTCTCCCAATCCTCTCCACCAACTTTCTTAAGCTCGTCGGCCCACCGTGCAAGAGGGCGACCACGCTTTCTTTTTCCTGGTGGCCTTTTCCACTTTGTTACCCTTTTTGTCCATCTGCCAGCATATTGCAAGTATGAATGAAAAGTCTTCGATCGACTAAGTTTTTATGCTAATTATTCTATCTTAACAGTTACTACTACTACTAGTCTCGTCTCTGAATCTTACCAAAATGATAACACGAATACGCCAGTAAACTATTGTTTATGTGAAAGATATTAAACTAAAATTAGTTGAACATTACAGTATATGAAAAAAAGGCAATATTTATTTATTAAATTACCCATAACCGTTAGATAACACATTTTACGTAAATTAAATTTTATTGAAATAGGCAGAGGCCGAATTGAAGAAGTCAGGGATGGCGCCAGAAGCGATAACCAATATTTTACCTCACAAAGTGTTCAAAGGAAACAGACCCACTAACTCCATCGTTGTAAAGAAAGTCTCTCCATTCACTCTTGGCGCTCTTATTGGTAAGTGGATACAAGTTCATATAAAATATTATTCATGAGATTTAATGCCTAATTGATTTTTTTTGTCCCTCGAAAAATACTCGATAAATTGAATAAAATCAATTTTAATTGGCCCCCTCGATTATTTGAAGTTGGGGGCTACCCTCTATAATTTGAAGTATTTATCATGTGTCAGTTGTCATCTGTCAAAAGCATTAAATAATAACAAAACAAATCGAAATTAATTAAATTATGATTTTTAAAATAGAAGGAATCTCAGTGATTAACGTCAGAATAAAAATCAACCGTCTATTGACTCGATCATAACAATCCGATCATTACCTATATATAAAATGATTTAATTTCAGCTATGTATGAGCACAAAATCTTCACTCAGGGTGTGATTTGGGATATCAACTCCTTCGACCAATGGGGTGTTGAGTTGGGAAAGCAATTGGCGAAGGCAATCGAACCAGAGTTACTAGATGGAACTAAAGTTTCATCGCACGATGCCTCCACCAATGGATTGATCAATTTCTTGAAAGAAAACTTTTAATACCCAGACAACTTAGAAGTGTCGTTTATACAATATATTTATATAATCTTTTATAATATATTATTTGTCTAAGAATCACGAGGACTATATATTGATATATGACTCATTTAAAATCTAATATTTTATCGTATTTATATTGTTTAATGTTGGAAACAGCTGTTTGTAAAAAAATAATTTATGGAAATTAAAATTTAGATCTTTTTATCACTGTTAATTTTTTTTAAATTTTGTTTGTAGGATAAAAGGCTTGTGTTGAATGCACCGCGCATGGTTCGCGTTTAGTTATTAAGTAAATATTTATGTTTAGAGATGTATTTGTATGTTGAAATAAATATTAGCACAAATTGGATTTTTTTTACCAACGAATTTATCCCCCCCTCCTCTTGTCAGCAAAAAAGCTCTCAAAAATAATAGTACATAAACGTATTAACTTATTGTAGGAATCATCGAAAATGCATTTCGTTTTCAAGCGTAGACAATATGTGGGTAATATATGTAAAAGTAAATAATTAATGTTGACGTAATCACCAAATAAGAAAATCGAAGACCCCCCCCCATAGTGCTTACGTAATACTTGAATGGCCCCTGAGATCGAGAATTTCAATATATCCTTAGCGGCGGGCGGCTTTGTTAGCGTTTCAGTATGAATAGTTTTAATTGGTAATTAATAAATATCAGTAAAATCTTTTTATGTATTGATATGAGTTTGAAATTTTTAATACAGCAACCTGTTAGGCCCCATACCTGGCTTTCTAGTTCCACCAATACAAGTCTAGGGCAATAAAAGACCATTTAGAAAAATCTTATTTATTACAATTATTTACATTACCGGAATGCGAAACTTAAGCGTCAAACATATTTAGTCTTTTTTCGGGGATTTAAATATTCGTTTTGTAAGATCTAAAACGTTTACAAAGTTGGAAAAGCTAAGGAGCCTGTCCGTATAAAATATATCCCTTTCGTTCATAAAATCTAAGTCTTTGCACTCTTTTAATAAACTCTTCCGTCTCTTTCTATCAAATTGTATTTACGCTGTGTTGAAAGGAGTCAGATTAGTACTTTGATCGAATGCTGCGTTTTTTTATGACAAGGGGGCAAAAATACACTTTTATTGAATTTAACCCTCAATTTTATTATTATTTTTCCTACTTTTTATTTTATTTTTAAATTAAAATGTGTCATTTTATAAATAAGACATTAGAGACGGAAGAGTAATTTAAAATTCAATTGCTTGCAATTAAATTTCTTTTTTAGGAATTTTTTTAACAATAATGCAAGTGTTTTATTTCCTTTCCCCATAATTAACTTCACAGATTATGATGAGATTTTGAACGTAAATGATAAATTTCAATAGTAATAGTATGATTGCGTCAAATTGAATAACATTTATTTAGGTTTCCTTCCCCGTCCACCACCAGTTTTTGCTTTTTTATTTGCTTTATTCTTCTCATCTTCAGCTTTACGTTTTGGGTTCGGTGTCGTAGAGAGGACCTGTTGACATATACATTTCATTAACTGGCATTAAAAAATAAATGTTTTAATATATACATATAAACTCGACTAGAATTAGCTTGTTAAAAGATATTTTGAGAACTTCCACTACTTAATCTGACTTACAATAATGATCGAAAATATTAAAGTATTATTGATTTAAAACGAATTTTCGGTTGGGTTATAAAACCACCGTTACAATCGTTCAAAGATTTTTGAATTGTTTATATTTAATAAATCATAGTTAGTAAATATTTAAAATAAATAATAAGTAAAGTTAATTATATTTTTGTTTGCTTAATGTATTAGTGATTCCATTACATAGTAATCGTATTCATTAAATCTTTTAATTACGAAAATTAATAGGTAGATTAAAGATTAATTATTTTAACCGCAAATCGCAAAGCCGATCTTGGGTTTGATCCAACATAAGTTTTTGGTATAGGGATAAAACAAAATATTGATTTTCCAGAAATTATATAGGTTTGATAACTCTACAAAAAATAAAAAAGCAGTCTTTTTTAGACAGCCCATGACGTTAATATGTATTAAAAAAAACAATAAAGTTACCTTGAAAAATCCATCAAGCCGTCCCTGCGTAGTGCCAGTTCTAGCTTTGAACAATTTCTTGGCGCCATTTCTGACTCTTTCTTCATTGAATTGTTTGTCTCCACACAGAAACTTAACTAGGCCTTCTTCGTCAGGGTCACTCCATTTTAACTGAAATATTTGTAAGACTTAGCCTCCTCACACCAGTGTTGGCCTAGTGGCTTCAGTGTGCGACTCTCATATAGGTCGTAGGTTCCATCCGCGGCTGTGCACCAATGGACTTTCTATGTCCGGATTTAACATTTGTCCGAACGGTGAAGGAAAATATCGTGAGGAAACCGACATGTCTTAGACCCAAAAAGTCGACGGCGTGTGTTGTTGTGGTGAGGCAGATCACCTATTGCCTTTAGATTTAAAAATGCATGAAACAGATTCAGAAATCTGAGGCCACGACCTAAAGCCTTTTTTAAGCCTCCTCACTCCTCACTATCATGAATAGTAATTAATTATTTTAATAATCATCCAGTGGCACTTTTATAATTTCAGTCTTTTGTACCTAAGTATTTTACTGCATGTTTTGTATATAGAGAAACTTTTAATATTTATTTAGTACTCTTTTATTGATAATTTAAATAGGAATGTGAAAATTGTCTTTCTCTTCAAGATTACAAAAGTTATAGTATCAAAAAAAGTTAAAATATACCTCAATTTTATCAGCATCAGTAACTTCGGGCTCCAAAAACAATCTCCTCGCATCCAAATAATCCCAGTTCTCTGGTGGTTGGTATTTATTTAAATCAATATTTCTCAATACATCTTCGAGACACCGATGTTGCTTTATAAGGTCGATGGCCCGTTTGGGGCCTATTCCCCTTATGGACCCACAGTAGTCACATCCAAGGAGTATGCAAAGGTCGATAAACTGAAAAGATATTTCAATCCTAGTTATGTGACCTAACGTTAGTTAAGTTACATATATTAGAAGTGCAAACCAAATGTTAGCAATCATCGCACACTTCAAGCCAAAATGAGCCCTTTGGTTTAGCCGACATTCATAAATTGTAATATATCCAATAAAGAAATAAAATAGTATGTTTATTATCGAAGATCTCACATATTACACGTCATTAAATTTGAATCGGTAAAATAGGTCGACTCCACTTATATTCTTTATTGGTAACAGAAGTGTTACTTAGATTTAAGAACCCTTCAATAAGTTAAGTTAGTTTTTTGTTAATCCAGCGTCGCAACACCACTACCCCTTATTTTATGTTAGTTATTAGCTCTATTTTAAATGATTAAAGCCAGTTGACACCCATCTTCACAGTAAGAGTTTCAATTCTTAGTATTAGTATTCTTTAAAGACAGATTATGTTTCTGAAACAGGTGATTTTTCATTTTACTTTAAGGCATTACCACTGAAATAAAACTTTGTCTACCAACAAGACTAATAATTAATCCATCCGGAATATAACCTAGAAGATCCCGGATGCTCTGGGATGGATATATGCCATGGCTATGTTACAAAGATGGTAGATTTTAAACTTTACATAAAGTAAATACAGCGGTAAGTAAACTAGAAAAGTTAATATATTTTTGTACTATAATATGTATATTTACTAATATATACATATATAAGTTTATAGACAAATTTGGACGCCATTATTATCACCATATATTCTTTAAAATAAATTATTATTATTAATTATTAGATTCTACAATAAAACTATGCATTTCTAAATACCTCTTTATGATTAAGCTCCAATCCATTCAAAACTTGATCCAGATGGAATTCTTGAACTGGCATTTTTCGGGCCTCAGAGAAAGTCAAGTGTCGGAGTAGGACATTAGAACCAAAGGTAAGGGCGTCCATATCCTCTGTCGCCACTGCAAAAACTTTGCCTGCTTTTACCTAAAATAATTTTGTATAAAATATAATTAAAGATATATATAAGTGATTTTGTTATATTATTTGCATGACTCAAAATTTTAAGTGCTTTAGAGAAATCATGTCTGCAAGTCTCTTAAAGTGAGGTTTGTAATAATTAAATCTTGTATATTTATATTTTTAACAAATCAAGTTAAAATTTGTAATGATTTCTTGGTTTTTTAATGCATATATTTTGACAAATAACACCTACCAATGCTGCACATTGCGCTTCGGCCTCACAAGGTGCTTCAACAACAGGCACTCCCATTAACTTCAAGAGCTCCCGAGCTTCCTCTCCATGCTGTTTTGTTACTTTCACAAGTCGTCTGTTAAACTTTTCTATTGAGGCCTGGTCCCCTATGATGAGTATATTAGCATGGATAAGTATACTATCCTATTATCATTTACAACTAGGCTATTTCTGCATGTGATCAATAAATAGCATTAAAAAAAAAAAAAAAAAAAAAAAAAAAAAAAAAAAAAAAATTTTTTTTTTTTTTTTTTTTTTTTGGGGAGGGGGAACCCCCTTTGGGGTTTTTTTAAAAGTGTACCCCGTTTTTGGCTTTTGTGTATAGTGTAATTGTTTGAATATTGTTTAGTAAGTAGCTGTAGGAATACCGTTGAGCAATAAATAAATAGTATCAATGTGGCATGATAGAAACTTATCAGGCACAAACTACAGTTTTTTACTTAAGTAATGAGGCTTAGAAGACGTCATCTATTGCCCTCAGCCTTGACATTTATAAGCAAATTTTTTAGCTTCTTTGTGCAAATAAAATATATAAGTAAATTTAATTTCTATTAAAAATTTGTTTTAACTGACATTTTTATTGAAAAGTATGTACCTGCTTCTGTGGCTTTTTGCAATTCCTTCTCGGCTTCCTCTCGTCGCTCTGCTCTCTTATTCAGCTGGTGTGATTTCATCTCAGGAGGTTTACCATCAAAGACATAGACTGGCTTAAGTCCATTTTCCACTAGCCTTATTGTTCGGTAAAAGGTGCCCATCAAGTGGGAAGTAGTCTCTCCATCCACAGAGGTAAGTTGTGCCCCTAAAGTATTCATAATTCAAAATAAATGTAAGTGTAATACTAGATTTATGGCAGAAATAAGAAATACATTTTATAAGAAGTGTAATTAAAAGGATTAGATTTTCTGATACATCATTAAAGTCCTTTCAAACAAACAAGCTGTTTATATTTTATTATTACAATATCTTTGTCAAAGAAACTATTAGAGTTAAATTTTAAGTTAATATATTTTTATTTTAAGATGACAAATTTATATAATTTTATGTATACAGGTTATTAGACTAATTGATTAATTATTGTACTTTTGTATCGATAATTAATATGAAAAAGAAGTTTATAAAATCATTACTCTTTGGTGAGCTTTTTAAGTACTATTAGAGATCTTATTGCTGACATTCTGGATACAAATTACAATTACTAAGCTTAGCTTACCTTCACTTCTAACGGCTATTAAAAACTGATATAAACTCATAGATGCATCGATAGCGACTTTTCTGCCTAAAACAACACAAAGTTTTAATCGCATTAATTCATAATTCAATTTTTTAAATTCAAAACCTTAGATAATATACGAGAAGGTATTCCATACCAAAGTAATTCTTAATTTCCATTTCTTTAACTGCTTGTGGAGCAATATCTGCGATTAACTTTGATAAACCTATAATACCCATCGTTAATTACAAATTATTTCGGGCTTTACGAATTGAAAATACTGGAAATAAAAAATAAAGTGAAACACACTAACGTAGAAATGGCGCCAAATCTGACACCTGGGTATGAGATTGAGAACTGTCAACGTTTTTGTTAAGTGACAATTGACTTACTGTTGAGTGTTGACAGTAATCTAATGATTGTGAAATTTGTAAGGTGTCAGCAATGAGCATTGAGCAATCAGCAGTAAACAGTTTCAATAAATTTATCAAAGAAAATAGAAATACGTAAACGAATATTACAAGTCTTTGAAGATATAAGTGGATTCTGAAAAACTAATAAGCTGTTTTGTCTTAGGTAGTTGATCCACAACAGTCGGTTCTCAAAGTGCTCTTCTCAGAAAGGAGTTCGATTAAACATTTTATTTTAAAAAAGGAACAGTTATTTTTTGTCTTTCTACTTGTTAAGATGGGAAACTATATATCAATAAACTTGGAAGATCATTATAAAAATAATGAAAAATTCTTACAGAGCCTCAATGAGATAGCGGTATGTATAAAACACTGTAATTATTTTTATACAAAATTCTATATCTATGCCTAGATAATATATTATAAAATGTTATGAACAGTCTTTTTAAATAATTATTTTTTCCTAATAGTTTTGTTTTTAAATAATGTTTTTACCATGTACCTTTAATATATTTTGCAGATTGAAAGGCAAATTCAGATGCAAAATCAAATGGCAGATAGGCAGAGAGCTACAGCTGTAGCTAAAAGTAGAGACTTATTTTTGTGGATAACAACCTTTAATATAACTGCAACAACAGGCCTATTTACAGGGTAAGAATATAGAAAAAAATACTGATTTTTTTATCCCTCCAATCAATAAACATTAAAATGTACATTATTTAAACATAAGTACGACATTTCAAGTCCTTTTTTCAGCAATTGTGGTGATGGTGAGAGACTTGCCCCAACAATGATGTATAAAATAACAATTATTATGTGTAGTACTAAATGAAAACAGTACTAACAAAAATAAGTAATTTACCTATTTCATCTCTATCAAAGTACTTGTTATGTTATGATTTTTACAAAGAATAATTTATATGTAATTAATACTTTATTTTTAATCATACAATGCATTAAGATAAAGCATTTGTTTATGATTCTTAACATAGTAAATTTGTTTAGTGAATAGATGAATCCAAATCTTATCAGTAAACTGTGCCTTGGTTACGCAACTTATATGAATAAATAAACAATTTTGTTGCTTACTTTGAACTTGTTTCAGGTTCAGAAGAACTAAGAGAGCCTACTTTTTGTTTCCATTAATTCCACTTACATTTGTTAACTTGTACTACTGGGATCTTGCATATGGCAACAAGTTACATAGAATCAGAAGTAGGTACTTTTAATTATAAGGTTTAGTAAACGAAAATTATTTGAGAATATTTTAATAGACTATATTAGACAGAGGAACATTTCTTAATTTTGTGCTTATATCTTATCTGTTCTTTCTGCAGTAGGTGTTTTATTTAAAAAAAAAGGGGGAAAGGGTAATGGGGGGGGGGTTTTTTTTTTTTTTTATAAAGGGGGGGGGGGGGGGGGCCCGGGGGGGGGGGGGGTTTTTTGGGGGGGGGGGGGGGGGGGGGGGCGGGGGTGGTTCCCGGTTCGGGGGCGGGTTTAAATTTAAATTTGTTCTCGTTTAGGGGTTGTGCGGTACCAGCTTAAACCTATGCCGAGGCCGGTTAATTATTAAGTGAGCTATGTACTTATTAAATTTATATATATAAAGTGAAAAGTGTGACTAGAGTAATAAAGCTAACACATTTGTTTATGGGCTATGAGGGATATTGATTATGAATATTTGCCTAATATTTTTATATGATATAATTTTTTCAGTGGAAGCTGAACACATAATGACCCATGAGGTGGACATGTTAAAAGTACCATGCGGTCTACCAACACCATCATCCATTGACCAGGGTCGTATGGCTGAAGAGGAGACTAAGAAAATACATCCACCAATGCCTTAAAATAACTGCGAGTGTGCTTTTGCAGCTTCTAGAAATGATAGAGATCAGTATTAGTTGAAAACTGGGAAAATTGCCAATTTTATTATTTGTGATTCAAAGTTGGCAAAGCATTCCTACCAAATTTAGTTGCATTTAAAAAAATTATGTTGCCAATATAGTGAGAAAATAGATTTAAGACTACAAAGCATTTTGTTTAGTAAAATTCACTTTAGGGCAGAACAAATATCTTAGTGCGTTAGTAATCAATTAAATACGTCTATGTATTCGACGTCAAAACTAAAATAAGAACAAATTTATATAAGATCAAGATGGCGTTCCAGAGAGCTAAAGTTCACGATAATATACAATATAACTTAAAAGTTATATTAATATAAACTTAAAAGTTACAAACTTAAACTTTAAACATAACTTACAAATGTAAAGTGTGGGATGAGATTGTGACGTCAGACGAAAAGACAAACAATGATGCAATCCTGTGTCTAATTGAGATAAAACAAACCAATGCAATGCTATTACGTATACTAACTTAACTGGCAGTTTCTATTCTCACTCTCTAAAATCTTAAGTTTATATTCTTCTAAATATATCAATATATCTAATACTGATAGGTAATATACACTCTAATTTATCTCGGGAACTCAGTTAAATTTAAAAGCCTTAAAGTATTAATAATTGCGAATATCTTCATCGAATCTAAGTGTCTTTGGAATTATATAAATCAATTTAAAGTGTTCTAATAAATCTTAATGTTAATATTTATCGTTAACTCTTTGAACTAGTGATTATTAATAAAACGGTATTTTTAAGGCGCGATCGAAGCGGTAATTAAAAAAAATATATTATTTTGAATATTTTTATTAGATGCTATTTTTGTGACTTTTTAACAATGAATCTTACTTGTTTACATATATTTAATTTTATAGGAATATTAGTGTATTATGAGGTATTTGTTTTTTTACGCTTAACTTTGGTTAACGAAAGACTAGGCGGTATGGTCGAAAGACTATAGCCTGCGCCATGGTCGGAAAGAACCAAAAATTAACTTTGGTTAAGCGTTTATTTTTTTTATACATTCTCTTTTCGTATTGTATACAATTTTTTTTAAGAGTTGTATCTTTCAGTCAATTGTGTTTACTCTGTGATAAAAAGATACAGATAACTGTTTAATTTAGAAAACTATTTTAAGTTGTTACTAAGTGGTTAAATATCACAGAAATTTATTATTTTATACTTGATTGACAAAATTAGTAAAATACCTGCTAAATTTTTAAAACCTCATTTGTAAAATCTGTTTTTAATGTTTTTCTTATAAGCTCTATAATTTATTAATCGTTAATGTTGTAGTTTTGTTTATTAAATTTTATTAGTTAAGAATATATTGTTTAGTTATTAAGTGTTTTTGTTATAAGTTTTGATAATGCTTTTTTACTAAGGGGCCGTTCAAGTATTACGTAGGCACTATAGGGTGAAGGGGTGGGGGGGTCTTTGATTTTCTTATTTGGTGATTACGTCAGCAGTCATTATTTACTTTTACACATATTACCCACACATTGTCTATGCTTGAAAACGTAATGCATTTTCGAGTACTATTATTTTTGAGAGCTTTGCTTACTTTTGCTGACAAGAGGAAGGGGGGGATAAATAGCAGTAAATCTGCTAATACTTGAACGGCCCCAAATCACCGTTTCGAATGTTTTTCGAGCAAAGTAATTCCTATTAGACAGTATTATTAAAATAATATCTTTATGAATATTTATAAATTAATTAAACATTTAGAGAGAAGTCGATGTTGGTGAATTCAATTGTGTACTATTTAAAAACTGTTATAAATAAACTATTATCTACGTCTTAATACTTTCTTTTCATTACCTATCCATTTCTATCGAATTGTAATAAAATATTTACGTAAATTAACGGTTAATAAGAAAATAAAAATCCGTATAAACAATTTATAAAACGAAGTTAAAAAAAGCTTCATTTAACAAGACGTTTAAATTCTTAGATTGTTGAAATAAGCCTTGGTTGTCCTCGAGTATCTTTACTAGGGTAATGTAATGTCTGACCTTAATAAATTAATGCATAATAGCTAACAAATAAAATCGATAATTTTCAATCGATTATACAGACTGTCACTATGGTCATGTGATAACTACACAAAAGTTGTCAATTGCGTTGTCATGGCAACGGGCGTGTTGTTTAGCCGCTGTAAACAAATGAATTTCGGCCAGTCAAACATGAAATGTGGTTTTACAATTTCTTTAAAATATAATTGAATTTGATAATTTTTAAATATGTATATGGATAGTTTTAACGTCTCTTACGCATGTAAGTGTCTATTTGTGAATATTATTGTATTCTAAATCTTTGGTTGCTTAGTACTTTAAATTCAAATTAGCTTTTGCCCCAATTATCATAAACGATTGCGTTTTGGCAAGTCATGAATATTAAACCCGATCATTTTGTGTTTAGTTTAGAAGTAGAAAATGAGTCAAAACCAAGCAAAGAAGGATGAGCACAAAAAGAAAGATGAAAAGAAAAATCCAGAAGAAAACATGTCAGAAATCGACGAACACATCCTCAAGAGGTTTGACGTAAAGAAAAGATTGGGAAAAGGTGCTTATGGAATAGTCTGGAAAGCCATTGATAAAAAGAGCAAAGATGTCGTGGCAATTAAAAAGATATTCGACGCGTTCAGGAACCAAACAGATGCCCAGAGGACCTTTAGAGAAATTATATTTCTACAATCGTTTCGGAACCACCCAAATATTGTCAAGCTTCACAGTATACACAGGTACCTACTTTATAATCTCTTCCTTCTTTGCAGTGGCGGATTTACAAATTTTCTAAGCAGAGTATGTGAAGTTTGTGCCACCATAGCCTCTATTACAAACCAACAATTTCGTTGCACGTAAAATAATTTTTGAGCACAAAGTTATACACAAACCATCCGTTCGCAGCCTTTAACCAGTTGTAGGACTGACATGTATAAGTTGATAGGGGAAGAGAGAAGATGGAAATACATATTCTGCAATTTCGCTCTTCACTTATCCAAAGTGTGAGCTGCCCTGCGATTCTGTAACTCACTTTTCGAACTCACACAGCGGTTTTCGCATCGGCGGTCGCTCTCAAATCAGTCGTGAAGCAGTCATTTTATGATTTGAGCAGTCATTCTGAAAAGGTGGGAGCTTGTAGTTTATTGTTTATCAGAATTCCAAATCATAAAATGACTGCTTCACGACTGATTTGAGAGCGACCGCCGAAGCGGAAACCGCTGTGTGAGTTCGAAAAGTGAGTTACAGAATCGCAGGGCAGGGGGCGCTGAGGGATTACTGGTTGGGGGGCGGCGAACTAGCTGTTTTACTCTAGAATATGGAAGTTTGCTACACCAATGACAAGTGAGAGGTGAAAGTCATCGGCAAAATTTGTTGCAGACTTTTATCTGTAGAACATGAGAAAACGTCAAAATCTTTTTGATTTCTATAAGGTAACAATAAAAAAAATCGGTACCCAAACTTGACGCCCCAAAAATCTGCCGCTCTAGGCACTATTCTGCTGGTAAATCCGTATAGTCCGGTCAATTTAGACATCCAAGGTTACAGTAATTCGCACTTGGCTGAATATTGGTAGGATTGCTCAATACACTATTATAAAGGAAATGTGAAAAGTCCTCATCGATCCGGCTCGTGCAAAAAAATTTACTCCGGGTCAAAGATCACAAAAACGGGTTTTTCGCGATTTTCAGCAAAATGGTAAGTTTTATCATAAAATTAGTTTAGACAAAAATTGTAGATCAGATAATTATCTATAAAAATGTCCAAATACTTTTTTCCTAAGAGCCACCGTTTTTGAGATAAAACGATTCAAAAAGTTGAAAGAGTTGTAATCGTCATAATATGCACACGTTTCCACGCCACCTTTGAGGTAGTGTACTTAGCGCTTTTTAATGTGGTTTCCCCGGTAGGCCTATTCCACTGATCTTTTATGATGCTGTTTAATTTGAAACTATTGAATAACTGTAGATATTGACAAGGGTTGAAAATGATGAAAGGGGTGTAAATTACAAAAAATAAGAAAATTTATCCGTCTGAATCTAAATCATCATTAACTTCTGCTTTCTCTTGTTCTTGTTCTTCTTCTCTTCCTTCTCATTCTTCTCCTTCTTCTTCTTCTTCTTCTTTATCTTCTTCATTCTGGGTGTTAATAAATTGTCCCAATAATGACACATCGCATGTCTCTTCGTCAACATCAAATGAATCTTCAAGTGTTGGCAATACAACATTGGAGCATGACCGGCCTTGACAGTTAGTACATGCTACAGAACAAAACAGTCCAACTTTTTTTGCAACCACATTTAGCAATACATCCCTTTTTACAGTTGCAAAAAATGGTGTTTAGTAGTCTTTCTGGTGCAGGTGGAACTAAAGTCTGAACTGGCTCTAATGAATTGTCGACCAACTTCCAACCCCAGTCTTTTCCAACAGCGCGAAATAGGTTAGAAAAAATAGGTTACAATAAACACGTGTTTTCACTCCAGAGCGATGTTGCTGAAGGTTACACTGGCGTAGAAAATAAAGGACTGGGTTTTTTTAACCCGAAATTTTCATATTTTATATGTGTAAGTCACACTGACCGATAAACGATATTTTTGCTTGTATTACGGCTTCAGTGATGTATATACGTGGTGTACTTATACATATTATGACGATTACAACTCTTTTAACTTTTTGAATCGTGATATCTCAAAAACGGTGGCTCTTAGGAAAAAAAGTATTAAGACATTTTTATAGATAATTATCTGATCTACAATTTTTGTCTAAACTAATTTTATGATAAAACTTACCATTTTGCTGAAAATCGCGAAAAACCCATTTTTGTGATCTTTGACCCGGAGTAAATTTTTTTGCACGAGCCGGATCGATGAGGACTTTTCACATTTCCTTTATAATAGTGTATTGAGCAATCCTACCAATATTCAGCCAAGTGCGAATTATTGTAACCTTACCCCTATTTTTTAATCTAATTTGACCGGATTAGTAACTGCTTTGAATTAATATAAATTTTCATAAATAATAATAACAATAATTTATTTATTAAAGCAGACAATAAAGTCCAATTATTATTGTGTTAGTACAATATTGTCCTAAATATTATACCTATTAGTAGCTTTAAAGTACCTATATTCAATCATAAAATTATCACCATCACCGCAACTAAACTAAAAGAGTCTGGGTTCGGCTAAAGATACATGGGTCGTAATAATCTTTTCTAAATAGGCAAGTAAGTATACCCTACTTACTGCATTGCTTATTAGAAACTTATCCTTTTTTTGGCACATCTCAACCACAAATGCGTGTGGTTTCCGGTTTTTGGTTATATATTTTGGTGTTCTTGTATTATTTTTGTCTTTCAGGGCTGCTAATAACCGAGATATATACCTTGGATTCGAATACATGGAAACTGATTTACATAACGTGATCAAACGGGGAAACATTCTCAAGGACATACATAAACGATATATTATGTACCAAATGCTGAAGGCCACGAAGTATATACATTCGGGGAATGTCATACATAGGGATCAGAAACCGAGCAATGTCCTCATTGATAGCGCTTGCAGGTATTTTCATCGCCTGTCAACTTACGTACTAACGTGTAAAGGTCGATTTACATCAAACGAACATAGAGCTAGAGCTAGAACAAGAGCATTCTTTCGTAATCTTTTAGTGTAAACGAAAGCTAGAGGTATCGATTTACATCAAACGAACATAGAGCTAGAGCTAGAGCAAGAGCATTCTTTCGTAATCTTTTAGTGTAAACGAAAGCTAGAGGTATCGATTTACATCAAACGAACATAGAGCTAGAGCTAGAACAAGAGCATTCTTTCGTAATCTTTTAGTGTAAACGAAAGCTAGAGGTATCGATTTACATCAAACGAACATAGAGCTAGAGCTAGAACAAGAGCATTCTTTCGTAATCTTTTAGTGTAAACGAAAGCTAGATCGAATGTTCTTTGCTCATTCGTGTCAATTCTGTGGTTAGTATTGGTAGTGCTTCGTTATGTCTGACTCTGACAGCGATATCATTATTGCAAGTGCTGCATTTATTATTTTATCGCGAAAACTCAAAAATAAAAGAAGGAAGAGACGTTGGTGGGTTACAAATTTAATGCATCGAAGGACACTGGATAATATAGGTGAAACAATGACGGATATGCGAAAACAAGAAGAAAGTGGACAATTCCAAAACTTTTGTAGAATGTATTCCATAATTTAATCGATAAGATACGTAAACAATCGCTAGAACACAAGAACGCTTTGAAAAGACCGCTCAGTGGCGCGAGCACGTCCGAACACGCTAGAACGCTCTAAGCAACTGTTCGCGCGCTCTTGCGCCGTTTACATCAAGCGAACGAGCATTCTTAGAATATTCTATAGAATCTTTGCGAACGCACTGAGAACAACGAAAGAATGCTCTACGCCTGTTTACACTAGAAGAATTTGATGTAGTGGGGATAGAATGAGCATTCGCTCGTTTGATGTAAATCGACCTTAACGTGTAACGAGTTCTGACGTAACTATAATGAGTTTGTCTAATTTTTAAAAATAAATATTTTGACTACCGCCTCAGGTTTTTACTAATTTTTATTATTATATTAAGTTATTTGAACGTTCTAGCGACTAGAATTATTTCTTGTTTAGGGTAAAGTTAGCTGATTTCGGGCTAGCAAGGTCGGTGTCCTCAATATACTCTGGTGGAGAAGAAGGTGCTGATCCTTGTTTGACCGATTACGTCGCAACAAGGTGGTACAGAGCACCCGAAATACTCATAGCTAGTAAGAAGTAAGTGCGAAGGAACTGTTATATTCGGATTGGCCAGTATTATTAAAAAAAATGGAAATAAATATATACGTAGAGATAATGAAGTATTTTATATTTATTTATTTATAATAGCTTGCCAACGCTCGGCATACTGATACATTGGTACAAGAATAAAATACAACTTTGATTGTATACTTACACTTATAGGCAAACATAACATTTACGAAGAGATAATAAAATAAATATAAAAGCTAAACGAAAATCGCTAATAAGAATGCTCAATCTGGATATCATATTGTTAGGGCTAGTTGATGTTCTTAGGGTAGAAAATTAAAACTCAATGTGACTTGTTAACTATATTTCACACACTGACCCTACGTAAAATGTATAAACTCCAATTGAACAAAGGAATTGCCTGTGCGATGTGTTACAAGCTCTTTTATTTTCCCCACTCTGACTCGACCTTCCCACTTCGGGCAGTTATTCGAGTCAATTCGTAACAATTCGTAAATAACCGACGAGTCAAATGAGTAATTATTGCACATGCGCACTTGTAGCAAGATTATGTTTCATAAATTATTTGAATATAATTAAATAAATAATAAAAGCTAACAGTCGGCCTTTCCTGACAATGTTTGCGTCTCGCAAAAAAAAGAAAAAAAACAAAAACAATAACAATGCTTTGTAAATTACAACTCCAAACAGAAACAAAATTAATTCTATGTATCTTTTAACTTTCATTCTTGAATTACATCTCTTTAGTTAAATTGAACCTTAATTCATTTTGATCTCACAATTGTTTATGCTATTTATAATGGAATAAAATATACAGGTATCACCTATTTCACGTCATTAAAGTATCGGTAGAAATCCCTATTCATCGGCAAAAAGACATGGGTTAGGCCGAGAGAAAAGCCGGTAAAAACTCTCGGTACTTTTTTAAATATCAAGTATATAAAACTTAAATCCAAATCTACTGTGACCTCTTTACATTCACAATGTTAATACCAAATCTACTGTGACCTCTTCACATTCACACTTACAAATCTACTGTGACCTCTTTACATTCACAAGTCTTAATCCATTTGTGCCTCTTTACATTCACATAGTCTTAATTCCAAATCTACTGTGACCTCTTTAATTCACAATAGTCATAATACATAACTAAATCTTTTGCGACTTTATATGTTCACAATAAGTTTACATGACTAAATCTTTTGAGATCTCTTTATATTCACAAATATTTTACATAACTAAATTGTTTTATCTCTTTATAAAATAAAGTTCAATAACTAAATGCATATGTCTCTTTAAATTCACCATAAAGTTTACATAACTAAATCTTTTTATTTTTTTAAATTCACAATAAGTTTACATAACTAAATCTGTTTTATCTCTTTATAAGATAAAGTTCAATAACTAAATGCGTTGTGGTCTCTTTAAATTCACCATAAAGTTTACATAACTAATGTATTGTGATCTCTTTAAATTCACAATAAAGTTTACATAACTAAATCTGTTATATCTCTTTATATTTAAAATAAAGTTTACATAACTAAATGTATTGTGATCTCTTTAAATTCACAATAGTTTACATAACTAAATCTTTTTATCTCTTTATATTTAAAATAAAGTTTACATAACTAAATGTATTGTGATCTCTTTTAAATTCATAACTAAATCTGTTTTATCTCTTTACATTTATAAAGTTTACATAACTAAATTGTGATCTCTTTATGCATTGTGATCTATATTTACAATACAGTTAACATTACTATTCTATTGTGATATTTTTTTATCAAAATAAAGTTTACATAACTAAATGCATTGTGATATTAGATTTAGTTATGTAAACCACCCATATTCACAATATAGTTTACATAACTAAATCCTTTGAGATATCTTTATATTCACAATAAAGTCCTACATAACTGAAACTACTGTGATCTCTTTAAGATCACAATAAAGTTTTACCAAACTAAGTCCATTGTGATTTCTTTATATTCACTAGTGAATTTATCATGTAATTATAATTTTAATTGTACTTTATAATTAATATATTATTATTTTATTTATTTTTTGTAAAACTTATGTTTACACCACTTAAGAGCAAGACTTTGCAAAACAACTAGCAGACTTAGTTAGTAGTTAGACCTAGTACTGTGTGTGATGCTGCAAGCCTAGCAACTAAATAAATAAATAAACATTTTTCTGTGTCAATTATACGAATAAATAGTGCGTGAGTACAAGTACAAATGTCAGAAGTGAAACTTTTTGTAAATAATATTGAGTAATTAAGCTGTCCAAATCCCATAATTTAATTCCCAGTCTTTTAAATGATACAAGGCTAATAACCAGAGCTAAAATTAGTAAAATAATATAGAAATTACTATCATAATTGCTAACTAATATCCAATTTTGTAAAAGCCAACTGGGTCTTAGCAAAAGGTCAAAACCAAAAAAAAAAAAAAAGTTAAATTATTTCCATAATAAAATAATAATATATTGATATGTATTAATAACAAATCGGTGTTCAAGTCTCATGCTCTCCCTCTTTTCTTTGACAAAAACACTGCACATTTTCGTGCCGTTTCGTAAAAATTTTACCCTCATGCGCTTCACTTCAGAAAAAATACTTATCGTAAGCACAACAATTACTTGAACTACTACTACTACTACAACCCTACTTGTTCTGAGTATTATTTTTCATCAACATATTTTAACGCACTCAAAACTTACTTATTATATTAAGCTTTTATTAGGATATAATCACTTCTGGAGATGAATTAAATGTGAAATTACTTTATCAAATAATTTGACATTACTTTGTCAAATACAACCTCATTGGTAACCGATCAAGATGATACAATAATTTTATTACATTATTAAATTTCATTACAACATTTAATCAATTCTGTTTTACGATATTTTTATCATCAGACATAATTAAAGTATTTCATATCCATTATTAAGACCAATAACAAAATAAAAAAAACTAACCAAGTATTGATTGGTTTGTAGGGAATATATAATATGTTAAAAGGTCATATGTAATTTTGAGTTTCTAAGCACATAGCCACAGTGGGTACAAATAAAAGTACAACAGCCTTAACAAGCAAGTTAAATTGTCAACATGACGTGACATCGAAGTTTCAGATTTGTTAATGAAATTGAGACTTATTTCTGTTTGATGCTGTATCAAAAGTAACCCTTTGTAATATACCCAAAGTGAATTACCGCAAAAGAAATGTCATGAAGGACTAGGCTCTGCAGTATGTTAACATTCAGCAGAGTCTTACTCATTTGAAGTAAATCAAACTTCTTTATCAACAATGCCAACTTTGAATGCTCCCATTTAACATGGTGCATGTAAAATTAACTACGGGAGGATAACTAATTCCTCCTTAAAACCTAAACTTGCGAATGCTTGCTTCTTAAATATTTTAAATCTCTAAGCAGCAAAAAAAATATAATAATATTAATACCTCTTAATATACAGTCTTACTGTGTCGTTGTCCTATAGAGTCATCTTACCAGGTCATCTTTACAACCCTTGCTCTCACTTAAGACCAGAAATACCATCAGCTTTCTAATAGTACCCTGATGCGAGGCCCAGTGTAATACAACACCCATGACTGAAATATTATCCAATTGATTATTATCGATTCGCGGTAGAGGACTCGTTTGTTGTTCTCATGTTAAGATCTAGAAAAATCAAAGCAAAATCAATTCTATTTTAACGGGCAAAATGCACAGCCTAGGACAGTGCACAAATTACCAGTCCTTCAGTTCTGTTTTTTTTTATTGTACCGTTCCCAGCTTGATACTCTGTAAGGCCGTATTACGGGTAATATAATTGTCGCTTAGCTTTATCTTAATTTCTGTACAAGTTTTAAAACCAATCCCTAAAAATTATTTGAAGAATCCCTCAACAAATAAGTACTATATTTTCATTCCATTTCCTTATTAACGTTAATCATTAATATATTAACGACTATCCAACAGTAATAGCGATTTCACTGTTATCATTATTATTAAATTCATTTCAAAGCGCCAAATGGCGCCAATGTCGGCTGCCATTATCACAATATCGCATTAAGGAATCAACATCAAATTCATAACTATTAATACCTGCGGTATGAACGATAAGTAAGAAAAAATAGACCTAATTTTATTACTACTTCAATACCCATGAAACTGAAAGACAATCAATGTTAAACTCATCATTTGACACTCAAAACATTTTCGTTTTCCTCTTGAGATTCTAGACATCAACTTTGTTCTGAATCTTTCTTTGAATAAGCTAATTTGTCAGATTTAAGAAAATGTTCTATGTTTGACTATCGATCTCTAATTGCATGAACTTAAATTTGTAGCCTTTTTGTGAGATATACGTAAACTATCATTTAGACTGTACACCGATATTATTTTGGTCACCTTACTTTGTAGTGCTATGAGGCAACGCTGTAGCCACTGATCTGTGCGTTGTGGTAGTTTAACTTAACTGCCTATAGTGACTACTATTGGAAAACAAGCTGCTTTAGTCTTACCAATGAAATAACCATAAGGTTCGACTTCTATATGCCTCGTCCCTAAAACACTTCGTAACTCAGGACTAAAACCTGGACTTATTGTGTCTATCATACTGGAAACAATCGTTACAAAAAAAGAAAAACATTGTACATATACTCCAGCCATCTTAATCTATAAGATTGGCGTCTTTCTAAGTAAAAAGACACTCTATAAAATCAAAATAATTTTTATTAATACAATATTAAGATAGTTTAGAAATATTCAACGTATAATAAGAAAATTTTTGATGATAAAATAATAAAACATTTAAGCTTTAATTACCAATAAATATACTTCAAACAATAGTTTCAATGAATTTTCGTATAACAAAGTCATAATATGATATTAAACTACCTTCTACGAATTGGAAAATTATTGTAAAATTTATTACTTTTGTAAATACCTTAATATTAAACTAACTGAACTTCTAAAAATGAAAAATTATTTTAAAGTAAATTATATATGTACACACACAACAGTCACTAAATAATTTCTAAAAATGGTATAAGATATGTATAAAAAATTGAAATAAATTAGTTCTGTAAAAATCTTATAATATTAAATAGACTTGAAACTTCTAAAAATAATAAATTAATTAAATGTAACTTATTATAATATTCAACTTGCCAAATAATTTCAAAAATGGTAAAACATTTAGAATAAAGTAGTCTGTAAAAATAAAACTTTATTAAAATATTCAACTCACCAAAGAACCTCTAAAAAAAAATGGTCAAATTATTATTATAAAAATTAAAATAAATTAGTTCTGTAAGAAACTTATTATAATATTAAATCGGCTTGGAACTTCTAATAATAATAAAATTAAATGTATTTTATTATAATATTCAAGTTGCTAATAATTTCAAAATGGTAAAACATTTATAATAAAGTAGTCTGTAAAAATAAAACTTTATTAAAATATCAACTCAAAGAACCTCTATGGTTAAAATATTAGAAAAAAATAAACTAAATTACTTGTGTACAAGAATGTACAACAAAATAAACAAAACCCTAAATATATACCCTATGACGTTTAAAGAGTGTAAAAAAAAAAACAGTAACTACGTGGCTAAAAACATTAAATTATCAACAAACTGAAGATCTATTTGTAGAAGTTGAATAAATAGATCAAAAATCAATCAAATTACAAAGTTCAATAACAATAATTTTATCTTATTAAGTATATTTTCAATATTTTGGTTTATGTAGTATATAATATCGTAGCCATTCGATTCAGTTATTACTTCCATATTATTATAATTATTTAAAGTATTCTATACTTTATGTTCCATCAACCGGTGATAAGACATGCTACTGTACTAACCTGACTGGTCACGACATACGGACTACACTCGTCTGAGTTGCACTACAGTTAATCATGTCTCACTCACATAATCAAGAAAGACGATGTGTATATTCAACTTCACTTTTTTTTACGATTTAATATCAACAAGAGTATTTGTTTTTCAAGTATGTAATAATTAATTAACTATTTAGTACCTTTACCTTCTTTTTTTTTAAGTAATTAAGTATAACATATAGGAAAGAGCGTTCATCCCTAAAAGGTTCTTGAACTTAAAAGGGATATAAAATAAGATTTAAGACTATTTACTTAATAAAGAAATTTTTGTTTGTTTTTTGAATCGTCTAAATCTTATATAAAATTACTAGTTTCATATCGACTCTAACTACCGAACCGATATCAAATATTTTCCACACCGTTCAGTTTGACTAACAAAAGAAGGAAGTTACACAATTATACCCAATATTATTTTATTGCAAAATATTTGTATTTTATAAATCACAATTCTAACAGTCTGTTTGAAATACCAAGTTTCACATAAGCTACAATTCAATGGCATAACTACCAATAAAATGTTATGATATCTCCTACCTTTCCCTCGAATAGTTTACTACTATGTAATATAAGAAAACCTTTATCTTATAAAAATAAAAAAATAAACAATTTTTTCAACTAAACCGACGGTAAGTATTATAAAAATATTAATGCAACAGCTTTAAAATAAATAACTTAATTTTTACAGGATTAAAAAAGAACGTTCGGTGGCCGTCGATGATAACTCATAGCAAAAAAAATCGAGTACCAGAGCTTTCTTAAACACGCACTAAACACTCACTATAAAATTCTAAATAGTGGACGTAACTATTATCAATTATAATTAACAAAAAGTATATAAAAAGTACATCTAACGTAATCGAGTAAATCTCACAAGACTATACATATGAATCGCAGTAAAAATATTTGGATCACCTCTCAATATTATAAAATTATTATTTGAAACTACATAGGATTAATTTTCTTCAATTATTAGATGAAGACTTATGAATTATTATGATTGACGACAGGCCGAGGAATTGGTAAAAAATTTAGATAACCTAAAAACAGTCCCACACTTCCTACGCAATAGCACAGTCTTCCGTTAGTAAAAATACAAAACTTCATAATGTAACTATTTTATAAAAATGTAAAAATTTACCTTCAAAGGTTAAAAAAATAAAAATAAAAGTACCTGCACTTTAGGTTACAAAATGGGAAAAAAATCGATACCTGTGGGCGTTAATCCTTTACACAAGGATATAAACCATTTTACCCGTATCCCGCTTCTGTTTGTAGGCTAGTGTTTTAGGGTAGGAAATTAAACATCAATGATACTTGATTAACTATATTTCACATGACCCTATAAAATTATAACTCCAACTTGAACAAAGGAATTGCTGTATTGCTCTTTTATATTCACTTACTCGACTTCCCACTTCGGGCAGTATTGAGTCAATTGTAACAATGTAAATAACGAACATCTGAGTAATTATTGAATGCACTTTGAAAGAATATTCATAAATTATTTGAAATAATTTAAAAGTAACAATATTTATAGACTTTTTATAATTGGTTTGAGTTTATAAATAAATACAAATCTGTTTGTTAAAATTATAATAAAATACGTTTACTAGGTATACCTACTACTATACTTTATCATAATAAAGTTTAAGAAATTTGACTTTAGTGATTATGCGGCGAGATTTTAAGAAGAAATCTTCTTTCAAAAAGTACTCTAGAATTTTTGCTAACAAGGACATTTAGAGTGTTTTCATAGCTTTTAATTTAATTTTGAAGAACCTGTATAACTGTTATGTGGCTTAACGTTACCTCTTAATTAAGAGCGCGCATTTGGCAAGCAAGAGTTATAAATTCAAGATTTCACCCGCGCGTCTTCCTTCAGCTAGTTCTAGTATGCCTGATGTTTGTGGAACAAAAATGAAGTAAACGCCAAATGCTTTTTAATTAAATAACTCGTAAAATAAACAATATTTAATAAAATCGCTAGTAACAGGTCTCGGCCAGACTAAAGTGCTATATTTCAATTATTTGCTTCCATAATACTGGCCATGATTGAATAAAAACGAAATAAGGCAAAGTTAGAGGTGATTTTGTGTTTTTCTTGTATCGAGGAATTTGTATTGTATTGTGTTTTTAATTAGAGTCAACCATTGACATTTTAGTAAAGGATCAACACATATTGTTTTTAATTCAAGCATCACATACTTAGATAACATCAAATCTACGATGAGTGGTTTTGGTTAGTTAGCTCTTAAGAATTCTGTCACTCTGAGTAAATACTTATTTCAGTTACACAAAGGGCATTGATATGTGGTCTTTGGGATGTATCTTAGGGGAGATGTTAACTGGATCCCCCCTCTTCCCGGGAACCTCGACCGTGAATCAGATCGAAAGGATCATGTCTGCTCTGCCCAGACCCTCGTCAGAAGGTAAGTGGGTATTTTATTGTGACAGAACCAAAAGATTTTTGAAGTGAAACTTCTTTATCGGGGTTGGAAAAAAATGTAGTGTAACATTTTTTCGTTACGCGTCACATTTTTCCGTTACGCGCCATCTTTTTAAGTGAAACTTCTTTATCGACGTATGGGAGAAATTTTGTGTTGTCATGTTGCTTTTTGAAGTCAAACTTCTTTATCGGCGTTGGAAAAAAAATTTCGGTTACGCGCCATCTTTTTCTTGTCCCTACCACGGTTGATCCGAAGAGATTCGAAGCCATTAATAATAAAAATATATAATTACGATAACAATGATAGTAATAATTCTATTACAATTAATGAAATTCTGTAATAATCTTAGTAGTAATAAGGTAAAATGAAATAATTGTATTTGTATTCATGTCTATGATAATAAAAGCCTTTTGTTAAACTTTATCTAATTTAACGAATTTCTGTAAAGTTGCATATAGTAGATAATTTTTCGAAAAATAAGATCATAAAGATGTTTCACTTCTTACGTGTGTACACCTAGAACACGCACACATTTTTTTCTTCTTGCCTTTTTTTGCGTTGTATTTATTTAACGCAATTTAAAACCTAGTGAACTTCATAAAATAAAAATTGGTGAACTGTAGATTTTATGAACTTACCTACTAGAGGACCCGACAGACGTTGTCCTGTATTCACATCATAAATTATTCAACTTAAAAAAAATAAAAACATAATTGTAAATAATCTGAACTATTCTCGAATCCACTTAAACATAAACACTCATCACAATCAAAATTTATTGCATTACGGCTTTGTCGGTTAAGATTCGATTGTATTGTTCGTGGCATTTTTAATGATAATATCGGCACGATAAGCTAATGGAAACTCGAAATAAACACTTCAACCGTTAACTTCAAAACTTCTATTTGTCAAAGTTTCAATCATACTTAACCATAGATAACATCACGTTTAGCTTAGTTTTGTTATACGATTTTTAACAAATCAACTGATGTTTTGACTGTTTTTTAGTTTTTCTGTTTGTTGCCTTTTGTTATACCACGTGTCATGTCCCACGGATACAGGATAAAAAGTATCCTATGCCCTCCTGGTTCTAAGTTCCTCCCCTCTAACCTCCCCACCAATTTTCAGCCATATCGGTTCAGCCGTTTTTTATTGTGTAACTAACACGACTTTCTTATATAATATATAGAATTATTTATATGTAAAAGGCGCTTGCACAAAACAATCTCCTAGTAGCTGTTAAAACTTGTATTAAAAACACGTTTTTTATAGATATCGCAGCGGTTTGTACTGGCTACGGCTCTTCTTTAATAAAAGAGCAAGCAACAGGCAAAGGTGCAGGCTCATCTCTGACGTCACTTCTGTCATGTGCCCCTCGTGACGCAGCAGACATGGTTCAAAGACTACTGGTTTTCAACCCTGCTAAGAGATTGAGCGCAGAACGGGCTTTGCATCACGAATATGTATCCAAGTGAGTGAAGGAAAATTAATTTATAAAAGGATTGTTTATTTCATATTATATTTGTTAATTTAAAAATATATAAATCAGTGGCGCTAAAACCTTTTTGGTCTCGGTATCTGTTTCATGATCATTTGTCACTAATAGGCAAGTAGGTGATCAGCCAGCCTGACACGCCGTCAACGTTTTGGGTCTAGGGCAAACGGTTTCCTCACGATGTTTTCCTTCACCGTTCGAGCTAATGTTATATACGCACATAGAAGGAAAGTCCATTGATACACAGCCGGGGATCGAACCTACGACCTCAGACATGAAGCCACTAGGCTCCAAAATAAAGAAATAATAATATAAATAGAGGAGGAGATAAAAATGTATTTGACACTGCTCAAATTAATTATACAGATAATAACTAATGGAAATCTTTATAATTCAGGTTCCACCGCGAACGTGACGAGCCATCTCTCCCGTCAGACGTGCTACTTCCCCTTCGGGATGACAAGCAGATGTCAGTCAATGACTACAGGAATAAACTGTACAGCATCATGGCTAAGGGGTTTCTAGGGAGCCCTCAGTTACGAAAGAGTCATTCCAGGTAGGTTAAAATAGAAACAGTTTGTTTTATCTATGGTCAAACCCGTAATCTCAGATTAAAGACTAACTACTAATCCGCTTTCATCGTAGCATTATCACAGTTTGACAGAAAGAGACGAAAGATACTCAAGAAGAGTTAAGAGGGTTGATTAAAGAATATTAGAGTGATTAAATTAATTAAATCTATTTGTACGGTTCCTGGGCCATCGGGGTGCTTTAAGTTATATTTTCGTTTTACTCTATATTAACCACTCGCGTAAAACAATAGGATAAAATACGAAATATTTAAATGCTTATTGCTATGAAACGAATGGTAAATTAATGTAATATATATGTCACCAGAATATCGGTAAGTGTATAATTTCCTAGGAAATTTATAAACTTACCGAAGTCACACGTAAAATAATAATAAGTAAGCGATAACCAAACAGCATGTGCGCTCTGATTGGTTGAATAAGTCACTTACCTAACCGTTTAGAATCTTACCAATTTAGTCGTCGGAAATTGATAATTTTGCGAAAATGTGGGCGTAAAATAATACAATTTATCTCTTGTTTAGAATCCTACGATTTTGTTATATTCTCGTGACATTAATATATTGAAGCTAGTGCCTGCGTCTAGCTATACTCTCGGGGTGTAAATCAAAGAAACAAAGAAAAACTTTATTATACACAACTACCAAACTCGGCGAACTCCGTTTCGCCACCAGATGGCTTCGTTTTATGTAACATTTCGTTTGGTGATCCCGCTTTTCAGTTGAAATTTTTCCTGAATTTTCTTATCGATTCGTGCGTTCTGGAGTTATAGCGTCAGGAAGGAAAACCCGACTTATTTTTATATAGTAGATATACAGGGTATTTACATTAAGTAAAGTGCACTGGCCCCAATACTAGGATTCCCTTTGTTGTGGGCAGCCAGTCTCTTTCTTTTGACATGAAAACAGTATTTTAAAAATTATATTAATTATTTCTACACATATTAAAACTATTTTTGAACAATAAGAATATTTTCAGTATAAGAATAGGACAGGATATTGTTTGAGATGTTTAGTAAGTGTATGTAAAGTGATTTTTGAAATGTTAGTGATAATTTTGTTTTTAATGAAGTGGTTAAAGATGAAAGGGCATCGAAGGAGAAAAAGCGTTGGGCGAAGAAAGTGCGATTTTTGAGTTGCTACGGGTTTGCGTTTTGTTTGATGCGGTGCGGTGGGTGTTTGTTTCCAAAAAAGTCTGCATATTGCTATTAAGTATAATTGTCCAACAGTTAAAAGTTAATGATATTATAATGAAGGATTTCTGATCTTGATTTATATAGATACATTAAAAAATGTGCCAGCTGTCCGAAATATATATTTTTAATGTAATAGAGAATCATAATGTTAAAAATTTTAGTGTCAAAACACACGTCCATACGCCTGTGAAGTCTAAAAGTTTTCAAGATACTGAAGTTAGGCACAAGAAGTTAATAACATCAGCAGACCCCAAGCCTCGGACCAAATCTAAAACCTTGGAACGACCGATCAAAGAATTTCGATCCTATCAAACAATAGCGGACAAGGAGAAATTGAGTTAGTATTTTTTGGAAATAGTAAGTATTGATAAAACATAAAAAAGTTTTGCTTGTGTTTTCTAAGTTACTTGACGCTTTTTACTGGACTGTTATCCATTAAAAAAAGTGCATGCGTACAAAGTACACAAGTCAGAAGTGAAACTTCTTTGGCAAACTAATTTTTAAGTCTTGTTCATATTTATACAAATCTAAAACTTGATTTCTGAGACTTAGAGGGAGGGAAAAAGGAAGATATGTTAGGAGCTTAATGAATTTAATTGTCATGAAAATATTAAAATTATTTCTTCGATAATAAAAATACGTCGCATTTTAATTTACAATTCGTCATTTGAGATTTCATGAATTATTTTGTATAAAATTAAATTTTAATTTTAAAAATAGATTTTGTACAAGGTAATTTACCCTTCTCACTCTCTCTCAATCGGTCTCAGTTGCTCTGTCCGTAAAAAAATATTCAAGATATAAGCAAATTATAATGAATAATTATAATTATGCTTCTCCTTAAATGCCAAGCAATTTATAAAACAAAAGAAACACATTTATTAACGTATTTGCAAGAAAGTGTTAACTCGTAAACCATGATAACCTTTTCCCAACTAGTAACAAGTTTACTCACTTTCTTCAATAGATGGCGCCTGTTGAACGCTTAAGACGCGCTAACGTTGTACGAGCAAAATACATTATATTTTCATAGCTTACAAATTAAAGTTGGGTAAAAAAAAAAATAGAATTAATAATGCTATGCTAATTTTTGGGACCCTATTACTTATTATAAGTTAATAGCATTAATAATTAAATATTGTTACTAAGTAGGGATGTGACATTTTGCTGTCTGCATAAAAAATAGATTATTAATTAATCGATTATTTTAGTAGCATGAAAAAAGTAATCTATTTTTTTATTAATCGATCTTTTCCAAATTTTTGAATTAATTTCAGAATAAACATTAAACACCCTAAATATTTTATTCTTCATGGTTTTTTTAATTAAAAATTAAAATTAACAATAGAAATTATAAAAACAAATAAACGTTTAAGAATAATCTAAATCGAAATAAACTTAATCTCGTTTTGATAGGTTTTAGGTGAAACTTGATAAATGCTGAGTGTATGCCTTTTCAGTAGCACATTGCAGTATTTTTGTTGTCTTTTTAATTGTATGTAATCTTGAGCTGCTGAATAAATTAATTTTACTTTTAAATTATAGTGTTCCATTCAAACTTGAGTTTTTGTAAAATTAACTGGTTTTATCATCCTTTCGATGTTTTAACTAAAGCATAAAAACTAAAACATAAAAATACGTTGCAATTTTTTTATTGCCCTCGATTAAGTCAAATTTCTTCCTTTTTCGGTGGAGAACTTTTTTTAGTAGCAACACTTATGAAATGTCAGGATTCTACGGAATTAAAAATCAGAGTATACGTAATATATGCTCCACAGAGAACACTGTATACTATCACATATCACAAAATTTACGAATAATGTGTTCACTGTTCAGTTTTCACTATTCTAAGTTCTTGAAAGTCAAACGTCATAAATATATCAAATTTTGACATTAGTAGTTTCAGTACGTATCTTAGTACTCACTACTCAGTAGTGGACTGAATAGTGAATACATAATTAAAGTTAAATTTTCCTTATAATATTTATTATAAAACAGCCAATCTAATTAAATTATTATTAGGTAAGCCAGTGAAAGCGACCAAACCGTTCGAACACGACTGGTTCGGCCACTGCCGAGGGGGACTATCTCGAAGCAAAAGACAAAAAACCAATGAATTTTATCACTAAGGACTTCTTTCCGGTTCGCCAGAGTCCTTCAGAGTCCAAAAAGAACGTTCAGCAAAGAAGAAATTCCACGTCCTTCTCGACGATTACAATTGGGGACTCGGAGCTCAGTTTCGGTAAGAGTTCGAAACATGGAGTCATCACTGCTAGCGCTTTAATGGATCTAAGAACGAGCATACGATGAGAACCACCAAACAATGCTTTGATGTTATTATCCATACATTATTTTAGTTAACAATTCTGTTGATAATCTTATTGAAATTGGTTCGACATGATTGACTGCTTTTTGAAGTAATTTGTTTTAAATTAGTGTATGTCGCTTTATCAATTATGTTTTAAAACTGTGCTTATACAAGAATTCATCTTATTTTTTAATTTAGTATAGAAGGCTTTATTCGTGGCGGATAAACGAATTTTTAAGGTTGTGCCGCCCGCTCTACATTTGTCATGTCCTAGATCCAAAAAATTCCATGAAACTCCATATAAATAATTTTTGGTGTTGATTTTTGTGCACAAAATTATACACAGACTACCCAGTTCGCAGCCTCCAACCTGTATAACGTTTACTTTAGAATGTGGAAGTTGGCTACACCAAATGTACAATGACAAGTGAAAGGTGAAAGTCATCGGCAAAATTTCTTGCAGACTTCTATCTGTAAAACATCAGAAACGTCAAAATGTGTTCAATTTCTATAAGTAAGCAAAAACAAAATTATCTCCCTAAATCTGCCGCCGTAGGCTTTAGCCTACTCAGCCTGCTGGTAATTCCGCCACTGTTTATTCGTGGTAACATTTGACATGTTAACGTTTTTGAACCGACGTAATAAACAAAGGATGGGGCAATTTGTGAAACTTTATTTTGTATAGTGGCTCAAATTTCGACAAAAAAGGAAATGAGTTGGGTTGGGAAAGTTCTTAATTTCATTCACTCACTTTCAGATCTATTTTGATATTAATCACTGATATTTTTACATCGTTATATTCAGAAGATTGGAATGTCTTTAAACGGCATTTGGTTGATAAAAATAATCTTGTTAACGTTAGATATATGGAATTAGTTAATAATAGGACTATCGTGTGATAGGGACTGTAGTTTTCCGAAATGCATTCAGTTGGACCAATATTATTGTAACACTGCCATATCGCAATAATATACCATTTAGATCATTCATTGACAAAGATGTCTATTGTCTATGTTAAGTCTTCTCTCTATGGTTGAAATAAATAATTCATGTATAACATTTTGCCATGTCATTTCAATGTATTATATATATAAACATGCGCCATGGAACAAAGTTGTGACGATGAGAACGTTATTTGAATATATAGAACAATTGACAGAATGCTATCTGTCAACCTTTACATAGATAATAGTTTACTAGTTAAATTTGACTTGGGTTTGAATTTGAAATGTGATTGCAGAATACCACGGTAATGTTTAAAAATCATGAATAGAATAAGACAAATTTTTGTTTAATTTCTATAGACTCATAAGGTGTTTAGATTTGCCGTTTGATACACTATAAAATTTTAAATATTTGTGATGTTTTATTTGTGTAATGTTTTGGCTTAAGCGTGCGACCCTCATCCCTAACGTCGTGCTCTCGAAGCTCGGCTGTGTATTAATGGAATATTCTTTATATGTGCGCAAATAGCACTTGTTATTGTTATAGAATCTTTATTTCTGATGCAAAATAAAAAAAAATACACAAACATTTTTAATATCTATAATTAACCTCTTAAAACGGACGATTAACAGTTACACCAAGAAAAAAAAAAGGTATAAAAATAGAAAGAAATAAAAATCACAAATCTATAATTTATTGTAAGTTTAATAAAGCCTTTAAGAAACGCCAGCTGTGTTGGCACATCGACGCAGGCGCCAGGCAGGCTATTCAATAGTCCACACATAGTAGGAGAGCCCAAGCGGGGATTTCGGGAATAACCTCAGCGTAGCAGATTAATATATAGGGGGATGATACCTTGTACACGGTTAAGTACCTCTACCAAATATTAGCCTCATATATATGGCCGCTCGTCAAGGATAAAGGTTATTAGTAAAAAATATTAATCATCAGAAATTCTCGAGCGCGTCAGATTAAGGTAGGGTGATTTAATTAGATGCTAAGAAGTGTATATTTCATTAATCTGACAATTCTCATGTGACGTAAAGAAAGGGGAGGGCTGCAAAGTTGTAAAAAAAAAAGTCATCACGGCATTCTCGAGCGTGGCTGATTTATTTTTATTTTGAAGGAAATAATTCAAGTACTAAAAATATATTCTGAAGATTTCCACAAGCCGAAGTAAAAAAAAATTGTCGATAAAGTTTAATACGTGCAGCGAAGAGGGAAATCGTGCATTACGCAATGCGGGATTTTGAAATAAATAAAAGTTATAAATGAAATAACCAGCGAATTCAAGCATAATTAATATACTTAAAGGAGGTAACAATTACTCATTTTCATTTTGACATTTGTTATTGATGCAGTTACATAATGAAATACAAAACAATTCTGAATTTTTGCAATTACAAGACATTGTGCGGCAATTTGCAGTACATTTACATGGTAGAATTAATGACTCTGGTAAAGACGGCTTCATTTGCCGTGGACGTAAGTCACCGTTGAGTTTTTCGTAACCAAATCGAATAATCAATGGGTACTTAATTGTGCATCTGTAATTGTACATCTGAAGTGCATACTAGGCATGCCTTTTAAGTTCTGTCGTTCCTATATTTCCCGGCAATTTTGAATATCAAAACAATTGAAAGTACATAGCAGGATTAATGCTAGTGTTTAGTCACAGCGTCGTTTGGAATCTGTCAGGTTACGTACGAAAATGAATCTTTCTAAGGCAAATGTTCGTGCAATAATTTTCTACAACTTTAGAAGAGGCCTGACACGGCTTCAGAGTTCTGAAGCGCCATGTCTGCAGACTGTCAAACGCTGGTATTTAGAATTCCAGCGTGGACATACTAGTGTGAAGTAGTGCGAAGGACGCCCAAAATCCGTCTTCACTGAAGATAACATCATTGCTGTGAGAAAACTAATAGTACTAATAGAGGCCCTATTAGGCATCTCAGGGAGATGCATCCCATTAAGAAGATTTTGCATGAAGCTTGGTGTGAGAAAGCTAGTTTGCCGTTGGATACCGCATCAGCTTTCCGACGATCACAAGGCGGCCCGCGTCAGATGGTGTAAGAAAACTCTGCAATGGTTCAACAGAGGAGAGTCAAAACACGTCTACGACATCATCAGTGGTGACGAATCTTGGATCCTGCCTACGATCCTAATTCCATCATCCTGCACCACGACAACGCAAGCTCACACAGCGCTCGTCAAACGATTGAGTATTTGAAGCTGGAAAAAGCAGCCCTAACGATTTCTTTACATTTCCTAAAATTAAGAAAAGTCTTCGGGTCAAAGATACCAGTCCGGTGAAGAAGCAGTCGACGCTTTCAAGTCAGCCATTTTGAACACCCCCACTTTAGAGTGGAATAAATGTTATAATAACTAGTTTGAGCGAATGAAAAAGTGTATTAAGCTACGTGCTGATGCTGGTGGTGGTGGTACTTTGGAAAACAATAAAAAGTATTATAAGGTTCTAGTTCTAAATGGCATCCTAGAAAAAAAAAAATTGTGTGAGAACGTCAAACCATAGACCATAGCAAGTATTGGGTGTCTCACCCAATACTTGCTACGTAATTCCAGTAATAAACTGCCAAGAGAAATACATCTGTATCAGCGCTGATTATCATAATATGAGCAGATTGTATCCTTACTGCGTGAAATGTGTGGACAAAAAATTCTGGAATGAGCTTCTGAATGGTTTGATTGTAATTCAAGTAGGTACCTCACAAATTGAAGACCCTTGCACCTTGAATCATTTAGTTAAATCATCGAATCCTCCACAAATATACATCTCACGGTCTTCTTTGACTTACTTGTGCATTTTTTGAAGCATAAGCGCACAGCCCTGCGATTCTGTAACTCACTTTTCGAACTCACACAGCGGTTTTCGCATCGGCGGTCGCTCTCAAATCAGTCGTGAAGCAGTCATTTTATGATTTGGCATTCTGAAAAGGTGGGAGCTTGTAGTTTATTGTTTATCAGCAATAAGTATACTTATAAAGGTAGACAAACATAATACAGGTAGAAAGAAATTTTAGTTTTTTAACTTAGAACTATGTTATGATATGTTGAAGTTTAGTCCGATTACGATTGAGGTTAGGTCTATAGTCGAATTTTTAATTAGACGAAGCTATCTGACAGTAGCTAATGTCACTTAGTAAAATAATGTTGCCACATTTAAAGTAATAGTGATACATTCAGTTCTTGTTCAATCAGATGAATGAACAATGAGTGAGTGTGAATAGTTAATCATTTCAAACTATAAAATAATATTATTACTATTTTAAAATTGTATAAAAGATTTCTGATATAAGTTAGGTACTAGTAGTATGTAACTACAATCAGTTTTTTGACGGCTGTAATACAAAGCGCGGCGAGGCGACTAGTGCCAACACCGATCGACGCCGCGCGCGTCGGTCGCCATTTTGTTTGTCATTCGGCTTCTAACCTCTGGTCTGATAGTACGAATGTTTTTTCTGCGCTCACGCTGTTTAGTTATAGTTTTTGTTAAGTTTTTCATTACGTTGTGTTTGTGGTTATTGTTGTGTTTGTTTATTGCTATATTGTTTCGTAAAAACGATATGGATCCTCAACCAAGCACGTCAAGCCAAAGCTTGTCTCCAAGAAAGAAGAGACTACGGATTGCTTTAAGCGTTACCGAAAAAGTTATGATACAAAACGTCTACAAACACGTATTTGAGGAGAAAGCTGCTTTACTATTACCTATTGAGGCTCCCGAAAAAAAAGAATGTGTTTCGAAAACAGCTGACATTTTGGGAATTAGTTGACCTCAGTTTACAGTGTATTAAAAGAATACAAAGAAAATGAACAATTTAAGTCTCCCGAGAAACGTGGACCGAAACACAATTTCAAAGATAAATTAGACGATTTTACTTTGGCCGCTATAAGGCGAAAAGTTCATAATTTTTTTTTATGCAAATTAGTCACCCACCATTATAAAGGTAACAAACTTTATTCCATCGACTGCATTATATTCTGTGTCCACAATAATGATCTTTGTAAAACCAAAGTATTAGATTGCGTAGACTTCTTT